CCCATGACATTGTTTTCATATGTATTCGATGTGAAAAATCAATATAAACTATTCAGCCTAACTGTAATAACTTCAGACTTAAATGTGTAAACATTGATGTTTTTAATGGGACAGCATCTTTTCTGTTCAATCGAGGTTGGGCCATGCAGCCAAAGGCCAGCCATACAACCGAAGGTAAGCCATACAACCGAATTTTGCCGATTCAATCTGACGGAGAATGCCGAGCCCCTCTTTTTGACCAATTTGAGACGTCCTCTTCACATTCGTGGTATCCTCGGCCAACTTTGTTTGCAAAGAAAATATTCGGCAATCTCCGGCTTTTCTTGAGGTATCTTCGGTTGCAAGCCAAAAGTCGACACCCGTTTTTAATGTACAAAATCTGTATTGTAAAGTTCTTTCTGTTGGTTATATATACCATATCATGGGAACACTTTTTTAGGGGTATCCATCCAAAATATTGTCTAGGAGTACAGTATAGCAAAATAAATCCAATCCCCTTTAAATCACTAAATAACTAATAAACATCACAATATTACCAATAGAAAGGTCAAAAATGAGATATTTTCCTCAATGGTACAATATTATTCAATCTGTATCTTATTTTAGATTTTCTTGAGTGATTTTGTTTCCTTGCCAAATGTATAGTAATGTTCGCTTTGAATTTGATCCATGACCTTGATTTGTATTATTTGGGTCAGTTTGCATCAGGTTACAAACAGAAAGTAACATTTTATATGTTTTAATCGCGACCTTCGGGTACAATATTGTGATCCGTTTGCAGTGTGGGGAGGCAACGTACTTACCCTAATTCCGTTAGATGGATTGTTTTCCAATCTTCAGGGATGATTCCTTGTGTGAAATTCTTAAACTGATTAGTTTTTGGGCATTCTGGGTAAATGTTCAGGATGGATTAAATCTTAAGACATGTTTATGAGTATGAAAGTTAGAATTGATTACTTTTTGGTTATTCTTGCTATCTCAAAAACTGACTAAGTGTGCAATACTGTTCACTTAATGTCTTGTTGTGACTTTTTATTTAACATTCTGGGGCTTTTTGATGTAACATTTTATGAGACACATTAATTATCAGAGGAACATTTTGGCTTTATGAATTAATTTGATGTGCTGTGGTACAGAGATTCAATGCTATGTTGAGAGTACTACAGCAGATTAACCCCATTAATCATTAAGTTGGGATGGTCTATATTCCTCTGTCTAGAGGCTATAGGAGACACAATGTTGCTGTACATTTATCATAAAAATGTCCATTATGTATTACTAATGGATAGATCCATTATCACTTTATGTATAATTATTCATATGTAATTACATCTAAGTGTGTATAGTTCAACTAAATGTGAATGGACACCCCTGGGCAACCTACCCTGAGCACAGATGTTAGTTCTTAAGTCACGCCTGGTAATCAGAAAAAATGAATGGAGGGGGAGCAGCCGATTTCTGTTAGAAAATTCAACAAATTTGTGGAATGAATTAAAACACCCTTGGACCAAGAATGCCACCTATTCTGTTAAAGAGAAACCTCTGTATGTGGTCATTTCCTTGAAGTCATTATTTATCCAGTATTGAGCAACATTTAACATTGTTTAATTGTGTTTCTTTTTGCTCGCTGAGCTGAGACAGTAATGCCCGATCTTGAAAGATGTCTAGGTGATGGAAGCTGCATCTTTCTTTCAAGAATCAAGTTAAACAAATGGGTATTGGCAACCCTGACTCCCCATTGAACAGAATGTTTGAACTTGCACCTCAATTATCAATTGGATTTATGGCAAATTGATGAATTTTATAAAATAAGGCTTTTAATCTATAAAGGCTCCAATAGGAGATTAGGGGTCACCAAACTTTTAAAGGAGAGAGTATGTACTGTAATGTGAAGCGTCCTTTATCTAGATCAGGAAATAACATGATGCAATTTTATTTTATTTGGATTTATTGGATTATGACTCTTAACAATGTTTTTTGTTCCCACATAATTTTAATGTTCTCATTCATCAAAAGGTCAGAATAGGATACCTTATCCAAGGATATCTTAAAATAAAGAGTCCATAAAAAGTAGGTATTCCAAAATGACCGCAAGTCCAGCGATTTATGCTAATTATGCAATGATGTTTCTCATTATAAAACCATCATAGTGGATACCTTACATTCATTAAGGATGCTAGGTTAAAAGGTCAGTCTATTGTGACATAGGGCATGCCATATATAAATGGTGTATGACTAATAACTCATTCTTATTAACTATATAAGCACTCCTACTTGGACTGATAAAAAATAATAACCAGAATAAGCTCATGATGACATTCTTGATATCGTGATATGAAAGATAATTCCTGGAGGATGTAAAAAGCAAGGCTTAATTAATTTAGCAATGTCTGATTCTGACATCTTTATATATAGAGTGCTATTAAAAATTCATAACTGCAGTGTATTTACTCCTGTGATTTTTTATTTATTTCAGAAACAAATTTCATTTTCAATATAAGTGTTGATTCTTTCCTGTGATATGGGCTTATAAATCAATCAATAAAATAATGCTCACCTAGGCTGACTCCTTAATAAACATTTAAAGTCAATACTAGGATGTGAATGTACCAAATGACCCCTCTTCTAGGTTACCTTTGTCAGCTTCATTCTTTTGATGCCAGAACATTCAATTTAGATAATTGATCATTTAGAAGTACTGTACGAATCAATGAGATTTAGTTTTAGGAATAGTAAGTTAAACCTACCACCCCAATGCCCTCTCAAAGGGTGTTGCACGATTGATAATAACTGCTTACCATACTACTTATCAAAACAAAGCAATATCATAATTTCCAATTTCATATGTATGTTTGTACCTGTGTATGGTAACTATCATCAGATCAGATATTTCAAGGCTTTCAAGATCCATGTCCCAATGTTCTTAACCCTGAGAAAATCCATGTTTTCTGCAAATGTCCAAAATGCCTTCCAGTTAAAGGTATTTATATAATACAGATGAAAAATGCTTTACCATTTCTAACAGAAATATTCAAAATGAGGAATCATTTGCAAATAGCCTTTGGATTTTTAGGCAAATATGTTGTTGTTTTTTTGTCACCAACACAAGTGCTGCCATATTGTTATAGTCTTTTTTGTAAATGGTGTTCAGCATTTGGCAGTCATTGTCTGTAACAAATGGCAGGTGGTGACATTTTGCATATTAATTCCTTTTTGGATATTCCACTCATATCAGTAGAATTATCATTTACTAATTTTTCATTTTACTTGCAGGTGTATGGTGAAACATCATTTGACCTGATAGAACAGATGATTCAGTCTGTCAACCTCACAGAGGAGGACACCTTCGTTGATCTTGGAAGTGGGGTGGGGCAGGTTGTCCTCCAGGTGGCAGCAGCTACTCCTGCCAAGCTGTGTTATGGCATTGAGAAGATGGATGCCCCCTGCCAGTATGCGGAGAGTATGGACATGGAGTTCCGCAAGTGGATCAAGTGGTATGGCAAGAAATATTCTCCGTACAAGGTGAGTCTTGTTATGATTTATCAATGCTGCAAGGTGACTGATAACAGATGATGTGTTAACTAATGCTTTAAAAAGAATATTACACAAGAAAAATTAAGAGGTCAAATCAATGTAGTTAAACAAAAAATACCCCCTCTTGACATTAATTTCAATGTTTTGACCTTTATAAGGGTGGCCTTACCAACCTCCCCCCAAATCTTTTTGTGATAGCTATACTTGTGGCAAATATAAACATTATAGTACTAATAAGTAATTTGAGTTGTTATTTATTTCAGCTGGAAAAGGGCGATTTTCTATGTGATGAGATGAAGGATATCATCAACAATGCTTCGTAAGTTACTTCATATTTCTAGAATTAATTATAACATGATGAAGGATATTGTATATTTCCTTTAAACTTTTGAATTTCCAGTATCACTATAGTCATTACTTTTGAAAGTGATCAACCTCTACTCTTTATTCAGACATAATTCTTTCGTATATTCAATCAGAAAATGTACAGTAGTTGGAAGGTAACATCTACATATTGTCTATCTTTAAGTAGACCCTTGTTTCATATTCTAGCTCCCATTGAAGGCAACATATGAAATCATTAAAATCATAATAGCAATCATGGCTACAATTCTATTTGATATTCACAGGGAAGTGTGAGGGGTTGTGGTTTCAATTTCCACTGGGATGTAATGGCTTTTTCACATCAGCCCTTACCACAGGATTTCATTCTGTGTTTTCATTAATCAATTCAATAATGTTTCATCAGTATTTTTTCTTTCAGTGTGATATTTGTGAATAACTTTGCATTCGGGCCAGCCGTTGACCATCAGCTGAAGTTGAGGTTTGCCAACATGAGAGAGGGTGCTGTGATTGTATCATCTAAGGCCTTCTGTCCACTTAACTTCCGTATAACAGACCGCAACCTCAGTGGTAAGGAACTCATTACATGCTAAATAAGCCTCAAGGTCGAATTTCAGCGTCATATCATAACGCAATGGATGTGAATTCATTCAGGGGGTCTTTAAAGCCTACCTTCGTTAATCCAAGAAAGAAATGAAATGGAAAGAGATACTGTCTAATCTTTCAAGTTTTTAAAAATATAATTTTTGGGTTATTGTTAATTGAAAACAAAGCATGAAAATGAGTTCTGATTGAATGGTATGAGGCTGCTTGGTTAAGATTATGTAAAAAAACAATATATCAGCAGTTTCAAGTCTTTAGAGATAACAAATCATACGGAAGGTTGTGTTTCTACGCATGCTAAACAACGAGGCATTGTATCATGATGGCATGTGTTACACCACAATGTTTCAGATATAGGAAGTATTATGCAGGTTACAGAATTATCACCACTGAGGGGCTCAGTTTCATGGACGGGGAAACCAGTAACGTACTACCTGCATTCTATAGACCGGTCGATGGTGAGTAGTGAGTGTTCATATATGTGCTCATAACAAATATATATTGCAGATATCGGCGCAATAATGCATGTACGGGAACTACTACCTGTCGAAGGTGCTGTGTCGTGGACCGACAAAGCGTTGTCCTACTTTATACACACTATAGATCGTACATTGGTGAGTATGGGCATGCTGCACTAGACAACAGGTGCATCATTTAGAGATCACTTCGCCTTCACTTATAATAGGGCTGGCAGGGTGGCCTATATTTGTCCATACATCATAACCATGTACATCAGAGTGCACTCTTCATTTCAACAACATACAGTCTTTGATGTATAGTGATATCTTGACTATGAGCTATCTGTGATCAGTTAGCAATTGACCCTCTAATCATAGAACTACATACTGTTCAAGTACTTAAATAGAATGCTAATTCATTAGAGACAACATTCATTGTAGAAAATAAAAATGTTTGCCCAAAGTGTTACATACAGGGTGTCAAATAGATGCATCTTTATTTTAGAATTGTGAAATAATGTTTATGAAAGATCTGAATTAAGTTTCAAGAAAATCAGTTCAGGAGTTGGCGAGTTCTTTACTTCTGGATCATTGTCTGCATGTTCTCTTAAAATATTTCGAAATCTTAAGAGGTGTTCTCACCATGATGTGATTCATTGTATGTAGCCTTATGATTGGAGGTTCACTGTCGGGTGTTCACTCAGATGTAGAATTTGTTGCTGTTCCATGCAGAGCCACACTGTACATGTTACATAGCAGTGATTAGCATCTCATATCATCTCTCCAGTTCTCAACTACATGGCATCTGTACAAGGTAGCTTACGATGGCAAACATACATAGAAGATAATAATCATGGCAACCATACAGCTAGTTGACATGGTAACCATATATCATAACTCACCATGTCAACCATAAGTGATAGTTATTATTGTCTGCATCTTTTGTATGATGTCCATTGTCCAGGCAGTTATTTAATTCCTTCTTTCTTTCTAAAATTACCAAGAGGAACATTATATGGCAGATAATTTGGGTAATTTGATAAAGTCTAACAGTTGGCTTTTAGTCGACATGGAAACTGTTGCCATGTAGTTGATACCACTGGATAACATAGTATCTCTATATTAAACCTCTCTAAAGTGTGATAATACAATTTCCACCCTGATCTTGGTTTTGTTTCTATAAAAAAAATTATCTAGTAAAGGAGAACCAGGGTACCTGTAATGTTCATAAAATTCATCAATGAAAAAGCTTGTTTTATTTTACTTTAGAGGTGTCTTACATTAATCAAGCATTATGTGTTCTTCTGGTATCTTTTACCAATTTTATACCTGTCTCTGTTCTTTATTTTAAATATGTCTATGATAAGGCTTATCTCTATTTTTCTTTAGAGTTAAATGAACTTATGTACTCTACATGTATGTCCATATTCATGATATCCACTGTTAACATCAATGTTTTTTCATGTATGACCTCAACATTTTATAAGTACTGTAGATGTTACAAAATTGTATGTCTTTCTCTTTTAGTTCTGTGTTAAATCTGTTTGTATATTTATCATAGTCAGAAAATCATACTAGTCTTATCTCCATTTATGGATTTCCGATAATGTAATTTGAATAAGCGTAATATATAAGATATACACCATTGCTATGAGTACCCATGCTCATACTACAAATATAAACAATGAAGCTTTGTTGCCATGCGTATCCAAGTATTTTCTACAATATTGTTGTGACATCATAACAAAAACATAACATCCGAGACTTTCTAACGTGGTATATACTCTGTGGTATATACTCCGTGGTATATACTCTGTGGTATATACTTCGTGGTATATACTCTGTGGTATATATAGTGAGTTGAAAACGATACAATGAAATACACTCTTATATTTTTATTAATCATGTGATCGGTTCTTATCCAATGAGAAAGCGAGAAACATTCCAATGATATAATAAATAGTAATATAAATAAGTGGAGATGATTGGAGATTCTTTTCCTAAAATTTGAGTAAGGCTAGGATGATTGTCAGACAAAGATATCTTGCTTCACATATTAAGATGTTTATCATCCTTTCACTTTAGAAATCTAATCTAGAAATGGTGATTGATTTTACATATTTCAAAGTTTTGAAAACGTTTAAAAGTTCTGAATTGCAAAAATATCCTGTGCTATGTCATATTGAATTGCATAAATGACATTTGTTATGTCATAATGAATTACATAAATGCCATAATGAATGACATAAATGCCATTTGTTATGTCATAATGAATCACATAAATGTCCAATGTTATGTTATTCCAGCTAGAGAAATATTTTCAAAAGATGAATGATCCAAAATTCAGGGTAAGTTTATTTTCTTCTTTTGACCATGGGAATAAAAATATCATGTGGAGGAATTTCAAAATTACCTTGAATTTAAAATTTCTATCATGAAAAAAAGAAGCTACCTTGCCCCATATGTTAAAACTACCCCCCCCCCCCCCCAAATAGTGTCAAAATTGCATTTATTCTTATTCAATAATTTGTACATGTATATGTAAAATGGACAGTGGGTGGTTTGTAGTTATGAATTTTTCATGCTTTCTTTTTCTTAATACCCTCAATTGGAATTTATCTGAGAATAATTCACATTAAATACTCAGGCGAAGGTCAGCCAAAGCAGGGTTTGATTGGTGTACATTTTGTATTTTTTCATTCTAGGAAGATATTGAAAAGGAAACAAGACGAGATCGTAAAGGTCGACCACTGAATTCTAAGGAACAACAGGAGAATCTTCCAGGGGTAAGTCTAGACTGAAAATAGTTTACTAATGAGGTTACACATAGTGGTTAGTTTCATTTTCTGTCTTGTTTATCTTGGGATTTTTTATCTCATTTTTGTTCCCAGCATCTGTTTTTTTTATTATCCCATCGAACGAAGTTCGGAGGGATATAGGGAACGCCTCCGTCCGTCCGTCCGTCCGTCCGTCCGTCCGTCCGTACGTACGTACGTCTGTCCGTCCGTACGTCCGTCCGTCCGTCCGTCCGGGCAATAACTCAAATACCGTTGGCCCGATTTTATTCATATTTTGTACACATATACCCTATGGGGGTAGAAGTTCTGCTCGAAAGCCGATTTTCAAAATGGCCGCTCATTTAAAAATGGCGGCCATTTTAGTGCCGATTTTACAGTAATTTAGGTGCAATATGTAAAACTGTAATAGCAATATGTTTTAAATGTAAAAAAATTATATAGGACATTAATAAAGCTAGAAATGTAGATATTAAAAAAGCACATGGCAGCCATCTTGAAAAATGGCGGCCTTTACTCGTTATTTTACGATTTTTGCTGTAACTCGAAAAGTAGTGGAGCGATTTTGTTCATATTTGGTATGTGAATACTATAGGCATGGCACACTGTCTATTGACACTTTTGGTAGAAGGCGGCCATTTTGAAAAATGGTGGACATTTTGAAAAATGGCCGCCATTTTAACTTATTTTACTAAAACTCGAAAAGTAGTTGGGCGATTTTGTTCATATTTGGTATGTGAATACGTATAAGCATGGCACACTGTCTAATGACACTTTTGGTAGAGGGCGATCATTTTTCAAAATGGCCGCCATTTTAACGTATTTTACTATAACTCGAAAAGTAGTGGAGCGATTTTGTTCATATTCGGTATGTGAATACTGTAAGCATGGCACACTGTCTAATGACACTTTTGGTAGAAGGCGGCCATTTTGAAAAATGGCGGACATTTTGAAAAATGGCTGCCATTTTAACTTATTTTACTATAATTCGAAAAGTAGTGGAGCGATTTTGTTCATATTTTTGTACGTGAATACGTATCAGCATGGCACACTGTTTAATGACACTTTTGGTAGAAGGCGGCCATTTTTCAAAATGTCGGCCATTTTAACGTTTTTTACTATAACTCGAAAAGTAGTGGAGCGATTTTGTTCATATTTGGTATGTGAATATTATAAGCATGGCACACTGTCTAATGACACTTTTGGTAGAAGGTGCCCGTTTTGAAAAATGTTCGATGGGATTCGCTACGCTTTGGCGTTGCCGTTGTTCTGGTTTATTTTTGTACATTTTGGCTTTGAGACCAATGGACAATTTTTCCATGAAGTATATCACGATTCACACGGTTGGTTTCCCCATTTGAAACGAGGCCTGTAATTTTTGGTTACGTTATTGGTACATGAGTTTCTTGCATATTTTAATGAATTATTTGAAACAATCTCTTGTTGCAAAATCTTGGCAACGATTATATACAGTTTCAATTCATTTTATATTTTGTTTCATTTTTCATACAGAAATAATATATTAAATATATGCTGTAACCCAATTGTATTTCTTATTATTGAAATGGAATAAACAGAAAATTGACAAAAATCTGTTCAAGCTGAGAGAACTGAAGTGACTCCTTGTAATATTATAATGTTAAGTTATTACAAATGAGATGTCATTAACTCTGAAAATAGTCCTGTTTGGTTCATTTGCATGGGGCATGTTGCATGATTGATTTAACCTCTGTAAAACCCAACATAGATTCAGTAAGTACTAATTGTGACTTGCATTCTCAATATACTTCTAAAGCCAACAATGAGATTAAAATTCTGTTTTAGATAAAGTTTTGTTGAAAATTTTCAAAACACATAGGACATGCTATTTAACATTTTCAAGGCATGATTTAATGCCGAATAATGTACCCTAATTGTGATTTGATCATATGCAAAGCGCTTATGAACACTTGATGGAGGCCCTTGAATTTGTGCAAATGCAGCAACATATAAGATCATAAAACTCTGCTTTATATCTTCAACTGATGCAAAATATAAAACCTCTATTTAAATTTTATACATTTCAAGTGTTAATCTAAGCTTAAACTTTATATTTGTAAAAGAGAACATATTATCCCATAAGATTCAACCCAATTTCTACCCTCAATGTGATAAGTAGAGCACTGAGGAGGATTTCTCCCAGCTACCCAAGTATCCGTCAACCAATCAAATCAATCGATCCATGTTTTTGCAACACTGACATTAATTGAACTGGAGTGAATGTCATTACAATTGGGATGTAATCCTCTTCAGCCTTTAATCCTGCAACTGGTATCTTTGGATTGCCCAACCTTCTTTTGAACACAACTGATTCTATCTGTAGGTCATAGACGACCCAGGTCGAAGGTCAAAGATCACTTTGTCTCGATGTTCCTCTAAATCCTCGACCCGTTCTATGAGATTTGAGGAAGAACTAAGCACTAGTGAGATCAGTGGATACTCAGTGCTGGGGCCTACCACTCGTAGACAGTGGAGTGAATATTGTCACAAACCAGTCACATCTCAGAGCGAGGTATACGTCATCTATAGATGATCATACACAGCATACATGTCATGTTTCCCAAGGTGAAATACACAGGACTGCTTCAAATTTTGAGATAAACATGAGATGCAGAAATGTATAAAATCAGTAAAAGCAGTAAAGGCTCCAGTACACATTTTCATGCAGGGTAGAGATCTTTTTTCTCTAAACCATTTGTTTGAATGGGACGAGAAGCCATCCAATCAGTTGCTAAATTCCAAATGACTGCATTTCTCATGAGAACATAAACTCCTAAAGTTATTTGATTTCCTACTCAGGGAGTTCTAGATAATTTTATTTTATTCTTTGTTTCAAAGTGGTCCTCGCATTTCATCAGAGAAACATGAGATATGACATTCATTGCTAAACAATGCAGTGCAATTTGCAGTGAAACTTCTGTGTTAATATTTCACTTTCCTTAAAAATGTCAATTAAATAAAATCTATTTCAAAATGGCACCATCTTTGTCTGTCAGCCTGCTATGAACTCGCATTGCATTGATGCTTTCTTGCGTGTTTTAATGACATCATCATTCGGTGTCTTGCACATGTAACACCCTGCCTTTCTCCAGCATCATTGTCAGTTATCTTGGCATTTGGAATTGCTTGCTTGAAAGCATTTTTACCATTCTTTCATGTCTGAGTTCCAACTTTTTCTACTCTACTGTGTTTACAATAATAACAGGTTTATGTATGCTGTTGTAAACAACATTGAAAATGATAAAAATACTTTTGATGAAAATGTTAAAAGATTCCTCACTCAGAATATGCTAAAAGTGGCTTACTTATGCTTGCAACTGCTAGAGTAAAATTTCATATTATGTCAACACCATAAGTGGTGAACATATTGTTGTAGTATCCAACTTTTTGTGGCAATGGTGTTCAGCCATTGTTGTTTGGCTGTTGGTGTTTGGTGGCTATAACAAATGGAAGGTAGTGACATTTTGCATTGTAGTGCCTTGTTATTATCTTGATGATATTCCTCCTCAAATCAACTTACTTATTTTGGTGAATTTTTCATTCCTCATTGATGTCAAATTTATCTTCATGCATTCAGATTATGATATTTTGTTGGCTTTAGAGTGCTCTCATAAAAATACACGTACCATGTAACTGAGTGCAATCTACTTGTTATTTAACCCATGACATGTGTGCCTACCATATTAAACCTTTCAATTAAACCTTCCAAACCTAATACTTTTTAAACTAACAAGAGGACATACCTCAAGGACATATCTCAAAAAATTGTGTTTAACAATTCCTCAATTTTGAACAAGTAGAAATAAGCCATTGTTTAGACAATATTTTGAGAAATTGTTCCCAGTCTCTGAATGTTTGGGGGTATGTTGGATGAATTCATATTCACAGTTTGATCTCTAATATGTCAACCCTAAACCATATACAGGGCTTGTGCTAAGTGCAAGTTCACTTGTCATTGGAAAGTAATTTCTTGCAGACCATTTGATATGTCACCGCCAAAAGTGGTGACATATTGTTGTCGTCTCAAACATTTTTGTGGCAATGGTTGGAGTTCAGCCATTGTTGTTTGGCTGTTGGTGTTTGGTGTTTATAACAAATGGAAGGTAGTGACATTTAGCATGATAGTGCCTTGTTATCAAATGTTGCATGCAGGAAAATAGATTCAGATTGCAATTGTGAACAGCTGTTCTCATTTAGCTATAGTCCTGATTATACGAACAGCAGTTCTCTTATTAATGTTTAACCATTGTATAAATGAGCAGTGAATAACTTTAACAATGAAGAGAGTTGTTCACTACAGGTAGGTGGTAAGTATTCACTATTAAGGAAAGGAACATGATCTGGATTGTAAAAAATATGTTCTCCAGAGACAGACAGACATATTGCTGTTATTACCTAGCTTTGGTATCTTAGAATTTAATAAAAAATCCTTCCGTGGATTTGATAGTAAAGAATTCTAGAATGCTATTATGCCCTGTTCTATTAATTTTCATCACATGATACTGTATATTCAAGCATTCATTATGCTTCAGTAGTCAGTGCTTTATGTGCACATGCATTTAAGACTCATTTTTTTGCTTGTAGAAATAATATTCATTGCTGCTTTCGCAATAAAAATGTTCATTTGGATAATTGTGATTCTTCCTAGCATATTTATGATAATCCCCTGTTACCAATCCTCTTTTATTGTTTGTTTGAAAGGTGAGATAACCTTCCTTTCAATTAATGTTGCATCAATACAAATTTTTCAGTCTGAGGAAGAAGATGGCAAGAAAACACCAAGTAGACGTATGCGTGAGAGACCCCCCTCTAGCAATGGCAGCAGTGCTCGCTCAAGTCGCAGCAGCTCCAGGGCATCTAAGAAAACACCAAATAAGCGAAAATGTAAGTTTTGCCAATTGTACAGAAGGGTAAACAGAGAGACTCTTGGAATTAGATCATAATTTGAATCAATCCATCTCATGGAATCATTCATAATGTACTATTTCACTAAATTTTAATCAAAATTGTAAAAATAAGAAGTCTGTATCCACTTAACACAAAAGCCTGATGAGATAAAGTAAAGATTTAACACACTCGTACATTGTCCTTCACAAGATTTTAACATTAATTCTTTTTTTAATCATGATTACGACAAAAGTGATGTTGATTTTTCCAGCTCTAAAGAAGGGAGCAAAGACTGGCAGAGGATCAGCCAACAGTAAGAAAGCATTGGAAAGTCTAGACTTGCTACATACACATACAGTCCTCAGTACTACCTCCCAACAGAGTAAGTCTTTATGCAACATTTAGGATTAACCATTGAGGCATAAACAATATGTCTTACAAACCTAAAAAGGCACTTGTTTGGAAGTAACTAGGGACTAGGCCCTCTTTTGTGGAACTAAAATATTGTCACAAAACCTCAGTCACATTTGCAGGGGTGCAGATGTAGATTCACAAAATTGATATAGAAAATCTACATCGTACTGCTTATCCCTATATTTTATGCTGCATATTTCTCTCGATTCTCAAGGGCTAGGATCTTGGTTAAATAACTGTTTTTATTTCAAGGTGAAGGTCGCTCACTGAACTACAACGACAAGAGTATGGAAGGTTCCCAGGCCAAGTATGATAAACTAAAGGCCTCTGCTCTACCTGCCCAGACTCAATTCACTGAGGAAGAAACACCCCCAGCTCTCAACCGCCTACTAGGTGAGAACTAGTGAGAAAATAAGGCTAAACCAATTTTAATTTGTGCCCCCACACTGGTATTTCCTCTGCAGTTGTCATGAAACTCTATTCGAATTACAATATCTTGAATTAAAATTGTTACATGGCTTAGAATGATTAGCTCTATTTCGAAATGCTTTTTACATAAATAAGAGAATTATATTTGTAGTGCCGTCATATATCATTCAAATAAAACATCCGAAAAGAAGTATTTTTGTAATCTCACCATCAAGACGTGGATAACCATTCTTTAGCTACCAATTTTAGTAACTGGTATCTGGCATCAGCAGTCAATATCTGTAACAAATTGTCACACTTCTGTAACCGATTGCAATAACTTACACCTTATTGTCATATTAATGCATTGTTTTCTGTTGTTGTAGATAAATTCCGCCAGCAGTATATGCAGCACCTGTCTCTGATGAAGTGTCCCCAGTACAAAGCAGCAGTTAAGCAGCAAATAGATGATGAGAGGGCACTTAACATGGAACTCAAGTCTAAAACAAGTCAGCTGGAAAAGCAGATACAGAACTTACAGAAAGACAGCGTGGGTCAACTGAAAGCCAGACTTAGTGAGGTAGGTCTAGATATCTGAATCGTGCTAAGTATGGATAGGTGAACAAATAAATATAGATGTAGATGTCTGAATAAAAAATGGTCAATGCTGGCTACTATTACTAAGTGAATTTAATAATTCAAAACAAATTTTGAATAGAGGATTAGACTAAAAGAATGTCTAAAATAATGAATATAAATATATTAAAGTACATGTAAATCATATTTATCTTCAGCTTGGTATCACAGCCAACACCCCTGCAGAGTTCCTAGCTAAGGCTAAGGAGATTGTGATGCGTCACAAAGAGCTAGAGGTGCAGGCCTCTAACATACAGATGACAGTCTCTGCCCTGGAGGGAGAACAACAGAGGCTCCTTGGCTCACACCAACAGGCTCTCTATGACCAGGCAATTCTCTCAGGAAAACTCAAGGTAAACTTGCTACTGGATACATGTAAAATAAAACCTGTATATTATGGAATACCTCTTTCAATTTAATGTGACTAAACTGTGTTGTGGCCATTTTCAGAACCTGGATGTTGCCATTGACTCTGTGTTATTTGAATATTTTAATTAATGTACAAACTATGAAACATCTGTAAAGTTGCATGTGTACCGTACCTGGTATATGATGCTGTATGTGGCGTATTTTGATATTCCTTTCATTTGTATGATGAATTGTATGTGGCATCTAAATATGATGTACCTTTCATTTCTACGATGTATATTGTATGTGGCATCTAAATATGACGTACCTTTCATTTATATGATGTATTGTATTGTGCATCTAAATATGACGTACCTTTCATTTCTACGATGTATATTGTATGTGGCATCTAAAAATGACGTACCTTTCATTTATATGATGTATTATATGTTTCAGGAGGGGATGCCAGGTATGACTCAGGAGCTGATTATGAAGGAGATTACAGCCTCTCTAGCTCACAAACAGCAGCTTATTAGTCGTCTCGAGAAATTCGATTCCGACTCCAAACTTAGCCAGGAGAATAACAGTCTCCAACACGAGAACCATAAATATTTACCTCAGCCTGGTTCAAAGCAGGGTCAACATTCCAAAATGTCTTCTCCAAAATCTCAAGCAGCATCAAAACTTTCTGGTAATCCTAAAGCAGGGAACAGGAGGAAAAAGCAACAAGTTAAGGAAAAGGGTGAAAAGGACAAAGTTAGTCAGGAATATATGCAAAACTTTGATGCACGCTTGAAGAGCATTATCGCCTCCGCTTTAATGGGAGAGTATCCAGATATGGAAAAACAAAAAGAGCAAGCTAAAGTGAAAACTATGTTGTCACCTAAGGATACAAACTTACAAAATAAATCAAGTAGTCAAGAGGGATTATTAGATCACAAAAATGTATCTCCGGCAAAGCTTGCCCTTAAACGGCATTTATCCCAGGAAAGGTTGGATATTGAATCAGAACATGAATCAAAAAAGGAGATATTACATAGTGGTCCTAATGGGATCATCAGTCTCCCTGTTAAGATCCCACTGTTGAACATTGGAGATGTAGTAGTTGGGCGTGCTGGAGCTAGTATGCCTGTCAGTATACCCTTGGCCAATGTTAATAAGCCCAAGTTGCTAGGTGGGAAACACCATGGAGCAGGGGACCATAAGAACACTATTGTGCGCTCATACTCTCCTATTAGCAGGCCTAGTAGCGGCAGTAGCACAGAGTCTGCTGAAGAGATCCAGGGACCCCCTGGAAGTATCGGTCACAGTCCAGGTCTTCATAATAAAACCCATAGCCCAAGTCAACACAGCCCTGGGGCCAAATCTGCTGCATTTAATATAGATAGTCTTGTAAAGGAGACCAAAGCAGGTATGCCTTCTCCAGGGGGAATGTTTAGACCCCATGGACATTTACCTCAGGTGCATAATCCTTATCTAATGACTAGTTACCCAGGTATAGGTGTCAGTGCTATGCCTCCTGGTGCCCTCCAAGCATACCACCAGGCAGATCTGCTATCTAAGAGCATGCCCAACTTACCACCCCACAGCCCAAGCTACCTCCAATTCCCTGACCAGAAATATCCTGCCAAACCTCAGCATTCTAAACCAGAGAGGAAGAAGCCAAGAAGGAAAAGATCCAGATCCAAATCTCCACTCACTAAAGCACCATCGAGTGGAAACTCAGAACCAGGCCAAACCTTGATGAAGACACTTATGGCAGCCAAACCCAGTGTGTTGAATATGACATCACAGCCACTAGCAGTCACAGCGATTTCCTCACCAGAATCATCTGCTAAGTCATCGCCAGTAGCTATAAGCCCTAACATTACAGCTAGGCCTGGGGCTTACTCAAGTAAGTTGCGTATGTTTTTTGTCATCGCCACAAGTGGTGACATATTGTTATAGTCTCCAACTTTGTGGTTGGTGTTTGGCATTTGGTGTCTGTAACATGGCAGGTGGTGACATTTTGCTTGGTAATGCCTTGTTTTGTTTTGTCATGTTTTAGTATAAAAATAGAATTTAGTAGTTAACATTCATACTTATTCACACCACATATTTCTATAGTCTCATTCCTACACCTAATCAATTGCTTCAGTGCATGGTCAAGTGTCAGTGTTTTTATTATTTGTTTAATTTATTTTTCAGGGTTATTAGAAAATCATTGATTTTGAGGTCTGACCCTTCATTAATCTGACATGATTGATTTTGTGAGAAAAAATATTGATGTTTTGCCAAGACCAAGCCATTTCGGCTCATGATTTCATTTTTTGGGATTTAAAAGCACACATTTGGTTGAATAGCAATGACACTTAAATGAAACACTAATAGTCTGCCACTATAATGTAACTTCATATGCATATAAGCTACATGATATACATGCTTACATACATAGATAAGTTTTAATGAGGGTAGGCAGTACAATCTTTAAAATAACTCTGACATCGTAACATTTCAACCTAATTGCTGGTGTTTATTTGCAGACCTTCCTCCAACTGGTACAAGAACAGGAAGAAGTGACTTTGATGCTCTTGTTGCGTTTGCATCCTCTGAGTTAGATCGCAACAAGAAAGAGACGGAGGCCAGGGGACGGGGAACACCACCAGCCTCCCCTCATAGTCGCAGTGGAAGTTCAGAAGGTAGACGTCGCAGTCAAGATAGTCACCGTAGTCGATCTCGATCCCCACTCAGTCCTCATGGTAGAGAGCCTGGCGATCCTCTAGCGCAGGGAGATGCTTATAGCAAATATGACAGACATTTTAAGAAAAAATTCTTTAATAGAAATCGTAGCCAAAATCTAAGCAGTAGTATGCCCAGTGGGGGTGGTGGGGACAATTACGGTAAATTCCGACCAAAGGGTAAAGGTTGGGATTTAAGTCACTCGGGGCGGGAGAAATCAGGACAGGGCCAGATCAGCCCTAGTGTTAGCTCAAGTTCATCTGCACCCTCCACAAGCAGTACAAGTACAACCACTACACCAGCCCCTGTGTCATCAACAACAAGCACTACCTCCAGTACTAATCCCTTCTTGGAGGCAATCAAAAGTACTTCACCTTCCTTCAATCTCGGCCTTCCTGCTGTCCCTATGGGGAACGCTAATAGCGCTGGCTTTGGCTTCACCAGTGGACTGGGAACTGTTAATGCCTTTGGGATGCCTATTACTAAGACAGGTCCTGCCTTTGGTGGCCTTGGAGAGCTAACAGCAACCACCAATCCTTTATTAGCTCCACGGGCGCAACTAGGTGGCCTAGGAATGCCACCGCCTACATCTTTACCAAAGCAACAGTTAAACTTGGAGGTGCCACGTCCAGTTATGTCTGTAGGACCTAACCCTGGAATGAGAGCCCCTACTGCTCCAGGACCAAGGGTTACCCCTGGGAATGCTGGGTCATCAAGGAGTAGCCAGCCTGAGGAAGCCACCATGAGGCCAGCAGCTGTAACCACACGCTCCACTGCTGTGAGTAGTAGTCATTACTCTAACAACTATGCCGTGAATTTGTCCCTCAAGGACAGGGTTAATTGTAGTATGAGTAATGGCACCAGAGACCATCATTTCGATGAATCTTCTACCTCTAGGCATTCTTTTAAATATCATCAAAACTCAGTCATTCAGCCAGGGAAAAAGTGGAAAACTTTGCACAGTAGTCATTAAAATTATACCACTGCATGTTATTATATATATTTTTATTTTTTATTTCGTTGCTATAGTGATAAACCACAACTATGTTGGTTGGTGCATGGCAAATTTTATGTGCAGTAATATTTGCATCGTTATTATTGTCTCTTTTGAACTGATTGTCATTATTATTATATATTGTTGGCATTGTGTTTGTATATTTCTTTAATGTGTTATTATCACTTTGTTTAGGTAAACAAATAGACTGACTGAGTTGCTCACAGTAGCCTATAGATGTCCTCCCAGCATGCGACGTCAATATGTCACCATACACATGCGACGTTATTCTGTTCACCCCAACACATCATCCTGTTACACCAAAAACAAGGACATTTATCATTTAGTTAAATTATTTGATTATTTTAACGGTCTTCCTTAACTTTTCAAATGATATGTTTTTTGGCAAAACTAGAAGCTCAAATTTCTATTACTAAGCTAAGATTTGCTTGTTAAATCCAGAAGGTGAAGGATTTCGAGAAAATGAGGTGAATATTTGGTACATATTGGTCAAACTAGTGGATCAAACTCTGGTTCAAAAACTGAACGCTGTTAAGAGGCAATTATCAGATATCTTAAAAAGGTAGAACTTACCCCTTTTTGACATTAAGTATCCTAATTGATACATTCTAATGACAAAATGCTCATGTTAACACAACGTTTGGATTGAACCAGTATTTGGTTGAGTGATTGAGCATGTGCACCACTATATTTGGCTTTCATCCTGTATTCTGTCATTGGGATTTATATATTAAGCAAAACCTTAACTAAAACAAAATTCTATGTACCCCAATTGATGGAAATCAGTTGACAGCATTTATTTAAAACATATTTTACTTATTGACTTTTGTCATTTTGCTTTCTTACATTATTAACCAATGTAGGGAAAAATCAATTGTATGCAGAATTGTTGAGTGAACAGTGTATGATTCAATGTAATAGCAAGGAGGATTAGCTCCCAGGGTTCCAACTTGATATTCTGCCATATATGGAGTCAAGATGTGATTACAAAATTCAAAATCAAAACAGCCACCTTTTTTCACTTCAGAATTTGAATTGTGAGTTTTGGTCTTATTTCCAAACAAAACATTTCAAAACATGCTCGAATTGATCGAGATATTAGTTCAAATCTTATGGATCGCTGATTATGAATTTATAGCCAGTTATAATGTTAGACAATACCATTGTTATGTCACCACCAAAAGTGGTGACATATTGTTATGGTCTCCGTTTTTTTTGCGACGGCGGTTGGCGTCCGGCGGTTGGAGGTTGGCGTCCGGCGGTTGGCGTCTGTAACAATTTCTTACAACTTCCTATAACTTAACAAATACTGTTTAGACTGACTTCAATTTTTTTCTAAATCATCTACTTGTTCTCAGAAGTTCAAATCTGACTTTAGATTTGACATTTGACCTTCAATGACCTTCTCAAGGTCAAAAAGGTCTTTTTTCAACTTGCTTCACATTGACTAAATTTTTTTTCAAAATCATCTACATGTTCTCAGAAATTCAAATCTGACTTTAGATTTGACTTTAAATTTGACATTTGACCTTCAAATCTGACTTTAGATTTGACATTTGACCTTCAATGACCTTCTCAAGGTCAAAAAAGGTCAAAAAGGTCTGTTTTCAACTTGCTTCAAATTGACTAAAAAATTTTTTCAAAATCATCTACGTGTTCTCAGAAATTCAAATCTGACTTAAGATTTGACATTTGACCTTCAATGACCTTCTCAAGGTCAAAAAAGGTCAAAAAGGTCTGTTTTCAACTTGCTTCAAATTGACTAAAAGAAATTTTCAAAATCATCTACGTGTTCTCAGAAATTCAAATCTGACTTTAGATTTGACTTAAGATTTGACATTTGACCTTCAATGACCTTCTCAAAGTCAAAAAAAGGTCAAAAAGGTCTTTTTTCAACTTGCTTCAAATTGACTAAATTTTTTTTTCAAAATCATCTACATGTTCTCAGAAATTCAAATCTGACTTTAGATTTGACATTTGACCTTCAATGACCTTCTCAATGTCAAAAAAGGTCAAAAAGGTATTTTTTCATCTTGCTTCAAATTGACTAAATTTTTTTTTCAAAATCATCTACATGTTCTCAGAAATTCAAATATGACTTTAGATTTGACATTTGACCTTCAATGACCTTCTCAAGGTCAAAAAAGGTAAAAAAGGTCTTTTTTCAACTTGCTTCAAATTGACGAATTTTTTTTTTCAAAATCATCTACATGTTCTCAGAAATACAAATCTGACTTTAGATTTGACATTTGACCTTCAATGACCTTCTCAATGTCAAAAAAGGTCAAAAAGGTATTTTTTCATCTTGCTTCAAATTGACTAAATTTTTTTTTCAAAATCATCTACATGTTCTCAGAAATTCAAATATGACTTTAGATTTGACATTTGACCTTCAATGACCTTCTCAAGGTCAAAAAAGGTAAAAAAGGTCTTTTTTCAACTTGCTTCAAATTGACGAATTTTTTTTTCAAAATCATCTACATGTTCTCAGAAATACAAATCTGACTTTAGATTTGACATTTGACCTTTAATGACCTTCTCAAGGTCAAAAAAGGTCAAAAAGGTCTGTTTTCAACTTGCTTCAAATTGACCAAATTTTTTTTTCAAAATCATCTACATCTTTTCAGAAGTTCAAATTTGACTTTACAAGTTCTCAGAAGTTCAAATCTGACTTTAGATTTGACCTTTGACCTTCAATGACCTTCTCAAGGTCAAAAAGGTCTTTTTTCAACTTGCTTCAAGTTAACTAATTTTTTTTTCAAAATCATCTACATGTTCTCAGAAGTTCAAATCTGACTTTAGATTTGACATTTGACCTTCAATGACCTTTTCAAGGTCAAAAAGGTCTTTTTTCAACTTGCTTCAAATTTACTTAATTTTTTTTCAAAATCATCTACATGTTCTCAGAAGTTCAAATCTGACTTTACATTTGACATTTGACCTTCAATGACCTTCTCAATGTCAAAAAAAGTCAAAGAGGTATTTTTTCAACTTGCTTCAGATTGAACAATTTCTTTTTTCAAAATCATCTACAGGATCCCAGAAGCTCAAATCTTCAAAAACCTTCTTAAGGTCAAAAGGTATTTTCCAACTTGCTTTAAATTGACCAAATTGTTTTAGGTGGTGACATTTTGTCATGTTAATGCCTTGTTTTCATTGTTGCTGTCAATATTGCAAGAATATCGACCATTCTCCTTGCAGTTCATTTGTGCATTCTTTGCCAAAGGAATCAGCACTGAACAAATTGCTTGGAGATTCAAAATATTAAGTTGGAACCCTGGGATCAAATCCTCCTTGGTGTAATAGTATTCATAGAATTCATTTGTTTCATTTTTATTTTGAATGGATATTTTAATTACAAACATGTTTAGAACATGCTCTGTGTTTAGAAAGCTTTGGATACAAATATATATATAAGTGTCATATTTTTAAAACAAATATGTAAATATGTGAACATATGTACAAAATAGAGTCTATTATATAAACTAATTATTGAGAAATGTTGAAAGAAAGGGTATGTGATTATTACTGATTACTCAGTTAATATGCCCTGTTTAATTTCAACTTCGCAGATATTTAAAGTGTATTAAAGAAAGTTTTATAAATTGCTAGCTTTCGGGTTTTAAGATATTGAATTGAGGTGGTCATTTATACTGTATGTTTTGTAATGTATCCAGTTGTGTTGTGAGTAGATAAGCAGTGCTATTATATGATTTAACTTTTTGTAATTGTCCATTTGAAAACTTTTATGGGATGTAGTTGTTTCTTGAATAATTACTTAGACAAGGGCTCTTACATTGAAATGTAATCAGTATGTTTCATTCATAGATGTGTTACTGAATGGGTGGTTAGAAGTATTACTGAAGAGGTGGTTAGATGTGCTACTGAATGGGTGGTGAAATGTGTTACTGAATGGGTGGTTAGAGGTCTTACTGAATGGGTGGTGAAATGTGTTACTGAATGGGTGGTTAGAGGTCTTACTGAATGGGTTGTGAAATGTGTTACTGAATGGGTGGTTAGAGGTCTTACTGAATGGGTGGTGAAATGTGTTACTGAATGGGTGGTTAGATGTGTTACTGAATGGGTGGTTAGAGGACTTACTGAATGGGTGGTTAGATGTGTTACTGAATGGGTGGTTAGAGGTCTTACTGAATGGGTGGTTAGAGATGTTATTGAATAGGCTGTAAGAGGTGTTACTGGAAAAATGGGTGGTTAGATGTCTTACTTCATGAGGTGTTACTGACATGGTTAGAGATGTTACTGAATTGTTGCTACATGTGTTATTTCATGGGTGGTTAGAGGTGTTACAGAATGGGTCGAGATATTACTGAATGGATGATTAGAGGTGTTTCTGAATGGTCAGCCAGAGAGTACATGTGTTACTAAATGGGTTTTTTGGAGGTGTTACTGAATGGGCTGTTAGTGATGTTACTGAATGGGTTATTAGTAATGTCACTGAATGGGCAATTAGGGGTGTTACTGAATGGATTGTTAGAGAGGGAACTCTATGGGTGTTTAAATATATAACTGATTGGGTGGTTTGAGATAACTGAAAACATTTCAAAGTAAGTACATGAACTGTTAATGCAATTTTATATGATTTGGAATGAAATTGGAATGAATTATTTTAATGTACTAGAACACTCAGGGCTTGGTCAGTATTACTTTTTTTATATAAAAGGACCAGATCAAATCAAGACAAATTAACATATGTTGATCAACATATGAACTTGCCAAAAAATTGAAAAATTAGTTACAGTAGTTAATACAGGGTGGAAACATCTAATGTTGGTTAAGTGCAGGAGCAATTCAGACTTCCTGGATATTTACTATTAAACACCCTGACAAACACATACACTAGGACATATGGGCCATTTTCAATAACTGTATTGGATCAGAACTGGCTTCCAGAAATTCCTTGGAACGAATGATATTACAATTGCATTTGGTGTTCTATTTTGTCTTGTGATTAAGAACCTTTTATTATAAGTGGAAAAATAAATGATGCAAAATTCTTGATATTCATTGATGAAATGTCATGCTCCTGTACTTCAACTAAATTAGGCATTTCTACTCCATGATAAATTTGAACTTGTTTGTAATGGATTAAAAGATTAAGAGATTATTATTATATATGGTTATAGAAAGCCCTGAATATTATTTCGACTCAAGATTTTTAATGTTCAATGTGTTAAATATGCAATCATGGCATTTAATTGTATATCATAGACATGTATTTTTGAACATGTTCTATGAGGTTGCTGCCTGAGAGAGAGCTAACAAAAGTTGTATGGGATATATAAGCAGGCACATTTGCCATGTTATCAAACATCTGGTGAGCCAATAGCTGGAAGTTCAGTACTTCATTTAAAACACAGGATCAAATCCTTTTCTCACCCTTGAGCCATACACCCTTTGTTAGCTCTCATCTATATTAATAAAAAGATCTCTCTTGTATTGTATGAAGTGATATTACCTTCAGGTTAAGATTCAGTAGCTGTGAGCACATATAGGTGAATTCTAAATTGTTTATTTTGTGTATTAGCCATACAGGATATGTTAGATGATCATGCATTATTGGTACCAGTATTTTTTCCATTGGTAGCTCTGCATAAGTACCAGCCCAGCATTTGCTCATTGGTACCCCCTGCGATGGTACCAATGTTCTTGCATTGGTTCACCCACTTAAGTACAAGCATTTCTTTCGAAGGTACCCCTGCATTAGTACCAGCATTTCTTGCAATGGTACCTATGCATAAGAACAAGCATTTCTTGAAATCGTACCCCTGCAGTGAAAAAAAGTATTCTTGCATTGATACCAGCATTCTGTTCATTACTCTAATGGTGCAAACAATGAAATAATAACATAAATCATGAGTAATGTTCTAAATGCTGTATAAGATCCAATGTCTCCATGTGTGCGCGATTTGTTGAAGATACAGTGTCTAAATGACGTTCAGTGTCTATAAAGATCCATGATCATAAAACATCTTGTGTATGGTTAGGTATTGTGTAAAAGTAGTTAGATCAGGTTATTTGGCTTGCTCAATGTCATTCAATCCACATACAAATATCTACTATGTATAGAACTTACTGAAGAACTATTCTTTTTAAAAAAAATTTCAAAAATTTTAGTTTCCATTAAATTGTATACACTGTATGTAGAAGTCCCATGTTTGATCATTGTAAAAGATGAAAAAAAATTAATTGAATTTAATAAAAGTACTTGTTAAACATGTTCACGCCATTGAAAAAATGTATGGATTCAGATCAAGTGTTAAATGAAAATTAAGGAATTATAGATTTAAATTTCTAAACCATCTGGCAAGGACCAAACACACTTTCATTATGAATTGAATTATTGTGTACAAAGTCAGCTTTGTTTGATACTTTTGCATGAAAGATGTTATATTCCAAATGTTTGTATGAACTAGTGTAGAGAAATATTTTGAGAGTTAATACTTTTATACGTCTGAAGTAACTGAGAAAATGAAAATTCTTAATTTTTTATAATAAATATTGAATAAATTAAACTCTTGAGTTTCTGTTTTCTATTGAAATTGTATTTATTATATCAAAAATATATTTATCTTTACAATACATTTTCTAGCAAAATAGCCTAATTAGGCAGTAATTATTATCTTAATGTCTACTAGGTAAACAAGAGGACTCCACTCAGGGGTTGAGCCAAGGTTCTGAGAATAGCTGGTCAAAATGGCATTATGGACCAGTTTCCATGTTATTTTCCTATGCCTACTGAAAAAATCAACTGGTCCTTTAATAAGTGACCTTGCAAAAAGTCACTGACCAGTTGGGAAGAATTTCTTTACTTTCTGGAAGTAATCATATAATTTTGAATTCATTTTTCTCCTAAAATGACAGATCTTGCTCTCAGCACCCTACCCAATAGACACATGACTTGTTGGCATGGCAACAGTGACAACATTTACTGAAACTTAGGAACATGTCTTCAGTATTGACTATTAATTTCAATGTAACAATTCTTTAGAAAAACTGTTTCAAGTGCAAGTTATACTTTGTTGCAATGCTAATGGATCTTTCCTAAAATCTGAATACCAAAGTAACAAATAATGTCTAAAATCTGAACATTGTTCACTGTACAATGGATATTCATTCTTGAGCGAATAATCTGAACACCATGGTAACAAATATTGTCTGAACATTAAACAACATTTATCATTGATATTGATTCTAGAGAGCTTGCTACCTCCTCAACCTAAGGAAATAAGCATGCTTACAATCTTTTGAACTTTCGTGGAAATATTTATCGTAAAAGTTTAGAATAAATTCTTCTGGTTTGAAGCCAAACTTTTGGTAGAGTAACATGGCTGGGTTGGTTGCAGATACATGGAGAGTGACATCTTTCCCCATACATGTCTGTATAAGGTGGTAAAGCATGAATGTGCCAATGCCAGCTCCCCTCCACTCTGGATGTGTGAACAGGAAAGAGATGTATGCCTCATTATATTTCACATCTGGCACCATAAATGCAAACCCTATCAGGAATTTCCTGCAATTAACAATTAAAAACATCTACTGTATAATTCAAAAATTGCCATATCAAATCAAGTAAAACTTGTCAAATCAAAATGCCACTGGAACTGGTCAAATGTTTGGATTAGCATTTGTTCACAATTCAAGCTTTTTTGTATGTGAATCAATTGGGAAATAACAAAATTGGAACCAAGTAAAAGTATCCAATGAGAGATGTATAGGTTTTTATTGTAGATTAATATTCTTTCAAATGGGTCAAAATGGCCCAGATGAAACCAAACTGAAAATTTTCTTGATTCGTTTTTTGTAAATACTCCTAAATATGAACAATACATGTACATATACAGGGAATTATCAGTTAAAATAGTAAATAATATTGAATATTTTAAAGTAGAAACCAAACTGAAAACGCCGAATGCCAAATGCCGAACAGTATCCACAAAAATGTTGGGGACTATATAACAATATGTCACCACTTGTGACACTTCTACTTGTTACAAATGACACCTAGCCCATACAAATGTTCATGGGTAAATGAAACATTCATTTAAAGATCATTCTTTATGTACCTATATAACACCACACAGCTGAAGTCTGGGTATTGTAAGCATTCAGATACTGCAAATACATGAACACTTCTATTATACATGAGATGCATCTTAATGTTTAGCACTATCTTAACTCCCAATCATTTTTAACGCTGTATTGTTTTTAAATTCTGGAATTTTGGGATATTATAAATTGCAAAATTTTCAAAAAACACTAAGGTCAGTAAAAGACACAAAATTACTCAGAGTAGTGGACAGTATTTACAATTGAGACTCATCACAAAGGATAAGAAAAACAAGGCATTAACATGCAAAATGTCACCATCATTTGTTACAGACACCAATCACCAACTGCCGATCGCCGACCGCCGTCACAAAAAACGGAGATAACAATTTGGTGGTGACAACAGTGAATAAAGTAAATATTACAATCAAACTTACAATCAATCCCTGGCCAGAAAAATTGGCGAGCAAGAGCATTAACGGAGGGAATGTGCTGGGGCCTAATGTAACAATAGTCAATAGGGGGCATCTTTGGGGGTTTCACATCTGGCATGTTCCTACAAATAGAGAGGAAGTAGACTAAAGCTATAAAGGAAAAATATCACTTCTGGTCACCAAGATTCAAAATCAAGACAAACTAGCTGGGCGTTTTTGACAATTTTAATTTTCCAATTTATTTTTGCATTTTAGTAAAAATAAATTTTCTTCACATTTACTATCTAAAACCAATAAGCTATGATGAGTCTTGTGAATTTGACATATAGTGTGAAAATAATTAGCTCAAATTCACTCAAAAATTATTTTCTAAATATATAATTGTTAACTTACCGATTGGGGTATGATATGATCTCTTGAAGAAGTCTCATCTTGATTGGTTGAGATTCATAGTCCCTTCGTATGTAAGGTTTTAGCATCCTACAACGCAACACTTGAAATGTAATCAAAGTACAACATTTGTAGCAATTTCAAAATGTTTTCAAATATGATAAGTGGCTTTAAAATATTTAAAATCATGGTTTTCAGTGTTTTGAGAAAAAAATTTAATTTTGTTATGGCTAATGACTTTTATCCCCACTCCCTCCACCTTATCAAGAGTTTAACATTATGATTTAGTTAATTATGTTTCTAAGGCCAAAATTCAATATTTTACACAAAACAAAATTATAATTTACTCTTTTCCCTCACAAAACTAGCTTTGTCCCCCCTGACTGTCGACATTTGAACCAAGTGTTCATTTTGTAAAATTACTTCATCACTAATTTAGATCATTTTACACATATCCCCGTGATCTATTAGCTCACCGTGCTGTATATGGGCTACGGATACTTTCCAACTGCTCATCATCTGTTCCTATTAGCCGATTTATGAAAGATATTTTTTGGTTCTCCCTTGGTAAGGAAAATGTTGGGTGCTAAAAATATCAAATGGAATTGAATAGCATGAGACTATAATAACCCATTTGACTTGAATAGTAACATAAATAATGTATGATTGTGGTAGCTGTCACCAAGATTTTCAATGAAAGAATGGGTGGCTGAATGCCTGAAATGTCATGTGATTAAAATAGACTCAAACACTGTGAGAATCAATCAATTTAAAACTGAAAGAAAAAATCAAATCATGGGCCATCAACATACCTATGAACTCTGATCAAAATTAATAAATAAATAATTAAAATCTTTTGAAAAAATCCAACCCCAAATGTGGCACATGAGAGCAGAGAAAAATCTCACCTGAAACCTGTCCAATACCCTATAGTCACCCTGCTGGTATGGTGAGGGGACATTGTGAGGATTCAGCATGTACTGCGACATGTTTGTATTTTCTTTACTAGACCCAGTCAGTCGATACATCTCAGCATCAATATCAAACAATGCCTGTCCCTTCTCCCTTTTGATCTGAAATAACCAATTAGGAACATGAATTTTAATGTCAGTTTTTGTGAGTCAACCTCTTCAATGGTTTACCTTTAAACATGCTGACAAGTATTTAAATAGCCAAAATTCTATATAGTAATTTAATCCTAAATAAACACCTTCTATACTGTACTGAACATACAGGGTGACCAGACCCATTTACCTTGCTTCTGGGACACCCTGTAGATTATCACAGTGGCATTCATTCTATAAATTTCAAACTACTGCAACTCACTTGTCGGACTTTCAGTTTCTGCCTGAATCTGTTCAGATCTGGTGTAAGGCTGCCACAGTTGTAAACATTTTGTAACCTCCTCAATAGCTGCCTCTCCTCATGTAGGCTAACTGGCATGTACCTATGTATACAATATATAGAATATACAATATGTACAAGTGAATACAATATACAAAGTGTACCGACATAAGGTTTGTGTATGTTTACCTTCACATTCGTTTAACTTAGCTTCTCAAAAGATAGCTTAGTCTACTCTCTTTTTAAGTTTCCAAGAAACCTTACTGAGCAAACAAGAACTTGTCGTCGCAAGAAGGACGATTTTCTATATATGGTCATTTCTCCTAAAGGACAATGTTCAGTGTTTTATGAATCTCAAGAGATGCTATGCTTTACTTACTTGATAGGAGGTGGTTTTGGAGGAGGTACAGCTATAGCAGCACTGATACGTTTCATGCGATTATCAACCCTGAGTTGTAACCCATTAGCCTCATCTTCACTTTCGGAGCTGACCTCTGACCCTGGAGGAGACTGGTTTACAGGGTGATCGGAATTACTGGGGACTTGCTCTGGGACTACAGGGGGTGCCACATCTATGGATGACATGTCTGAGTCAGAGTCAGACTCTTTTTCGATTTTCACTAGCTTTGAACTTTCAAATCCTGAAGCTGTAGAAGTGAATAATAATTTGAAATTTCATCTTATTCAGAATACATCACATCAAAATCAACAAGATTTTTTGAGAATAGACCCTTATTTTTGATCAAGGTCGAATGACATATAAGTCTGGAACAACAAACATCTAACTTAATACAAATTTTACTATCAAATTCAACAACAGCAACAAGATGTTTGCAAGCTAAAAATTATAAACGTTTTATTCAAACATGATTCTATTGACAGATAAATGATTCTATTTTCAGCTCTGTAAGCCGAAATTTGCCACATCAAATCAAATCAAAATCAAAAATTCTTTTTTGGCAAAACCAAAATTTGCCAAACCCGCCAATTAAATAGCAAACCACATGAAATAAAATCTAATCTCATATTCCTATCCAAGAAAAGTACATGCACTTACTACTTGGCTCCCCCAGACTTGATAATATGTCTTCCATGTCTGGGAGTGGTTGGTTGAAGGGTGGAGAGGAGGGTGGTGTCATCCCACAAGGATCAACCTCAAAGTCACTATCCATGTCTCCATCTTCTTCATCATGCAATAACAGATCTGGAAGCTCATCTGAAGAAAGATTTGAAGCCTGATGTAGTGAAAAGGTCTATATCAATATACATCTTTGTCGACTCTATAAACTAATGAAATTGAGGGTTAGGGGTAAATGTATAAACAAATGAATTGGATGATGCGAGTACTAGAATCACTTTTAACCAAATTCAACAATTTTTAATCATTTTAATGATTATTCTATGATATGTGACGTCACAATAACTAGAATTGATTTATTGGTCTATATTGGCGCATATATGACCACTTATTTAAAAAGTTGTTTTTCTGGTTCATTTATCATATTACACCTAGATTCTATGATTTATGGCAAATATATGACCTCAGATTTTATTCTGGCCATTGCCAAACACCTCAAACGTACGCAATTTCGGTCTTTTAACAATGAACAGAATAAAATTTTCAGTCATATAATTATTGCACCATAAAATCATAGAATGTCAGTCTTTATTCTTTAACTATAGATATATGTCCTATCACTGGAATTGATGATGGGTGCTACTGTACAGTAGAGTATGAAAGAGTACATACTGCCTATGACAAGGTCCTTCTCTGTGAACCAATTATCCCTGGAATTCTCTGATGATGTATCACCTATGGGAGAAACCTGCCTGCTGTTGGCCTACAATTCCACATACATCTACATATACTGGATGAGCATAATGTAAAAGTGGTTTTGAAAAGTAGCAAATTTCTCTTTATGTAGGTTTTTTGTGGTTTATTATTCTACATTGATTCTGAAACTATTGGTGTCTAGTTTTTCAGCGTTTTGGAAATATGCAGATTTATACCCCCTGGTGTTATTTTAAGGGGGGGTCCTAGGAAAGCCATGTATAATTCCTAGAGTATCCAACCAATCATCTTGAAATTTACAGGTAATCATCTTCTTATCATGTCCTATCATTGTGAGCAGTTTCATCAATATTGGTTAGCTGGTTGCTATGGTAACAGAAATCACTTGTTAAAAAAGTACACATTTCGTAAAAATTTAAGACCTACCCTGAGACAAAGCACATAATATTTTCCTGGAATTGGGAGGAATTAGCATGAAAACATATTAGAAAACTTATTTAGAGTATGGTTGATAATACTAAATCAATTGATGTTTTATTTTAGCCATACAATTAATTATATTTGCCGATGATAATATGGCTATGCAAAAAATGTGTAAAAGGGGGCGTGGCACTTTTCCCAAGAAAACTTTATTTGTACCCAAGTTTGTGAATAAATATATGACTATTCATTCTGATATTAACAGATATTAGTAAAGTTATGATGTTTAACCATCATGGGAAGTTTCGCTATTGTTGGTCTGCTGGTTGTTATGGTAACAGAAATCATTTGTTAAAACAGTTGACCATTAAAGGGGTATGGGGTATATTATCTAATTAAGGATATAAACTTTGTCTTCAAATATACATTCATGGCTTTGTGAGGTCATCAATGTGATTTTATTTATGTGTGCTTAATTTGCATCTTGGAATGAAGTTTTGAGGAAAACGCATTTTAACAAAATCAAATAAATTATTGTTTATATTAAATAAATTCATTAATCTCATTCTGGATGAAACTAATTTATCACTCACTCACATGCTTACCTATATATTTGTTTCTTTTTAAATCAACCTGACATCTTTATGAAATATACATGTTTGAGTGATTCCCGCCTTGCTTAATATCCAGATAGAAAATAATGTTATTCATAAAAATAGTTAATAATTCCTATTTGATATAACAATAATACCAAATTTAGAGCATTAATTAAATGTTGCAATTAGAATTTAGACTTCATTAATGTGATGGCAAATTAAATCTGCATTCCTAGGAATAAGTTGTATATGCAATGATAAATCAGTTGTTGATATGAGCTTTTGTTGTCAATTTTATGCTTCAATTACCACAGTTCATGCCTTCTTGATTAGCTGTGCAGACCTGATGAAATAGATATACGTTGTGCGGTTAAGCTGTGCTACATCTAGATAGAGGTGAGTGATTGTGGACAGGTGAGTGATTTAAGTCAGGTGAGTGATTTTGGACAGTGGTTCCAAACAGTGCGGTGCGGTTGCCTAACTGATTACGGGGCAGTTGCGAGTGATTTTGGACAGTGGTTCCAGACAGTGCGGTGCGGTTGCGTAACTGTGTAGATGCAGAGGCATTCTTTATTTTCTTTATTTTATAATTTTAGGGTGAAGTCAAGGTAGGTGATCTAATACACATTGTTTATGTGTGCTGCATACAGATAAAGTTTAGTGACTCTGTGTTAATAGATTGAGTGATTTTGGACAGTGGTTCCAGATAGTGTGCTGCGGTTGCAGTTGTGCTATATACACAGTTATTCCTTATTTTTTACTTTTACGTTTCAGTTAAGGTAGGTGATTTAATACACCATCGTTTAGTTTCCATTATTGCATCGTGGAGTGTTGCCCTTCCAATATATATACTTTTTTCCATATATCATGCAACTGAGTAGAACCCTGTAAATCAATGTATTAGTGTTGTTACGTATATATCATGTCCGAGAGAAGTTTGAGGAAAAGATCCTCTGCTCTAGCAATTGGTGAAGAATGTCATAGTAAGAAATTACGCCAAAGCAACCTTTTTGAACAAAACAAGTGCCTCTTTTGTGAAAAAGATCTGAAATATCTCAAAGGAAACACAAAAGAATCATTAACAAAATGCCAAACAGACAACGCTTCAACATCAATAATAAATGCAGTGAAAGCCCAAGAAGACTGGACTTTACATGCAAAAATAGGAGGACGCTGTTTGATATCAGCAGAAGCTTGGTACCATAATACCTGTAGAAGAAATTACTTGTGCAAGAAAGTACAAACGATACATGAAGAGGAAAAGGTTTTAATAACATCATTTGACTTCATATGTAAGCATATAGATGAACATATCCTTCAAACCGATGGAGTTGAAACACTTGAACATGTCCATGAGCTGTATCAGGCACATATGAAGGAAAACAATCTGAGTGACCATAACCCCAAATATAAACAGCTCTTCCTGAAGAACAAACTTTCTGTTCGCTATAAAGATGACCTTTGTTGCAATCTACTCTTAATTGCCTTTCATTTGAGTATAATAAAGCTGTACTTCATAGAGATCTAAAAATTAGCGAAAATTTCTGTTTTCCTGAAAAACACAGAATATATGTGAAATAGATAGATGTTGCGAATATAAATATATAAATTATATATAATAATATAAATTTCAAACAATAATATTAATTACTTTGGTTTAGAATGAAAAATTTATGATTTTTGCGAAAAAGTCCCGTCATTTTTAAAGCGGCGGCCATCTTGAAAAAAAAGACTGACGGACGGACGGAGGGCTTAACTATATCCCTACCGAACTTCGTTCGTTGGGATAATAATGTAGATATCAAGGAAAACTGACATTATTTTTTCACTTTGAACACAAATAAAGAATTCTTAGGAAATTGTGCCATGGCCCCTTTCTAATTTTTTTGCAAAGCCAGTTTACTATCAGCAAGTAGAATTCTTTGTATGGCTAAGATAAAGCATCAATTGATTTAATTTTATGAAACATACTCTAAATAAATTTTCTAAAATGTTCTCATCCTGACTGTCATAAAAATATCATGTGTTTTGTGTCAAGGTATGGCTTAGATTTTTAAGAAAATACAATCTTTTTTAACAAATGATTTCTGTTACCATAACAACCAGCAGACCAACAATAGTGAAACTTCCCATGATGGTTAAACATCATAACTATACTAATGTCTGTTAATATCAGAATGAATAGTCATATATTTATTCACAAACTTGGGTACAAATAAAGTTTTCTTGGGAAAAGTGCCACGCCCCCTTTTACACATTTTTTGCATAGCCATATTATCATCGGCAAATATAATTAATTGTATGGCTAAAATAAAACATCAATTGATTTAGTATTATCAACCATACTCTAAATAAGTTTTCTAATATGTTTTCATGCTAATTCCTCCCAATTCCAGGAAAATATTATGTGCTTTGTCTCAGGGTAGGTCTTAAATTTTTACGAAAATGTGTACTTTTTTAACAAGTGATTTCTGTTACCATAGCAACCAGTTAACCAATATTGATGAAACTGCTCACAATGATAGGACATGATAAGAAGATGGTTACCTGTAAATTTCAAGATGATTGGTTGGATACTCTAGGAATTATACATGGCTTTCCTAGGACCCCTCTTAAAATAACACCAGGGGGGTATAAATCTGCATATTTCCAAAACGCTGAAAAACTAGACACCAATAGTTTCAGAATCAATGTAGAATAATAAACCAAAAAAAACCTACATAAAGAGAAATTTGCTACTTTTCAAAACCACTTTTACATTATGCTCATCCAGTAATACAAAGTTTTTAAAGAGAAGAAAACATAAGACCATAATTGTAGTTTAATACACAAATCTCCTCAATACTCATTGAAAATTGAGGCCTCAGTAGGATCTTAATTGTAGAATATTTTATGTCACCCTCTAGGTACATCACTGTCTTTGTAATTTCTTTTTATTGTCTTTTACTAAAAATAGAAATTATTTCAATCACTTCAACTCAATGAAAACAATACATTCTTGGCACTAACCTGTATCAAAGCTTCACTTTGTGTAGGACCCGTTGAAAGTCTTGTTTTACTAATTTCTGCTCCTTTACTTGCTTTAGGGGGTGTTGTTGTCACAATGGATGCACCTTTATCTAGTGATTCTCTGGACCCTCTAGTCCTGTCTGTTGAGTCCTTCTTGCTCTCCTATAACAATGGTTCATCATAAGACTAGAACTACCCTTGATCCCAAAAGGCTAGCTACACTAACCTCTGACTATACAGATGATGATAATGGGATCATAACAAATGTGGCATTCATGGCATTTTAAGAGATTTTGATGAGTGTAAGCTGCATAAAAGTAGAAAATGGTTCTGAGGATTATCAGTTATATAAAGAACATGGATAAGAGTAAGCTCTTGCAAAGGATACATGGAAGTACTAGACAATGAAAAACTGTAATAATGATGCATCATTTAAAGGTTCCCATAAGACTCTCATGTTGAGAGAGTCGAGAATTAGCAGTATTGTCCCAATCAAAATTTTGCTAACATGCATATTTGACCTGCTATCATCACTCACAGGTGGAAAAATTTACTCACTAGGTTGCTTCTAGAAAAGGAAATTTGATGCATACAATGTTTCAAATTACATTCAAAGATACAGGGTGATCATTAAGTTCTGGGAATTGGTCTGCCATTTCAAGATTTCTCAACCATTTGAGTTGAAATTTTCAGCAGGTGCACATTGTATAATTCTGAATTGACAAGCAATGTTTCATATACATATCACATCTACAATTTATTTGTGGTGGTTCGCGGGTCAGCAAATTTTGACTGATGTTAATTTGAAAATTTCCTGCCAAAGCATATTCATCTTGCCTAGATAGTTGCTTCAAACTACTTGTACTACTGGCAGAACAGTACTCTTGAAGTCATTTATTCAGAAGTATTCTTCGTTGCTGAGAGGACCATTTCATTTATGATTGTTTCCATTAGCCTGGACGCATATGTGTTGTTGACAAACTTAGTCCATAAAGATGTGTTCCAGTCCTCCCTTTGGCATCCCTTGAAGATTTGCTCAAGCTGTTGAAATCAATCCCTTATTGGAATCAAACTTATGACCTCTCATATGATGCTTTAGCACCCCAAAATGTAGTGAAGCCTATGATGCTTCATCTGGGGAATACTGCCTGATGAATATGGGGCAGTAATAACTTGTGTGAACCCCAATTCTTCAAGAGTAGTATGGGCAGCTTGAGTAATGGGAAGGAGCATAGTCATAATGGAAGATAACTCCCCGCTATTTTTGGTCATAATTGTTAGTTTGAGATGCTGATGAATGATACAAAAATAGAGCAAAGTACACTCTTATATACCAATAAAGATGTTACTTTAGAAACTTAAGTTAGAAGTATTTGAAAATATAAAAAATCACAGAAATATGTCCACCAAATAGGTGTTTATTAACCATACTTTTGGATAAAGGAAAATTTGAATTCATTTTTATTTTACTTGACCCGCTACGCCATTTATCATGTTGCTATAGTAACAACAATTATCCATTGTGACATCAGATGACAATGAAACTGTTTTATCCAACCCAAAATTACATTCCCCATTTACCTTGAAAATTTCAAGTAAATTGGTTGAAAAATAATGAAATGACAGATAAATTCCCAGAACTTAGTGATCACCCTGTATATGTTTTACAACAGAATTGCTCAATATTTTTCTCTGATCTTATTGAGTGACTCACTCATTCATTCATCGTCGTTTTCCACTGGGTCTAGAGAGGTAGGAACAACTGAAAACTTGTGAATCAAGATGCACTCATTCTCAATGGGAACAAATATTCAAATAGAAATAACACAAATGAATAAACACAAGGAGCACACGCTCAAGCTCTCTCGGCCAACTAGACAACCCTAAAAAGGTTGTTTTGTAAGTCGATCTGACTAGAGGCAGCTGATGTTAACGCTCGAACACACCAGAGGAAAAACACATTTGAGCTGAGAATATAAGAAAAACAGAATGGTCCTGGGAAGATTGTGAAAAGATGTGATCATCTGTTTCATCATGTTGCAACTGTATATTATTCACATTCAACTTTCAGACCCACATTTACCTTGCTCTCTGTAAAGCCCCCATATCTTTTAGCCTTTAGTTCAATGGCTGCCTGGTAGGAACTTCGACTACGTCTGCTACGTAAACCTTCCAGTTTCACCACTTCATTGTCCTCTCTGTCGCGCTTACTGTAGCGACGACTAGTCACCTCTGGAATGTAAAATGAATATTGTATCTCACTTGGGTAGAAACCTTGATAAACCTTGGCTGCAAGTACATGTACTGTAAATGTATTCAGTTTATTTACCAGGTTATTCATATAGAGTAATACTAGATTAGAATATAAAATAGATTTTCAGTTCAATTTATGTTGGAAACATAATTCTCATAAACTCTGTATGGGTACACTAAAAACATAAACTTTTGTACAAATGATTATCCCCCACTTCACCCATGGATATAGACCTACCCAAATCAAGTAAAGTAGGAGGAGGTTTATGTTCCCTGAGCCTCCACCAACCAGCCTCCTTCAGTTCTGAAGACCCAGGGACAAAATAATGAGGTGACCCTGTTGAGAGAACCCCAGCCACTGTCCCCTGCCATGTTGTTCCCTTTCTCCTAGTCCCAGGCCCAAAGAATGTCACCCAATGCTTGTCGATGAAGCCGCATATGTGGTCCTTCCAACGAAAGAAGTTCCCTTTACCCTGTTTTGTAAGCTGTAGGTTGTAGAGGGCTAGGATTACTACCTGTAACCTAAAACAGGGTGGACAAGCATTCATAAACATAATGAAATACATTTGTTATATTCGTATACTCTTAAAATGTTAAAACAAAACATATACAGTACTGGGTTCTCCCAAGAATCTAATTGCATGGCGCTCCCCCCTGCTCACTCAATTTACCCCCCCCCCCCCTCTGTTCCCCCCTGCTATAATCTTAAACGGGCCAAGGGAAGAAGTCTTCAATTTTGAGGCAGCATGGGGGAGGTGGTTTGATATGCACCCCAGAAGATGCAGGGACAGGAGGCTTTAAGGAAACTGAAAAATGAACACTACAACCATTTCTAAATGAGATCTTGTGTTTATTTACATTTTGCAAGTGAAGAAATAATAACCATAGCTGAAGTACATTTGACAAAGTACACGAGCAAAGCGAGCGGCAAAAATGTACCCAAAAATCATGCGAGCGAAGCGAGCTGCGAAACTTGTTAAAAAATCCCCCCTGACATGAAAAAATCCTGGGGAGATCACTGCAGTATTTAACTTTTGTTCAAAATGACAAAATCAGCCTTTGGCCAAAATTTTTGAAACAGCAGAATTGTTACAAAATATTGTTTAAGTACAACAATAATCTCCCAAAAATAATCTGCACCCTGTTGACAATAACATACCCCTTTGTTGAAAACCTTTTTTCATCCTGACAAAATGATGTAAAACAAAATTGGAAAAATTAGCATTTTTGACCTGTTGAGAAAAAATCCTGAAAGGTGACAGTACAAAGCGAAAAAAATAACTGTTTTTTGAGTTACCATTGAAGTTTTGGTCTTGAGATATGTTCCTCTCCATTGGCACTACAGGATGAGCATGTCAAGTTGAACAGTACATCCCCTGATAGACTAGTGGGAAGTATCTTCTTAAGGCAACCTTAAATGTAGATAACAGAGGTTTAAGTAACAACTAGCAATTTTCTCAGGTTGTTTTTACAGAAAATTACACATTGTTTTGAAGATTTTACAACTGTTTCCATGTTAAAATTATAATTTTCAATATCTTACACCCCCAATCCGTACTCCGAAATCACGGTACCGCACGGTACTGTTTGAGCTTACACTACCATACAGTATCGTATTTCATGGTACCGTACGATGCGATAGCCAAAACAGTACCATACAGTACCGTTGGAGATTGGCTGTGTATCCATATCATGTTTCCACTTGTTTAATCTGTTGTCTGAAATTCTACTGACACCATAAAGATATTATTTTTGCAGATTTAAAATTCGTGAAATTTTGAAAAAAGCAACAAAACCAAGGGTTATGCATAAACAATGAAAAGCACGGACGTCAAGTAAAAGTATGTTTGTCTTTTACAGGCATGGAATTTTTTGTTTTTACAACAATGAATTAGGTGTATAATTATGCTGGGTGTTACATGCATATTGTACCTTTATGGAAGTTGTGTTTGCAAGTTTTACACTGCAGCATTTGGTCGTCCATTGTGGTATTATCACAGTAGCATTGAGCTTGCATTGCCTCAATCTGTTCTTTTGCACTTGACGTTCCCGTGGTGATCTACACAAAAAAAAGAATTCATCATATGGAAGGTTCTTGTGTCATGCTTACTTAGTCTTAAAATATATAAACATGTGACATGTACATGTTTTGGCTTCAATGATGACTAGGCTAGTGCTGCACATATGCTGAATTTACTGTCGATATCTAAATCTTATACATGTATATACCAATTTGTACTAGATGTACTAACAATGGTTCTAGAAGTGAGTCAATTACAATATGTCCGGAGAAAAAAACTTATGTGGGGTACTGAGTAACTCAGTACCCCACATAAGTTTTTTTCTCGCATAGTTTAAAGTACTGGAGAAACATTTTCAAGAGGATCTGGTTTTTATTCATAGAGATTCAAGTAATACTGGCAGAGCATGAGTCATATCAAAATAATTGAGTCATACATAATTTGCGCTAAACGTTCAGTTTTCACAGCTAGCTTCAATCAACAATTCAACATTTTACGTTGCTTACCATTATAATAAATGGTGAGTTTTCAAAATAAAGTGCTTCTTCTAAAATGGATTTGCCTATACAGTTAAATCTATGAACAGTGAACACCCATGGAGCCAAAAAATGTAGGTAGGTGTTCACTACAAGGAGGCAAATGTATACAGAACTCAATGGAGTTTGTGTTGAGAAGAGGTGTTCACAAGACAAAGGTGTTCACTAAAAAAATCTGTTCACTAACACAGGTTTTACTGTATATCATTCTTTGGTCCACCATTTTTGTAGAAATTACTTTGAAACACAAATTCCATGGAACAAAATAAAATGACTAGAGAACAAGCTGACGATAATATGGTACGATAAAAACATGGCAAATGTGAGCATACGTCACTGTTAGGTAAAACCAATCAGATTATTTGAATATTTTGTGCACATGAATTATTTACTCCTGAGCACCTTCCTATAAAATCTAACTACAATAAACGAACCTGGCAGAGATTACCCTTACTTCATTTTAGCAAAATGTGAGCTCAAACTTCTGACAAATGCATCATGCATACAATAGTACAGTGTATGAGGCGTTGGAGACACCGATCATTTTGGTAGATATGATTCAAGGTCAGTCTATATATTCGGAATTTTGATGCAATCCTCAATAGAGTCGCATGTTATTTTTCAAATATCAATCACACTATTTGAAAAATAAGATGTGACTCTATTGAGGATTGCATCAAAATTCCGAACATGCTGGGCAACCTTAAGATGTATACTTCTCTGCAGTTTTGGAGAGTTTGGGATATCAAATGGTACAATTCAAGAAAATATGTCAAATATGCAATTTATCAATTATTTTTGGCTAGAACTGTAATTTAAAACCACATCATGCAATGGAAATATTTTTATACCATGCCAGGATGGAAAAAAGTATTTCAACAATGCTGTACTGGAGGAAAGTGGAGGTGTATCATTTGCAGCCACCTTGTGAATCACCTTATGAATATGGCCACCAAGCTGTGGGTCTGCAAAATTTTGATGAATGCAAACTTCCAATATACTGTACTCTCGATTAATTTCGCAAGTTTTAATTTCGCGAATTTTGAGAAAACACAATTTCAATTTATTCTCTGAATCCTCAAGCTCTGTAAATAAAGTAACCCCATGTACAATAAGTACACCTCTAGTACATCGTCATTTTTCGTATATTTGATCTAATAAGACACTGTAAAAGACATAGTTGCTTAGAATCCCATTTATTGCCTAATTAAACTGAACAAAAGTTTTACAAATCACGAAATGCAATGGAGTTCAAGGTCATAAGAAATTCACAAATTCCCTGGGATTTAATTGACAATTTAGCGAACGATTAATTTTAACACGATTTTACCACAATAGTGAAAAGCGCGAAACCAAATCGCAGCGACAAATACTGGGAGTACAGTAGATTTATAGCGTTATTTTAAGCAGCATAATTGTTTGTATCCTTTATAGCGTTATAATGCCGCTTATTGGTCACGTGTTACTGGTTATTCCCTTGTGTATGTATGTATAATTTATTTACCTCTTAAATAAAAGAGAGTTACATTCATATTAACATGTAGAGAAAATTAAATAAAATTATAAAACATATTTGTGTTACTTGATGTAAGGTAAAGAGGATAACTAACTTTTATCCACAAGAAATTGCCTATGCCGGTGTAACTCGTACACATGCATAGCTATGAGTAACAGAGTCTCCTTATCATCATTGTATACAGTTCCTAGAATCACTCTAAGGATATAATCGTCGTTCATTACATTCATATTACCTCTCGCTAAATTGAGTAAGGGTTTTCTAGCATCAGTAAAAGCTGGAGAAAGTAATCAAGAAATGCTTAACACTTTCTCTTTAAGATCACAAAAAATACAGAATTCTGATAAAGTTGTGTCACCCTCACGGCGTTTACTGTTAGAATATGTCAAGGTTAATAATTTGACCATCATTTTACACAGGTATAATACATTGGGGTTTTCTTTTGCGATCACCAACCATACATTCGGTTTTAGGATAGAAAAACGATCCTGTCACCACGTTTAGATTTTTATACATTAATGATGATAAAACAGTACAATAGTTGTGAAAACTCTTGACACGTCCGTAGACTACACTTCTAAATTCTTGTTTTGAAGGGATTTCTGCATTAAAAATCATGTTCTTAACATAGTCTATGAGGTTGTACTGCACAACAGTATCCCACATTTGAGATAATGGAGATTTCAGACCTTGAGATGGTGATTTTAAATACATCATCCGTATTAACCTTTCTAAACATATGACCTTATAAATACAGCTTACAGGTAGCCTTAACAACATATACAGAAACATCAATCTATCACAGTCAATTTTTGCTTTAACAGACATCCATCCAAGCAGACTAGTGGCGACAGGGTCTGGCGTATTCTTTGGTAATGTCTGAATGCGTTTTCCGACCTCTTTGTGCAGACCTCTTTGTGCTTGCTCTTGATACTTATTCACTTGTTCTTTATCAAAAGTCTAAAATTCCTTATACTATTATATACAGTTTTTATATGTGCTCATTTAAAATCTCCTGGTTTGCCTAATGTAATTGCAAAAGGCATGAAATATTGTCCTGTTTGTTGATTGTGACAGGTTTATCTTATGTCCACTTAGAGTCTGTAGATCCAGTAGTGGATTTGTATTTTCTCCTAGGAGTATACTGTCAACTTTCGAGTAGAGCTCTTGTCTTTCCAGCTCAAAGAGACCACATGTATTAATATAGTGGTCGACATAATAACGCTATAAAGGATACAAACTAACAAACATAGATAAGCCACACATGCTCAAAATGTTGTAAGATTTAGGTACTGTGAATACATTTTCATCAATTATGGGACATCCCTCGAGATGAAAGCACTAAAACACATAGGAAATTGAGTGTCATAGCTTGTTGTTGTTGTAATAGCTGTGTTCTTGGATGGCCAACTAGATTATAAACCTATAGTCTGTCTAGTGGTAAAAAAAAGTAAAATAATTTTTGAAAAACTTACATGCATATTTCTGTTCTTATCTGCCATTGTGGCCGATCTTAATATTATGTATGATTCGAAACTTAGACCCTTAATAATACAAGAATATCCTGTTCATGTTAAATCCGCCATAAATTTATTACTGTCATAATCATTGTTTTTTCCCAAAAACTTCAAAATTTCATGGCGGCTGACATCTTGGATCTCGAGCTTTAATTATCATCTCGCGAGATCTAGACTACTTAGAAAATCTACTTCCGTGTTAGTTTGTAAAGTTTAGTTCCTTTCGTTTATCGTTGATATTTGACGCTATTGGCCATGGTTTTATGTTGATACCATCAAAGACTGTAGTTTTGAAGGTAAGCTTATCTTCTTCTTCTTCTTGATCCTTTTAAGTGTCCGTGTGACACTATTGGCACTATAATGCTGCCTTTGGACACTGGTTACTCAGTTATTCACTTCGGTACTATTATCACTTATACTTTTCACTTATACTTTGCTAAGTTGGAGAGAGAGCGCTAAGAATATATTATTTCAATATTATGACGGTAGTAGAAATATAGTTAATCCTGTATTAAGTTGTAAAAGAGTCACTATCTCATGAGTTTGGTATAGAGTCACTGTCTCTTTCTTATTTTGTTTGCTTAAAATCTTTTTGTATTTTGCAGATAGCGATGCAGCGCTTCTGTGATTGTTCTGTTGGTGGGTCCGTTGATGTTTGTGTTTAGGCCTAGTATGAGTTGTAGGTCTATGATTTGCGGGTGTTGTTCTCCTAGTAAGATAGTGTCGATGCGAGCAAGTAGTTCCTCCCTTTGGTCCTGGAATAAGGAGCAGTCAAATATAAAATGGTGTATTGACTCGGGGACCATACAATGAGTACAATTAGGGGACTTATTCTCAGGGTTTAGCTTTGAGAGATGTTTGTTAAGTTGTGTGTGCCCAGACATAAATTGGTTTGTTAATACTCTATTGTACCTATTTCCTACCTGAACGCTTAAACTTTTGGTTTTGATCTTAGGGACCAGGTTTTGAATGAAACTCACTTTACTAGAGTTCTCAAATCTGGACTGCCATTTGTGAGTGCAGCCATTTTTAATCTTATTATAAGCTGTAGTCTTTGTGATGTTGGTCTCCGTGAGCTGTTTGGCATTTTCAGCTGCCTTCTTGGCCATCTTGTCTGCTAGTTCGTTGCCTTCTGTGCCCTGGTGTCCAGGTACCCAGTAGACTTGGATGGTTTTATGTTGCTGTATAAGGGTTTTACAGGCTTTGCGAATTTCGAGTATATCAGTTGTAATTCCTTTTAAGTTAGTGGTTAAGAAGGCTGATATTATTGCCGGTTGACAATCTGATAGTAGTGTAATATCAGGGCTTGTGGTGGCTGAGGTGAGGAATTCCAGTGCCAATTTCAATGCATGAATTTCGCCGATATAGTTGTTGCCAATCTTAGAGGTTGGTGATTCGATGCATATTGGGGAGGAAGACAGGCCTTGTTGGTAGATGATTGCTGCTGCCCCTGTTGGCCCTGGGTTCCCCAGTGATGAACCATCTGTGAAAACTATAGTGTCTTTATCTGGTTTTGAGGAAAGTATGTTGACTATATTGTCACTCTGTGATTGTTTAGAGTTCTTGAAGTCCTCCACATGGACTTTGACAAGTGGTAGTTTAAAAGTTTCAATGTTTTCGTTGTGGTAGATGTGTTTGTAATAACTCTCCTGAGAGGTTGGGCAGTTATACAGTCGTAATCTTGCTGCTAGGATGTTAAAGCAGGAGGGTTTGCGTTCTAGCGTAGATGACTGGGCTTATTAATTTTAGCAATGGCAGTTTTGTACGATTTACTTTCAATCACAACATGAACATAATATTGACGTCGCGTTGTAATGACAACTTCTCCCTTGAAAAATAGTGAGTGCAAACTGTATTTATTCTTTCTAGTTGGAGAATATAATAAATTACCACTGCTCTTCCAGGATCGGCCAAAAGATGGCAAGTGTTGATATAAGTTCCCACAAGCATTGTAACAGATAGCCCCCTCCCTTACTGTTGTAACTACACTTGGGCATGTCCTTCGGGGAGCTATAGTGTACCGAGCCAGATACTAGACTCGAAAGAGAGTGTGCTAAATTCAATGCCCCGTACGGGAATCGAACCCAGGACCTTCCGTTCTCGAGTCAGATGCTCTACCCCTGATCCATAAGGCTAGCCACTACAGATGAGACTGTAGTAGCGACTTGCTATCGAAGGTCATTACACTGTTGAAAGCCCATGTCCTTACCTATTTCATGGGCATTCAAGCCCATGCCTATTTCAGAGGGTGGCCTGATCTGATTATTCAGCCTTTGCTCCCCAAATATTGTCCGCCAAGTAATTGTGATGGCCGAAACAGAAATACTGGATTTGGCTGCTTACTTTATATCTCTAAATGTTCCTAACATATCAGTTCCCTAACCTTTGCCTGAAAAACTATGGAAAGTTCCTGTGCATCTGTGCCAATCAAGACTTCTTTTTATTGGTCGAGGTGACAGCAGCTGACTTCAGTATTTCAGTTTGTATGCGTGTAAAGCTGAATATCAGAATCAGTGAGCAGCCTTTGACATAGGTAACCCCCCACTCTCTATGTATGAACCAATTAAAATAATATTATTTAATACATAGAGAGTGGGGTGACTATATGTCTAATGCCTGTGCAAGTTCCTGTGCGACACAGTCAATCGCAGTTTGATTTGGGCAAGCCCAAATCAGTTGTTATTTTCTTCCTAGTACTTTAGATGTAAAATCATAAAAGTAAGCACAAATCAAATTGCAATTGACAGTGATTGACGATGTGATGTTCAATGAGCCTTCATTTTGTTGCGACAATTTTGACAATCATTGAATACCCTGTGTCATAAAACTGAAGCTTTTACCCCCTCCGCTTGTTGTTTAGTTTACGGATAGTGGAAAATTCTCAACCAATATACTCCTAAAGTGATTACATGTAGTATATAGTGCATACATTTTGTATAATATGTAACTCTTGGATATAACATTATCTACAAGTTATTAATGTGTTTTCAAATTGTACAAGTGCCACTTCTCCTGTTCTCTCTCTCTCTCTCTGAAAAGGCAGCCAGTATGAGTAATGTAAGAGAAGATAAGAAAAGTGCTTCTTGAAGCATATATACAAGTACATCAGGCCTTTATCAGCTAGCTTTCATCAAAGGGGAGTTTGAATATACGGGGGTTGTCCCAGAAGTAATGCACTATATGGTCTAACTTTCTTTAATATTCTTCAATTCAGCTGAAATTTTGTGTATATAACAATTGAAGTTTTATCTATTATATCCTGAAGTTTCAACATCCAACATTAATATTTAGTCTTAATATGGTTGCTATAACAACATGGGGGTAGGGGTGGGCGGGGCAGGTACCAATTTTTCTAATTATAAAAAGATCTAAATTGTTATTTTATTAATATTTCTTTCCTTTAAATGGTCAAAATGTTTGGGAAATTGTTAAATTTATTCAGTATGATGTTAACCAAGTACGAATAATGACATTTAGCACTGTGATGGCATAATACCACATTTCAATAGTCACGAATTCAAGTACAGTCACAGTCAAGAAATTGCAAAAATGGCAGCAATTCTCACCTGATAACAGAAGGCCTTGCATTTGGTGGCCTAATTTCATACTTCACTTGGACTCACAGCCAAGCATAACAATGCTACCATGAAGAAAGTATATAAGGAGTATGTACCAGATAGAACTATAATTATGGGGTGGCAGAAGAGATTTAAAAGAGACGATTTGACCCTGTATGACAACTCCAAACATGGGAGGCAAAAACTCCACAAGTCACAGTGGAAGAAATTTCCGAGAGTGTTTGACCTGACAGGCTTCAAAAGTACATAACATGCAAAGAGCAATATTTTGAGAAAATGTGAAATGGGACACTGTGCAATATACATCCATCAAATCTAGGATGTGCTCATGATAATTTAGTATCTTAAAATGTATTTTTGAGCATACATTTTATAGCTACACTAAATGGTATATGCTGATTAATTGTTTCATATTTTCAATTTTTCATTCCTTTTGACGTGACTGTATAACCTGCCCCGCCCTACCCAAACTCACCAACTTGATCTTATTATAACATCAATATAGTTTTACCAGTCAACATGAAATTTTTTAGAATAATCAAAATGTCTCTCAGGAACATTTACTGAAAATTTCATGGGAAAATATCAATTATTGATAAAGTTAGAGCATATAGTGCATTACTTCTGGGACAACCCTCGTATATGATGTATCTTGTAGTCTGAAACTCCGAAGGAAGGAACAGAACAACAGATGTTTTCTAGAGCTGCCTGTTTGGAGGATATTAGTGGCATGATAAATTTTCCTTGCATACTTTTTAATTGCATATCAGACAGATCAATGAATGATATCTGGTTTTAAGATTGTTGACAATGCCAAACTCTTACAAAGAATAGTTTTAATATATATATACAGTTAAGGTTTCAAAATGTGAGTCCATGGAAGAGAGAAAAAGTGTTCACTTTGAGAGGTATTTGGATTAGAGAGATGTTCGTACTGGTTCAACTTTATATCTCATTGGTCAGTTGATCTCTATAATTGATTTGCTTGACACTGTACGGGCCTAGATCGAAGGTAAGCTCCAACTGTCTCATGGCATAAGTGTGAAGCTAATAGAATGCCATGATTTCTCATGATGGCATGAGGGAGATGCAACAATATATATTAGGTTCTCATTTAACTGAGCATCTAACATGTCTTAGGATTTACTTACACATATAGTAAATAAAAAGTGCAACTGCATTTTTGATGAATTCATAATTAAGTTCATACCTTTACCATTAGTTGATTATGAGTCACGACACATCAGTTCTTTTATTTGCAGTTGAAGTAACAGTAGAGAAAAGTCAACTCATGAATACTCAGCCGTAAGATGTAAAATGAACTTAATATAATCCAGAAATATACAGAGAGGGATTATACATTGGATAACTGTCGCCGAAAATGGCAGGTCAGTCCTTCCCTCCCGCCAAGAAGAACTACTTTTGGGGCAGAATTTCACGGGATGATTCCGAATTGGAGCTAAAGAGAGGAGGTTTCACTGAAGGAAAATTCTTGCTTAGGGAAAGCATATCCACACCTGGGAACTATGTCATATCCATCGTGCATAATAACAAGTAAGGATTTCTTTTAGAATTACGTGATCAGAAACGAGAGGGAATTTTGAAATTTTAGGCCCAATTTTTTAAAAATAGGCTCAAAGAATAATGCCAGTTTGTTTACCTTAATTGCCCAATTTATTGTGGTTAGAAGCAGATTTTAGGTTCTAAGATAAAATTAAGCCTCAATTTCCTTTCAGGACCATCTAAGGGCCCCTATCCCCCCATCTGCCATTATCTATTTAGCTCCCAAAATATCCAGTCAACTCAAAATTACACTTGTTCAGCAAACCAGGAAAAGAATCAGGATACTCGGTAATGAATCTGGTCTGATTTCTGAGATAATGTGACATAATTGAGTCCAATTAATTTTTCTGTATTCATGACATCATGTGAGTCCATTTTGCAAATGTTGAGGAATATTTTTAGATCAAGCAAATTACAGTACAAGTGTACTATGTTTTAAAGAATGACGTGATTTAATCATATATCAATTGAGTGATGAAAATGTTCAGATGGAAATCACCATTGGGATTAACCAAAACCTCTCTGCAAGCCAGAAAAGACAGGATTCTTAGTAACATAATGAATGGCATGATGCATTATATCAAAATAAAAAATATTTCGTTTTTGATTAGAAATCAATAATGTCATTTCGAAGGGCAAAATAGTGAAATATTGGACCGAGTGCCGAAGGCAGTATATTTCCCGGGGAAATTGTCGGGCGTTAATGCATTATTGACCCACCACTGACGTCACATTTTGCTCAGGTTGTTATAGTAAAATAAATGCCTTCTAAACTAGCATTAACACCCCTAGAACAGGCCCGGCAAGGTTGTAATAATAATGACCATTGACCATCATAATGCATCATGATCATGGACATAATAAGTAATCTCTGATAAAATTGATGAATAGTTCTTGCCCCCTTACAAAGAGTTAAGACATACCATAAATCATGATATACATTATAGATAATAACAACACAGTAGATTGCATACTGGAGATTGATGTAACATCTGAGAGTGATTTTAATTGCCTATCTATCATATTATGTACATGTATCTATTCACTTGTTATTAACAATAGCAGATAGACCTTTGACTTATTCCGCAGTAAATATGTGCCACATGTTGGGCCTGACAACAGATTGAGCTTCTTAAGACATCCGTTTAATTCGGGAATGACATAAAAATTAGAGTATATGTATTATTTAGAGACTAGTATTTATTAAAAACACCCTGTCATAAGAAAATAAATAGTACGGTATAAGTATATTATCAGTCAGTTAAAAAGATTAAGTGACTGTTGGATGTAATTCATATTTTTTCAGATCAAAACTAAAAGTACAACTTAACTTTTGACATAACCCATAAGAGCAGTGAATACAAGATGTTTGGGTGGTTAACTTAATTGCAGTCTACTTAAAGACAGTGCAGTTATTAAAAGTAAAACTAGTATCATAGTCTGATCATACTATCTGGCCTTAAAAAAGTAATTTGAAAACCTAAAATACATTCAGAAAAAAGTTAGCAAATGCTTAAGCCAGGTTGTGTGAAATAAGCACTGGTCCACTGGTCCTGACCAGTTCCTTTTAGTCTCAGGAAAATTACTTCAAAATTTGTCCATACTTTCATCTTTGACCAGCATGTCTAAAATCCTTTAACATAAAGGTTAATTGAACACTTGTTTCTATGCCTGCATCCAGTAACTTATTAAGGTGCAATATCAATAAAGCACAACATTGACTGTTTTATTTTGATGTATCAATTCATCCTAAAGAGGTTGATTTTAATCTGAGAAAATACATTTGCACAGCCAATAGACACAAAATTGCAACCAACACCAAGCAACAATTGACCACTACCAGCTATTATTAATCATCTCAAAAAAGGTTAAAGAATGAATGGTCAAATGATGAAGTTATATAAGATGCAAAGTGTAAAATATGTAAATTGTCCCATTTCAAATAATAAACATAGACATCCACATTAATAGAAAGATGAACACATTAATGTTTCAGAAAATAAGCACAATGAGGAATTATATGAGCCCAAAATATTGTAAAATTGAAACAATTTTGGAAATCTTGCTTGCTAGCTCAGTGTTTTTCAATTCACTTATTCCGGTTGCAGGGTACACCACTACAGCATAGAGCGGCAGCCAGATGGTAAAGTAATGATAGCTGATGGTAAGAGGTTCAGTGGTCCAGTTGAGCTGCTTGAACACCATCGTAAAACTCTTGATGGATTTTTGACGAAACCAACAGTGGAATGCAGGCGTCCCACTGGCCAGAGCCCTATCTATTATAGAGAAGTGACAACACTTATGTTGGACAAAGAATTATTTGCGGCTGCACAAAGGAAGGGTTTAACAGTAAGTTCATTTATATACAGTAAAACCTGTCTGATTGGAACACCTTTGGTACCTCTAAAAAGTATTGGAAGGCTTTCCACTGAAAAGGTTCATTTAAAATTAAGTCATTTGGTCTTGGAAATCTGAAAATTGTTTCAGTAACAAAGGTGTTCCACTTCTGGAGGTGTTCCACTTACAGGTTTCACTGTATACTATACGTATTATAACAAAAACATACATAATGTTGCCTGTCTGCAATTTTAAATATCTTGAAGATTGGATTTTATTCTGGTATTTGCCTCTTCACATACTTTAGTAAGTCTTTGGTAGCCCTGACTAGGTTTCTTTAACCTTTAACCATTTGTCATTTTTTGTTGTTGCGAAACAAGATAATCAAGCATAACACTCAAATAAAACTTCAAAGGCAAATGTCTCAATCTAAATGTTAAAATGAAAAATTGAACTCTTAAATGTTGCCACAGAGTTGAAGTCGTGACATTAATTCCTTATAAAATTTAAAGTAATGACAGTGTCAGAATATGCTGACTTTATATTTGAATCGCTTATCATAGTTCAAAATCCCTATGATTTTTTTTATTTAAAAGTTTTACTGCTTAAATAACAATTCACCAATTATTATCTCTAAGCAGACTATTAGAATTCAAATTCTTAAAAAATGATTCTTACATTTTTTATCAAATGTCATTTTACCATTACATACTAAAAAAGATTAATTCATGATATTTCTAATTACAGTAAAACCTGTCGTAGTGAACACCTCTCCCTAGTGAACACCTGTGTTAAGTGAACACCACTTCAAGACACATTTTACATTGACTTCTGTATAGAATTCCCTCTCTGTAGTGAACACTTTCCTACAGTGAACACTTTTCTGTGGCTCCATAGGCATTCACTATATACAGGTTTTACTGTAAATGAAATTCCAAGATGAATTTGGATTGTTACACAAAAGCTATTGCTGAGCATGCTATTTTTTATACATTTCCATTATAGGGAGCAAAGTTGGCTGATGCCCTTGGACCACAAAGGGCATTATTCATCAAAGAGGTGTCTCGCAACCTCCACACAAAAATGTCCTGGTTCCATGGTCAGATTGACAGAGATGAAGCTGGAAGGAGAATTAACATGTCCGGTCACAAAGATGGAAAATTCCTGTAAGTTTGTTCACACTTTACATATTTCAATAACGTATATACATTTGAAGCCTTATGATACAAGATTCTATGGTACCTTCCTTGTTTTTACTATTTTCCCCACCTGCAATATTTGTTTTTAACAATCTTCAGAATTTCTTTATATATAGTTGAGGACTAGTAAAATAGGTGAAGACTGGGGAGGTCTGTGTGTGAAATATATTTTCACTTCATGAACTTCATGATGTAGAGGGGAAAATCCCAAAATTACCTGGATATAAAATGAATAGGCAGAAGTTATACAATGTATTGTATGGTAAAAGGAGAATGAGTTCATAAAAATCCTAAATACAGGGTGTCCATAAAGAATAATCAATATTTTTCAGTGTCAGGCAGCGTGATGACCCTTCCAGTTTTGCCCTGACCATTAGTCACCAGATGGGAAGTAAACATTACAGAGTGGATAAAGATATGAGGGCACACACATTCTGCATAGAGGCAGGCCCTAAGTTTGACAACCTTATGCTAGTAAGTTAATTTGGTTCGTGCTGAAGTCTTTTTTAAACATTACATGTTTCATAAACATACATACATAATTTCAAATTTACAGGGTTAATAGACTGAATAATGCATTACTTGTGCAAAAATCTAAGATTGGTATTAGCATCCATTACTTATTGATCACCCCTCATATAAAAAATAGGGATCACATGTTGTATTCCATTGCACATAAACAACGCTGTTTACTATGTGGAGATAACTATCAAAGAAACTATGCATTGCATCTAATCACAAAATTTCAGGCTCTTGATCTCTGGCATTTTTCCAGATGAATTTAATATTTGAACAATATGGTCAAATTTGAAAATGCCAGTTATATTCGATGTAAAATGATCCTGATTTCCAGGCATTTAACTTTGAATTCATTTTGTGAGACATATTTATGTCTTTTTGACTAGCATTGTTGTAGTCTATAACAAGATTCAATGAATTAGTTCTCCAGAATAATAATGCAGTGAATTAAAAAACAGAAATTTCAAATAAATAGTATTTTAGAAAATAACCTTCGATAAACTTTACATTTGGGGATGTCTCTACCACTTTGATGGGAAAATGGGCAATATTAAAATGTGTATATTAAAATAAAATAATATTAAAATATTTCAGCTGATAGACCATTACTACAACAGGACTGATGGCTTACTATGCAAACTCACAGAGGCTTGTAAAGCACCAGGATTCGAACAAGTGGAACAAGGTACATATATGTCTTAAGAGGCTCATTAAGGGGGAATATTACTTAGAGAAAACAGTACTCTTGAAAAACTAAGAGTTCAATTCTTTTAGCATTAATTTTTAAATGAGGTCATTGATCAAGACATTGGTTTGCGATTTTCGACATTTTGACAGATCAAATTGTAACTCTGCCTTGTTGATCGCCCACCGATTGCATTATGACATCACATGGCTTGAGGTAAAATGCAAAACCAATTGATTTGAGAGCTACCTTTTCACGTGGTCATGGAGTGTTAAAATCATCATTTTGTCTAGATTAATAGATGCCACAGCCTGACTAGGTAATTTTAACATATATTCTTCAAATTATGAGTGTTGCCTTTTCTCCATGCGAGTTTACCAAATGGTGCCATATTTAAAAATTTGAATAACTTTATCCTCTGATTTCTTTTTTCATCAACATTTTCTATTGTGGAACTATATTCAACCAAGTTAAACTTTATAAAGAAAATCAATTCAGTAAAATTGTTGAACTATATTTGCTGGATTAACTCTTACCAGGGCTATATTTTTGTGTATTTCAGTATATGCTGGTCTAGATGACAATGCATTCTACAGCTCAATAGGGGACATGAATCTAAACTCCACACTCACCAATGGAGTCTCCCCGACTAGACCATTACAACCTATAGGCAACAATCCATGGGTTGGTACATGTTTTGTATTTAACAGATTTTCAATTTTGATTTTTATGCTCTTTTTATGCCACTCTTGTGGCAGAAATGTCTATTTGATTCAGGCCTGTAACCAGGATTTGCCAAGGGGGGTTCACTAATTGAAAAATTCCAGGCGGGTTCAGTTGTGAGAATTTTGGTCCAAAAATGGCCAAAATCACTTAAAAAGTGCTCAGAATGGTGAAAAACTGCATGATTTTGAAAGATTTTTTGGCCAGGGGGGGGGTTTCTATGGGTTCGAGCGACCCCCCCCCCCTGGCTACAGGCCTGTTGATTAGATGCAATGCTAGACAATATTGACATAAAAGTAAAATCCTTTTAAGCATAATCTAATTACTAGAAAGAGTAGGCTAACGGAACTTACATATTGTAGGAGTCCGGAGCTAGAGCGCGTCCCCCAAGGCCAACAGAACCACCTAAGATAGACATGAGAAATCTGATTGACCTAGATGAACCAGAAAGTAAGTATAATGTACACATTTACATCCCTGCTTTTTTATAAGACTGATGCACTCTGACCTTGGCATATAGTTGTATCTGTGATATAATATTGTACACAATAATATTGTACAGAAAATATGTGTTTTCTGATTAGTGACCTTGCGATTGCTTTTTGTCAAATTGTTTTTCTGTTACTCAGTATTCTTGCAAAAATTGCAGATTTGGCTTCATTATATTTGATTTGATTTGATTTGAAAACTATGTTTATTCTGGGTAGCTCTATCAGTACAAAAACTGGTCTTCCTAGAGGCCCAGTAATAATTTACAATTATTTACAATGTGTACAATAAATATAGAAACATACAAATAGATATATAGGACATATAGAACAATTTGATATATATGCATCTTCAAAGTATGCATTTACATGAAACATAGAGAACAACTTATAAGAGAATAACATAAATATAAGGAACAATGTCTTTAAAATGCATTTACATGATTTTCATTTTCTGATCTGATACACTTGTTTATATGCTTTCTTAAAAGAGTTTACAGAATCAGACTCTTTGACGGTCTTATCAAGCTTGTTTCAAAGATGTGAACCACTGTATGATATGCTTTTCTTAAATATTTCAAGTTTTGGTTTTGGTACATAAAGTGAATTTTCCACAACTGCTCTAGTGGCATAATTATGGACAGACTTTGTCTCTTTGAAACAGTTTTGAATATATGGGGGAGAGATGCATGAAATAGCCTGGTACATTAAAATTGATTTCCTATATCTAATCATTTCCTGAATTGGAGTCCAATTTAGGGACTGAAATAAAGTGACACTTGAAATATCGAAACTGGCTCTCAGTATAATTCGTGCTGCCATCTTTTGAAGTTTCTCTAGTCTAGTCAGATAGATTTTATTAGAACATTCTCCCCAGACAATTGAGCAGTAATTAAATTCTGGTAATATGATTGTATTATAAATTGTGATGAGTGCTTCCTTTGAAACAAATGGTTTAAGCCTTCTTAAAATACCTATTTTACAAGAAATCTTTGAACAAAGCTTTTCAATATGTACTTTGAATGCTAATTTGTCGTCCACAATAACACCTAAGTATTTATAAGTTTCAACATTTTCAATCACATTATTTGATATCGTTATGGTATCTTCATCATTTCCATACTTTGAGGTATTTCCTATTTTCATTAATTTTGTTTTACTATAGTTTAAATTCATCTTATTACATTTCATCCATTCATCAATACAGTTAATATCATTTTGAAGTAGTGTATGAAGAGATGTTACATCACAAGTTGACCTAGTTAAAGTAGTATCATCTGCAAACAGTCTGATGCAACCATCTTGACTGCATACCTTGGCTAAGTCATTGATAAAAATTATGAAGAGCAAAGGACCGATTATCGATCCTTGCGGAATTCCCAAAGAGACAGAAGGTGTATCATCTAAAATAACAGTTTGTTTCCTATTTTTTAAGTAGTGTTGAAACCAAAGTAAACTTTTACTGCTTACACCATACAATTTTAACTTTTCTAGTAAGATCGAATGATCAACAAGATCAAACGCCTTACTCAGGTCTAAAAATATAGTTCCCGTTAATTTACCTTCGTTAACATTTTTTAGCCATTCATCACATAAAGAAAGAAGTGCTGTCTCTGTTGAATGATGATCTCTAAAACCTGATTGCCATATTGTAAATAGGTTGTTGGCTTTAAAATACATATATAATTGATTATGAACAGCCCTCTCTAGTATTTTTGATATAATAGGAAGTATTGAAATAGGCCTATAATTATTAGTTTCATATTTGTTGCCTTGTTTGTAAACAGGCACTACTTTGGCATGTTTCCATTCATCAGGGATTTCACTGGTGTTTAATGACATGTTAATGATAAAGGTCACATATGGTGCTATTACATTACTGGCTAGCTTCAATAATTTACAGCTGATACCATCAAGTCCAGTGGCTTTGGATAAGGTCATGTCCTTAATTGTTTTGATTACAAACTCACAAGTAACTTCTTGGAGCTCAAATGAGGTATTATGTTGATTGATATAATCAAGTGGGTTTTTTCCAGTCTGTTGAATCTTTTTAGAAATTGTTGGTCCTATATTGCTGAAAAAGTTATTGAAGGCATTGGCCACTTCATATGGGGAGGATATTTCATTTCCTTCAACAATTAACGATTTTTGAGTTTCTTTCATTTTCTGTGGCAGTAGAGTTTTTAAGCACTTCCACATGTTAGAGGGTTTATGCTCGTTCGTTTTAATTTTGTCTTTATAGTATTTTGCTTTAGCTTCTCTGATTAGGTATGTTACTCTGTTCCTTAATCTATTTGAATTTCTCCTATCATCTTCACTTCCTGTTGCATCTGCAACTTTCTTGTAATAATCTCTCTTGTTCATAAGTTGTAGAATTTCATCATTAATATATGGCTTTGAACCTGCTTTCATGCGCTTTTCAACAATTGGTGCATGTTTGTCTACTACCTCCATAAACAGGCACTTAAAGCTCATCCAGGCACTATTTACATCATTACATAATTTGATATCACCCCATGGGACTTTATTCAAGTCACGCTCAAAGTCATTGTGATTAAAATGTTTGAACCTCCTATACTTTAGTGTTTTATGTGTATATTTTACATTCCTGGTTGATCGCACTGTGGAAACTATATTGTGATCGCTTAAATTACAGCTAGTGACCACTGCTGGAGTGTATTTCTCAGGGTTATTAGTCAATATCCAATCAATAAGTGATACACTGTCGCGAGTGATGCGTGTTGGGTGAGACACAATTTGTGTTAGATTATGAAGTTCACTTAAAAACAATAAATCCTTTGTTGATTTTGATAAGGTATCTGTATTCAGATCACAGTTAACATCACCCATTATAATTATTTCTTTATTTTCAGAGTCAGCTCTATTCAATGATTCAGATAAAGTGTTCATATAATTTTGATTTGAGGATGGAGATCTGTAGAGTGATGAAACAAGTATTGGCTTAATAAATTTGGGTCTTAGTTCAACCCATACCATGTCCAGATCATTAAATTGTAGATCAACTCTCTGTACATATTCAATATCCTGAGAAATATATATACATACCCCCTTTGAATGTCTATTATTGTCCTTCCTTACCATCGTATAGCCTGGAATGTCTATTTCAGAATCATGTATTGAATTATCAAGCCATGTTTCACTTATTGTGATGATGTCATATGCATGTTTTTGATGTAGGCATCTCAGTTCTTCAATTTTAGGAAACAGACTTCTCACATTATGATGACATAATTTAATTCCACTTATGGTTTTATCTTTCATTAATGGGGTAGTAGTGTGTAGTGTGTCCCTGTGTGACCTCTCTTGGAGGTCAACATATTTCAAAGTTATGGCTAGAAAGAATCTAATATCTAGGTAATTAGTCAGTCTGCTAGTACTGTAGCACTCACATGAAGAATTCTCTGAGCCTTCTTCATTGCTGTATCCCTAGGCACAATTACAAGGACACAATTTACTTTTGTGCCCCAATTCTCCGCAAACGTAACATTTCACTCTCATTAAGCAATTTCGCGCTTGATGATTTGTTTCTCCACAGCAGTAACAAGGGTTCTTTCTGATTGATTTTTCAGGGAGATATATCATGGGTTTTCAACTCTAATTGAAAGCCCATGATTATATCAACCAGGAAAGTCAAAAGTCTGGCGCATTTCATTGAATTTAAGCCTGTGATGTTCAATTTCTCATTACCAGATTACTGTGTGTTCTAGCTATCAGACTGATATGAGTAAAGCTATGCATCTCTTCAGGCAGTTTCTATCTTTTTAATGCATCATTTTGATATGAATACTCCATTTTGATATGAATACTCCATTTTAAATGAGAATGTTCAGCACACCATTAATGTGATTTTGCAAAACCATTTCAAGTTTTAGGAGATGATACTGATGGTGTTCATGAATCAAAGTACTATGCCTTAAGTAGCAGAAGTGAAGATGAAGACTCATCTTCTGATGAAGCAACCGAAACAACCCCCAAGGGTATGCCCCTTAAGCCCCCTTGGTATCATTTCTATAAAAGAATGGGGCAAATTTGTTTCAATGATGCATGGACCTACAATTCTAAAGCGGTGGGTTCTAAGGTGGGCAAAATGGGCCAAATTTGTGACCCATTTGTGCTTAAGAAGCTTACAAGATTTAAATTGATTTTTCTACTCTGCCTACCTTGAAAAAATTCTCTAGAACAATCAATCTTAAAAGTTTCACAGTGTCATATTCGTTAAACAAAATTTGTTAAAGACTGAAATACAGTAACAGATCAATGTGAATGATTCTCTATTCTCTTCAAACATTTGCATCTCAGGGATTTTATTTGATTCCTGCCAGCTGATATTTCCAGTATTTATTAGAAAATAACAATTGGTCTGTGAGATCCCGATGACTTGTTCACCTTGATTTGGAAGCAAGGTGAATGTGACATTTTAAGAATAGTTTGGTGTAAGGTCATATCTATCTACCCATTCATCCTTGCTTTATTTCAGGTATCCAGGTTGTTTAATGACCAATCCAAAGCTACAAACCATAGAGTAAGGCTGGGATGGGGAATAAGACATTATCTCAGACCACGCACTAAATTCTATACAATATTCAGTTTCATTTAGCATGTTATAAAATGTTTAATAGCATAGAAGATCAGCCACCAACTTAAAACAGTACTGCCAAATTGTCTGTGTTATTAAAAAGTTTGGTTGATGATCTACTATAGTAGGTAATGTTAGGGTTTACTTGTTGAATTTAGTGCGTACTTTTGAGATTATCCCTAAGGCTAGGAATGGCCAATCAGCATGTGGCATGAACATGTTAGTGCAGCAAAACCCAAAAATGTGAACTTCAATAATACACCTCATTTTTTATTAATAAATGTACATGTAATATGGGTAATCCTTTTTGGACCACCCTGTAGTTGACCCAAAATGGTGGTCATATTCAATTTGTTAGGAGTTCTGCTGTATGTAGATTGAATAGAGTAAACCTAGAAAAATAACATTTTTGAATTTTGATAAGTATATGAGAATTGAGAACTCAACAATTGGAAACCTATATAAGGTGGCATATTGATATTACCATGTTTATTTTTTCGTGAAGCCACTCAGTCAAATTACGTGCAAACTCTGTGTAGACGTTGTCATTCTCGAATGTCCAAACGTGTCAGGAACACAAAGATACTCAAATGATCTTGATTGGACATCAGGGTGCAGAGAAATCGTAATTTTACTGATTGGCTTCACGAAAAAATAAATAAGGTTATAAGCCACGTTAAGGATTGTCAAAATTATGCCGGAGACGAAACATTCTCCGTATCAAAATTCATATTTAAGTGCTCAAAAAAACTTTCTAGGTGCCCAATATATTATCTCATACATTGACCACCAACTGCATGTTTTATTTAAGTTACAAATTGGTGCCAACTCAAGTGCTACCCTTGGCTGAGGGTGATTTACTAATAATATTTTATTTCATTATTTTTCAGTTTTTCATAGTTCACTTGTTTTTGTTTGTTTATTTGAGATTAAGTACAAGGATGTTTGAACGTTGGTTTGTAAATGTAATATCAGTAATCACTCCAGCATTAGAGCAACTGGATGCTGAATTCTGTTGGAAATTTAGAAATTTCACAACATCTGGCCTGTTGAAAATCTGTTTGCATCCTGCAAAAGGAGAATAATTTATATCTAAAAGTAGAATTCAGCACCCCATTGAGAAAACATCCTGGGGAGATCATTGAATATCGTAATTAATATATATCCTAGTGTTCAGCTAGGTTCTAAAATATAACACTAAAAACACTTTACATGTATTTGTGACCTTATCCTTTTTGATTCTCCAAAAGTCCAATAGATTTAATAAAACATAGTTTAGTTTTGTACATTGTATGAATCCATTAGGAATGAAAAGAAAACACCTTTTGACTCTTCTTAACTAAACTGCATATGTACAGATATAATTCTACAAAAAATTAAGTCTTCTTAAAAAAATTACTCATCTGTTTTGCACCAAGTGTATTATGTTTGTTATGTCACCACTCACCACCAGAAGTGGTGACATATTGTTATAGGCTAGTCTCAGACTTTTTATGGATGGTGTTAGGCGGTTGGTGTTCAGCAGTCAGCATCTATAACAAATGTCAGGTGGTGACATTTTGCACGCTAATGTCTTGTATTCTTATGTCTTAGTTTATTCTATATTTTACTTGAACATTTCAGCTGAGGCGCCACCTATCCCCTTCCCAAGATCAAACAATAATTTTAAGGATAACTTGCAAGATATTTATGACACAGTCCCTAGGGATGAAGACACATTCAACTTGAGGAGGGAGCAGATCAGCCTATCAGACACACTTGGTAAGTTACTAGTCGTGTATCTAACACACTAGGTTAAGCTACAATGTATGAGACATACTATTTTTAAGCTTCTAGTTATGTATGAGACACACTAAGTAAGACACACAAGTCATGTATTTAACACACTTGGTAAGCTACTAGTCAGATATGAGACATGCTGGTTGAGCTACTAGTGTGGATCATCAAGTTTCAGCCTACAGAAACAGGGGCTGATATAAGCACCATCTCAGAGATGTGTAGTTCTTAAAAAGCAGGATTGGTACGTGTTTCTCAATTTGCTAGCTCTCTGATTTTAACTTTCATGTTAGGTTCTGGAAACTTTGGAGCCGTGATGAAAGGGAACTACAAACGCCCAGATGGTGGAATCATACCAGTTGCTGTGAAGACCCTAAAGCAAGGTCCAGAGTCTGCTGTACAAAGTGTGAGTTTATTTGTACATATTTTGGGCATCATGAATAGGATATTAGTCAGCCTAAGTAATTATCCAACCAAACGAAGTTCAAGGGGGATACAGGAAAGCCGTCCATTTGTCCGTCCATCCATCAGTGTGTCAGGACGATAACTCAATCTGGTTGACAGTTTTAATTAAAACTTTGTAGGCTTATGCCTTATGAGTGTAGGATCTCTGCTAGAGAAGGAATTTTCAATATGGCTGCTCAATTCAAAATTGCCACCATTTTTGTAAAAAATGTAATCTTTGATAACTCAAATACTAGACAATTGATTCTGAATTGTATATGCTGATTCCTAGGGACAAAGAAGCTACGCAGAAGAAGAGCTTTTCAAAATGGCGACTGAATTTCAAAACGGCTGCCATTTTTCGTAAAAAGGGATGTAATCTTTGATTACTCAAATGCTAATTGCCGGATATGTAATATAGTTATCCTTAAAATATAATGGTTTACTTTTTATATGTTGATGTCTTGGGACAAACAAGGCCACAATATATGTTTTGTTCGGTAGGGTTTGCTTCTCCGTGGAGTTGGTGTTTTTCTAGTTTAGATTTGCTGAACTTTTGTTATGTCTGTAACAAATGGAATGTGGTGACATTTGGCATGTTAATTCCTTGTCAATTTATGTTGTTGTTGAGGCCATGTGGTGTTACAGTGAATAGTGTTACAGTTGCTTATCTCATTGTCTCCTGAAAAAGAACCTGGTTGACAATCGTTTTGAATCCATTAATTCTATTGTAGTGAGACTCATAAAGGAGAACTTAACACATAAATCAAAGACTTTGGTTGGCATATTATGTAGACGTTAACAAAATTATTCAAGATTTAAAAATTAAAACATTCTTCAAATTAGGCATGGATATCCAGACAAAACATTTTTGGGTACTCCTTGAATTAGCAATACAAGTGATAAAGTAGAAAGTTTGATGCAATTTTTGTGTGTTATACTTTTTAACCAACATTTATTTGTGTATTTCAGTCTGAAATCCTGAAGGAGGCCAAGGTTATGGCGGGTCTTAAACATCGTCACATTGTGCGTATGATTGGAGTTTGTAAGGGAAGTGACATGATGCTTGTCCTGGAGTTGGCTCCTCTTGGACCTCTCAATAGATATCTTAAAGATCACCCGTAAGTTGATGGGTAAATAAGTAAAGTGGTCACCATATTTTTCATTTTCTTTTCCCAACAATATGTAGGCTATGTAAAAATGGTTCTTGTGGTATTATGATTTAAGTATATGTTATCATATATCTATTTTCAAAGCCAAGACGATGCTCTAATGTAGTGCCAATAAGAAGTAAATAATCAAAATGGGATAAAAAGCTACCATTGGACTCTATTTTCAGTTTCATTTTTCTGTAAAGTTTTGGTTCCTCAATGGTACAGACATATAGTGTGATAGATGTCGATATTGTATGTTTCAGGTCTATGCCCGTGCAATCTATACTTGAGATCATGTACCAAGTTGCCAAGGGGATGGAATACCTTGAAAGTGTCAACTTCATACACAGAGATCTTGCAGCCAGGAATGTCTTACTCATGGATGAGAAATTTGCAAAAATCTCAGATTTTGGAATGTCCAAAGCCCTTGGCATGGATAATGAATATTATAAGGTATTCATGTTTTACAACAGCTAAATGTTTGTTATTTTCCCTAGTATGATATAAAATAGGTTTTACTATCTGTCTGTATGGTTCTATTTGAAGTTTTTCTTGTTATTTTACTTGTAAAAAAACATTTACAACACATTATTTTTTGACAATTTGCTTGAAATGCCAGCCATTTTAGAAAAATAATTAGAGTTATGTTTAAAATATTTGTAATTGAGAAATGTGCTAGATAGAGAGGTATATACATTTCAAGAGCTAGACATATGGTCAATAGAGCTTGTGAGATTTCCATTCCAGAAAGGTGTTTACTTCAAAATATATACAAATATAGAAGTGCTCATTTCAGAAATGCATTGAGTAAGAAAGGTTTTAATTTCAGAAATGTGTTCAATAGAGAGACGGTCATTTTAGAAATTTGATACAGATGTGTTCATTCATTACAAAGGAATGATTCTGTTGTATTCCAGGCAGAAGCAGCTGGTAAATGGCCTTTAAAGTGGTATGCTCCTGAATGTATCTATTACTTCAAGTTTGACTCTAAGTCAGATGTCTGGAGCTATGGAGTCACACTTTGGGAAGCTCTCTCTTATGGAGCCAAACCATACAAGGTGAGTTATAAGAAATTCTGTAGGAGTTAAAAGGTGAGCAGCAATCTTATTTTACGTGAATGACAAACCATTTCATAGATTGATGTGAAATTTTAAGAGATGCTTCTGTGTTTGAAATCAAAAATTGATTAGCTATTTGGCATGCTGGGTAAATTACTAGGTGCCCATTTTGAATTTTTCTGAAAAAGTGTGATATTTTTCACTGATTTTTAGAGAAAATATTGTTCACTGCTTGCCTTGTACTCAACTGATGAAGACAGAAATGTGTAATGAACAAAATAAACCTGAAGTACTATTAGTCATGTTTGCATATGTGTATTGTAGGGTAAGAAGGGTGCTGAAATCCTGAGAATGATAGAGGATGGAGACAGAATGGACAAACCTCAACAATGTGCTCCAGGTGTATATAATATTATGCAAAAATGTTGGATCTACCAGTATGTATTATAAAATTGGTATTGTTAGTTCATGTACCATATTACACTTGGTTATCTTTAGAATCATTGTCAGTTTCTATGTGGAAAACTAGAGTGTATACTAGACTATTGTGTAAACATCTTCTCAAGATAAGTGTCCTTCCTTAGATGGCTCATGGGCCTTTATTTGATTGAAAACAAAAGTTCTTCCTTTTATTCACTTTTATTTAGAAAATCATGAATAAATCTGGTTTAACTTTTTATAATGTGATGTTTACGATAAATGTATATGCACACGTATATGAAGAGAATTTATTTTGTCATTTTCAGGAAAGAGGAGAGGCCAACATTCAAAGAAATAGTAACACTGATGTACAAATACAGGCAATAAGTGCAGTAAAGCAGTGTGTAACCTATCAATTCCAGCACTATCTCAGTTGTCAGTGTACATAGGGATCAATGGTTTAGTACCAAACCAGAGCTTGGATGCCACATAAGCATCTGTCTTGGTTTGGTTTGATCTGAATAAACAGATTTCTTCAGCATATCCAGGAGAATTATGCCTCAGTCACATTTGATCTATGGCAACCCGACGGTGGCCATAACTCCTCAAAATCGTGAAAAATATACAGCATAAAATATAGGGATAAGCAGTACTATGTAGATTTTTATATTGATTTTGTGAAGCTACAGCTGCTGTACCACCGTCTTAGAGCAAATGTGACTGAGGCTTAATGTGATAAATTCTTTGTATTTGAAGTTAAACAGTGGATCTAAAATCCTTGTGAGTTATGATGCACCCAGACCAGAGCTGATTATATTTTTACTGGTTGGATGATGTGTTATCAGTGACACAAGGTGAAATTATATGTACATATTTATATACAGTAAAACTTATACAATGGAACACCTGAATGGGGATCTCAAAACAGTGTTCCACTTTGGAGCTGTCCCAGATGGCAAAAGTTCATTTCATGGGTAAAGGCATTCTCAGTGTTCCTCTTTTCTACTAACAAGGATGTATTTTCTGGATTTAATATCATATCTCAAGAGAAAATAGTGTTAACTTCTATGTACATATACACATATTTTGCAATACAGTACATGGCAATACAGTAATAATAGAGTATAAGATCTGTAAATTAGGACTGGATTACACAAAAGTTCCAGTAAAAGAGAGTTTTCAGTTAGGATCGTTTCATCAGGAAATCCACATTTATACAAACATAATCATGTGAATTTGAAGCAATGGATGCAAAGTGTAATTTTGAATTATATGTAAAATTGAAACTATTTGAGATAGTTGTTTAAATATGTAAGTTATTGAATATTAAATACACACTGTTTACTCAGGTTTTTATTATTAAATTAATCAATTATTTAAGTAATAAAAAGATTCCCTAAAAATAATATTTGCAGTAGTGCAGTTACAGTTCAGATGTGTTTAAATATAACGGTTGTTTATTCCCAGAATCAATTTTAAGATTGAGCATGTGATAGAACAGAATTTGTTTGTTTTAACATCAATATTGATGTCATTTACAGGAATATATACTTTCATTATTGTTATCAACAAACATGATGAGATCAGATAATTTGTTGTAATTTGTCTCTTGTTTATTGTTTTTTCCAATAGGTTTATAATATAATCATGTTAATAAGTTTACTAGTATTATATTATTATATATTATTAGGAGGCCCTTCCAGGGGGCCTCCTATAGTTTTTGTAGTTATTCCTATTATTCTTCTTCTTATTATTATTCTTTTTAGCACTTTTTCTCCTACTTCTAGCTAGGTCTGAATTAACTCTTATATGCTCCTACTAGGGACATGAGCTGGACTTGTCGGGAAATTAGTTCATATCTAGGTCAAGGTCAAAATCTAGGTCAAATCTAAGTTTTTTTTAAGTTTCTCAACGCCTGACACTAGACTTCAATATTTTTGGCTAATTTTTTGCATAGAGATAGATATTAGTATTCTATTAGTGTTAGCCTTTTGCCGTCTGGACGAATTTTGCCTACATTTTGAGATATTTGACGTCAAAAAACGGTCAAAAAATGTCATTTTTCAACTTGCTTCAATTTGACCAAATTTTTTTTTAAAAAGCATCTACAAAGTCTCAGGAGTTCAAATCTGACCTCAGATTTGACCTTTGACCTTTAGTTGACCTTCTGTGACCTTCGAAAGGTCAAAAAAGTTGATTTTTCAAATTGATTTTTTGGATTCAAATTTAGGTCTGCTTAATCACAAAGGACATACTGAGCTCTGAAAAAGTAAAATTTTCAAGGTCAAAGGTCAAGGTCATCAAATTAGATAACAAACTGTGCTATCTAAGTTTCTCAAAATTCGAGACTACAAATCAATATTTTTGGTTGAAAGTCAGAATATATATTCTTCTAGAGGTACTACACATATTAGCAATTGACTATCTATTAAAATTTTGCACCAGTTTTGAGATATAAGAGCTCAAGAACTGAAAAAATGTCAAATTTCAAAATTTTTCAAGGTCAAATTTCAACTTGCTCTAAATTGACCAAACATTTTTTTAAAAAGCATCTACAAGATCTAAAAGATCTTTTAAAAAAGCGTCTACAAAGTCGCAGGCGTTCAAATCTGACCTCAAATTTGGTCTTTGACCTTTAGTTGACCTTCTGTGACCTTCGAAAGGTAAAAAAAGTTGATTTTTCAAATTGACTTTTTGGATTCAAATTTAAGTCAGCTTAATCACAAAAGACATACTGAGCTCTGAAAAAGTAAAATTTTCAAGGTCAAAGGTCAAGGTCATCAAATTAGGTGACAAACTGTGGTATCTACGGGGCCTCCGTAAGATTGCTTGCAATCTTAGATCGTTAGATCTCTAGTTGTTTTTCAGTTCAGTTGAGGTAAGACATCACATCACATGAATGTGTTGAACGAACATTTGTATATATTTGTGAGTGTTTATTGCTAACTGTTTTTATACATTTTTAAGACAAATCCAAGTTTTTTCTTATTCTCAAAAAATGAATTAAAGAAAATATTATTTATCATATATAAAACAAGTTTAACAAGCAGACTCCTTAACATTTAAATATATTTTTTATTGATTTTGATTATTCCAGTTTGCTATAGCATGTTAGCAAGGGTTTCTTCAGAAAATGATGATTCCAAAAATATATGAACATAGGGAGCCGTTCCAAAAGTTTCAGAAAGTAAAATGGGACAGATCAGACAAGATACATTCCATGCCAGCCTTCCCCATTGATAATGTCATTAAACACACTCCCCTTGAGTAAATTAACTTAAAAGCTCTACATGCATCTTGTAAAAAAATGTTTTGTTATTTTCTTTTAAAATTGACACTAATACTAATTATAACATACCTATGATGATGTATAGTGCAAAGTGTACACAAGACAGCGGGCCAATATAAGTTTTGAAAAGCTCGCGCCCGCTAACTCTCTGATTGGTCAAGGCGCTGACGTCATAACCAATCAATCGAAGATAAAACTGCGCGAGCAATTTTTCTAAACTCATTTCAATCATTTTCAAACCATTTGTTTGTCAATTCTATAAGAAAACGGTACTCTCTGACCAGTCTACATCATCATAGGTATGTTATAAATCGTTTATGTCACTATCGTGGCACATATGCCCTCGGTTCTCAGAGATCAATGTCCCTCCCAAGGTCAGGCCATATATCACTGAGACCTCGGGCATATATGCCACGATAGTGACATAACCTCTAATTATTAATGAAATGAAATAAATGTATATGGATGTACTGTAAAAAAACAGAACTTTACATGTACTGTATGTATAGGCAAATAGTATGAAGAATATTGACCGGTTATTTATATAATGTACATTGTACTTAGTAGCCCGGACAGAATTGTTCAAGGGTCACTTTTCTTGAATAACTTTTTAAATTTTTTAATTTCCAGTATTATCAACATCTCTCATCACACACCGCATATTGGGGTGCCACCTTTTCACATCCTCTTGAACACAACCCCTAACATTTCAATAAAGTTGAGTTCATGACCATTGGAGGGAGTTGACTTCTTGTATTTGATGATTGTTCAGTTGCTGTATTACATCAGGATTATCATGGTGGCAGCATGATCCTATAGGCCTATGACAATCTTTAAATATTAACTTTCAACTGAACATTCACATTCAATAAATATGCCGCCATTTTGAACAACAAATATGAGACAAAATTATGAATTATGTACTTGCGTCAGTCATACTATGAATGCCTATAATATCAACAAATTAAGAGATGTTCCTTAAATAATTTTTTGTATGTCAGAATTTTACTCTAGATTTTGATATTGCTGAAAATTAAAAAAGTTATTTAAGAAAAAGTGACCCTTGACAATTCTGTCCGGGCTGCTATAATATATAGGATAACATATTATCCATATTTTTATTAATATAATATTCAGATAAGTTTAAGTAAAATAAAAATTCTACTATTGTCACACAGTTATTCTGAGAAACATTGTATACTGTGATGTCTAGTCGAAATGAAATAAAGATACTGTATGTACGTTACATAATTTTGAAATAATATTTTGTTTTTGATTGCGTAAGTTGAATTCGAGACAAGGTTAATTGATATATCTGTACACTCACAGACTTAATATTAAAACTTAATTATCATGTTTGGAGAGAGATAAAAAGTACATTTGGCCTGTATTTTGTCAGTTTAATTTTTAATAAGGGTCTGTCTGAAATGTATTTCATTACATTTTGGGAAAATATCCAAATCTTGAACTGATCCCTCCTAAAAGTAAGATTATGAAGTGGTTCAAGGATATGACAATTGATTTAAGGCCAAATGGACCAGGCATCCTAAGGCCATACGGGACAGAGAATATGTGATTGGGCCAAATTAAAGTTCCACACTCTTTGCTTTCGAAAAAGTTATTTTCTTTTGAATGATGAAACATCTAAATTAAAAGATTAACTTCATATGAGGTTTTTAAGTATTTTTCTGATAAATTGCGGACAAATATTCAAACCCCATCGGCGAAAAGGTGGGTCATAAAATGACAATAATTGCACTTAAAATGATTGGCCAAGCATTTATCAGGTTGTTATGGGTAAGATACAGTTCTACGTTTATAGCCCTATGGTTACTGGTCTCATTTTAGTTACAAATGCCATAGTGATACAATTTAACGAGGTCTTACTTAAAAACAGAATCATTTAATAATATCAATGTATTTATTGTATGTATGTCATCATATTACAGTGTTATGTCAACTGGTAGACTTTTCATATATAAAATAATCAAATAAAGATTTGTACAATGTTTGTGTGCTATGCAAGACAGTGTGTAGATATTCCCATCCTCATAACACAGCAGTACAACATGTGTATGGACTTCTCTGGAGGGCTTTAAAAAATCAAGATTTACAAAATTTGATTTCATGATGTTATCCAAAAGCCAAAGTAGGACCTCCCATGGAGCACTTTAATGTTTCATGTGGCCTTGTTTTTCGTAACATTACTAAGAATATTTAAAGCATTGCTATCCCATGGTATATAACTCCAATAGAAAGCTATGGTGTAGCTCTTGCATTTGACTTTTAACACAAAAGAAAAAATTAGAGTAATAGCATCATTAAAGTATAAAAAATTAAATCTAAACTTAAAATCCATAAAACAAAAGAACAAAAACTTATACAAAAATAAAGCTGTCCTACAAGGCCTGAGGCAATATCATGAAAAATAAATTTTGAGAACTGAAAAGGGAACTTACAATATATTTGAAGAACAAATATTTCTCTATATTTTTCAAAGGTTACTCTGTGTACTTCTCAATCCATCAATAGAGAGAGTCTATGTAGCATTTCCCATATAAATAGAAAAGTACTCTTATTTTTTCTTATTTTTAGAGATAAAATATTGCAATGGTTTCCAGATTTAAAGAGAGCATACACATTACCCATAGGTTCAAACTGAATGAATGAGAAACTGATACAATTTTTATTCATTCTGTGTGATCCTTTGAGGTAACTTAAAATTTCATTTAAGTTACAAATACAACTAATAAATCATATGATTATTATTTCATTTTATTGATATACAATACATACATGTAAGTCTTCCACCAATTCCCAGTTATGTAACATCACTAATATTAGAGTCATCCACTGTTTTGTATAAAAAATTCTCACAGTTATTTTTCAAACATAAATATTTATCTAATGCTACATTTCTGTATGTATACACTATAATGTCTAATTATCGCCTAACAATAAATTAATATCTAACAGCAAAGTATATAGCAGGGCTTTGTACAGTCAATTTTGTATACTTTGTTATATACTCATACAATATAAGGATATCATCTCTATGCGTTAATTACTTTTCATTTCAAAAAGGAGGATTGGCTCCCAGGCTCCCAGACTGGCTATAAATTCATAATCAGGGATCCAAAAGATTATATCTATTATCTTGATCACTTCTTGTGTTTTTAGAAATTTTTGTTTGGAAATAAGACCAAAACTCACGTTTCAAATTCTGAAGTGAAAAAATGGCAGCTGTTTGATTTTGAATTTTTTAATCATGACATGACTCCATATATGGCCGGAAATATATCGAGTTGGCACCCTGGAAGCCAATCCTCCATTACGTCCTGTAATTTTAATGTCTTGAAAACTGATAATTTGAATACTAGAAACTTTTAATTTAACAAACCGAAAAACAAAAAAGAAATGATTTGTTTGTCATTCTAAGTCTAGAAATTAGAAACTGTATATTTAGCAAATATTGAGAAACAAAAATCCAATGATTTATTTGAAATTCAGAAGCTAAATACTAGAAAATAGAGAAACAATGACGTGAACTTTAAAATAAAGATTTTTTTTTAAATTTCAGAATGAATGTATCTCTTATCATAGTCAGAACAGAATGGAATGTAGATGCACAAAAATAAGAAAGTATTAGTGTTACATTTGCCTGGGCTTTACTGCACTATACAGCACTCAATCTAGCACAGGATTTAATTTATTAATTTCATGATTGTTTAATGCAAAATAGAAAGTGCAGTTGCTGGAATAATAAAAATGTACAATAAAACTTGGTACTTCCAGCAACTTTTTGCAAGAAACCAAAAATGGTAGATTTGATTTTTGCAGATCTTGGAATTTTCAATTCTCACAGCATCATGATGTCACAAATTCATTATATTCTGCACTTTTCCAAGGAATTGCTGTTTGTTATTTTTTATATTGGACAACTATGAAAAATTATATTGCTAGCAAATGTGTAAAAATAGTGTATGCTTACATTTTTACTAAATTTTAAGAATCTGGAGAAACCGTCGCAAGAATAATAAATATCGTTCATGTATGCAAATATGTATATAAACAAGATTTTAGAATCTGCTCCTTAGTAGTGCTTTGATTTCATGTAAAATATCATATATATGATATAATGTGCTTTATATACACACATATGGTACATATGTACACTATAATACAATATATATTAAAAATACATAACAGGGCCAACTGCTGGTAAAACATACTTTACCAACATATGATGACTACAAAGTTGTTTTTTCATGCATCCAATACTTGCATAGACTGTTTATTTACATTAATTCTTTGGTCTGTCTAATACTCTCCATTATCTTTTCTCTAAACAAAATGAACTAATACCATGCTTGATCCAGTATGCATATATGGGCACATGTAATGGTCTATTCACACAGCTCTGGATAAGCTTGGCCACCAGAGGGGGCTGAATTACAGCCACTCTTTGCCCTAATTGACCCAAGATAATCTAATGCAAACAAGTATGTCATTTCGTACCCTTATAACAACAAACAATGCATTTCTACATGCTTCACATGCACTGTGGTGGAACTCAATATGTCACAGCCTAGAAGGTACAATTTTTATTTTCCCATGATTTCACGAGATGTAGGCAGAAACTGCATAAACAGGACTTTTAATCACTCTATTTACATAACAATAGCGAAGAATTATTTTGATTATTCTGGCATCTTGTGAACTATTCATTCCCAAATGATTAGTTGACACACGTTTGTGCCAAAAAGATCATGAAGATTCTGCCTTTATCTCGTAAAATAATGGAGAAGAAAAATCGCACCTTCGAGGCTGCGACATTTTATTACCATAACATATAAATTATCATTAACAATTTGAATAGTTCCACCACAATGATATGGTAATAGATAAAGATATATAAGTTAGTTGTATTGTTCACCCACCCTGTACAATTTCACTTAAAATGAGATTCTTTTGTCTTTTGCAGAATTAAGGATCATGCATTATTTTCAAATAACGCAATGAATAATCTACAAAGCACCAAACCGACCAAATAATTGTCCAGTCTAACCCAGTCACAATCAAAGGTGATTTTTCTTAATTTTCATTTATATGGCCATAGTATATAAGGACCTAATAGGCCACATGTTTTGCTACTGTGTACCAGACTGTACATTAAGAAGAGTGATGGTACAGTGAAGCTCTATCACAGTATACCATGACACAAACTTTGATAAATCGTTCATATGTAGAGTCACTGCACATCAACAAAACAACCTTAAACTAAAACAAAACAATGAAAAGTAGGCTTTTAACACAAAACAATAATAAATATTCAATCCAAAAGTTATTCCTATGGCTTCGTGATTTATGAAGCTTTATTAATTATTACTAAGAAACCATAGTTCAACTCAATTACCCAAATGCGAGTAGGTAGTTACCAGTTTCACCACCAGGTGGCTGATTCAGGTCAATTAACATGGCAGGTATACAGTGAAAAAAATAAGAAAGTTCCCTTAAACTTGAATATTATCAATTTAAGTGGCTCAGTTTTCATATAACCCTTATGTGCCTGATACTTATACTAATGAAAATATGTTCAGTAAAGCAAAATATTATCTGTCCACTAAAAGAAAAGATATTTCATTTTTTGTGATTTTATAGCATGGAGTCTATGGGGAATCTCCCCGAGCTAGAAGTCACATTTTCAAAGAAAATTAATTTTTCAAAGTTGATAAACACTTTTTAAAACCACATTTCTAGATGCAATTTTACATGTAGATTTTAAAGATGATATTATTTTGACTGAATTCTGAATTTTTAATGACGTAAATCAAGATTATTTCTACTCGCATCTGGGTTATTCAGAGTGCTTAAAAATGACACCCAATGGTCTGTAATAATCACAGAAGGGCAACATCAAATTAAGCCTTTCTGAGGCTCATGTGTTAGACTGTAACTACCACAGATAGGCGTTTAGGCAAGAGCTGCACAATTTGACCCAAAATACAAGGGGTGGTCAATAAGCAACAGTTCTATAACTTTTTGATCACCCCTTATATCCTCATACATTATTTTTTATATAATCCGAACTCTTATTGATGAGTTAATAGATAAAATCTAGAATATATAACTAGTTCATTTCTAAGCCGCATTGATTGTGTCGTCTTTCCAAGTTGAAGCTAATAAAATTTCATTTTTCACACTTCAATACCAACCATATTTTAGTTGTCATATATATAGTCTTTACAAAGTTAGGATTTTAATTAATATGGTACTAATTAATAATTAAGTAGTATAACTATGGTATACACTGATACAATGTTATTGCAAATAACAAATATGTATTTTCAATACATTTGCTATATCTTTAAATTCATGGAAAAATCATTAGCACAAAACGAGATCCCTTTATTTGAGTGACTGTATGTCACTTGAGTGACAGTTTGTCACTTGAGTGATGGTGTGTCACTTGAGTGATGGTATGTCACTTGAGTTCACTGTTCATATTTATATTATATATTTACAATCATTCCCACCCATTGTCACTCAGTTTCCTGTAGCTAAGCAAGCTGGGATATATTCTAGTCGACTGACCATGTTCAATTCACAGCATGCATTAGCTGCTGGCTACGATTTTTTATCTAGCAGCGGTAGTTATTTTCCATGATTTTTTATAACTGAAGGCATAGTTATTTACAGTTAATGACTGCACTTCAATCTGAACTCAGCAGTATATATGTTTTTCCCACATCAATAACCATCTCCATTTCAAGTATGTTCGTCTAGTTTTGTACTCCTCGTTGGTGAATCATTGCTGTCTCGACTGCGTATCTCTTCCACGAGTGGATGGACTATATTCAGGTGCACCGGAATAAAACTCCTTACTGTTGAAACAAAATCCACAGAGAGATGCTATTATCATGTGCTGTAGGAGAACAGTGTATTTTTGGTATAACTATTGATCAGAACCCTCATAGCGCTTGGCGTACACTACAAATGAACAACAAATCAAAACTAAATCACTACACTATTGCTACACACCATTGGCACACCTGGACAATCTTTCGTAATGCTTGCTTGTATTTATACAAAGTAGCATGATGCTCTATAGGATAAAACCATCAATTCTAAGATGTTTTCAGTTCTTTGAGATCTTTCCAAATCCATTTCCATAAATATAATACTCCATTTTTTTTCAACCATTTTTTTTATTTGCCTTATTAATCAGAATATGTGGTATCTAATACCAATCGCCTGTATGTTCATGGGTCTGATTGTCCAGATTTGCCTCCTCACCCTCTAGCATGCATTGTATAAGCCACAACAACTCTGGTAACATATCTACGCCTAACATTTCCCAGTTCCAAAATGAAGCAAAAATCAAAAAGCTAAAAACCATCACACTAAACAACAATTATCATGAAGAAAAAAAATATATACATGTCGAGTGACTTAAAAAAAATCCCCGAGCCAACCCAAAAATACATAATTATAATTTTCCTGCCAGATTTCCTGAATATGAAAGGTTTCAGGAATTACATGCTACTCCTTAAAATTTTGATAAGCAATTTGAAAAGAGACAAACATACTCCCTAAAATTATAGCTTTCCACCTAATATTATCCCAATGACAACACATATACTATACAGCTAAAATACAACAAAGCATAAAAATATAGATGAATATTTGGCGCAGATATATTACCAGAATGTGCATATTGTGAAATAGGAACAAGGTCTAAACTAAACATAAGTCAAAGCGTAAAACACAAGCAAAGCCATCTAATCTAATATTTTTACACAAAAGCTTCTGATCTTTTCATTGTTCACTTGATATCATTTATTTAATCAAAATAGGCATATATACTGTACAAAGAGGTATACTTAAAGTTCTATAATATATATTATACATACATTTTATCAATTTTATATTTTTACATATTAGTTAATGTGTTAGTTCACAGTAAAGTTAAAGATGATACATTACAAAAGTACCGTATTTACATATATGTATATTAAGACACTGTGCATATCTGAACATGAATAAACTCCCTCAACCTCAGCAGCTTTGACACATCGTTTTTGTACATAAACAATAATTCGCTCCCCAACATTAATCTGTTACACACATACACATTGTATGTACTGTACATTGCAATGATTCCTTGTTCTCAATTAACCATATTTTGACATTTTTGTGCTTATCTCAAGAATTGAATGTGTCAAAGCTTCCGTGGGTTTCAGGATTATTCTGTCTTATAAAGACCAACATGCACCATAAGCAAGCATTCAAGCAGTGGACACAACAACTAGAGTGCAGAAAAGTTTATTTTACAGCCAATCCGGAGAACAGTCAGGGACTTCATTAGCCACAAGCAACAGGCTTCTGATCAAATCAGATCAGATCTCAAGTAGCTTAATTTTACCAAAATTCCTTGTTGTTTTGAGGAATTTTGCTACTGTTTTCACGAGAAAACTTTATTTTCCCAATAATTCTGCCAGTTTTCTTTTTTGTGTGTTATCAGAAATTTTAATAAAATACCTGACAATAAAAAAATGCTGACTTTCAAGAAAATATTTACATTACATACATAAGCCGTGTTCATCAAAAAAGACAAGCTAAGATGTAATCTGTGCACAACTGTAGTAAAACAAATGAATTTCATGAAATAACCATGAAATTCAATTTACAAATACAGGAAATAATTTCAATTTTCTATTAGTAAGTTATCCTTCCTGCTCACAGTTAACATACATGAAACAGACTAGAATGTTATATAAGCTAGATGTACATCGAATAAGTGCATAGATAATAGTGGTTTATAAGCACGAGTTACATATATACATACATACATATGATAGGGGCTCAGTCAAATGCACAACCCTATATGATCCCCTACCAATTCATATGGGTGAATTTCTGTGGCCATGCACTAGACTGGGCAATGTATGTATGCAGAGTATAATGAAACATAGAGCTATGCAACAGTACAAGGAGCACAAACATACACAGTGATCTCCCCAGGAATTCTTTCTCAGGTGGGTGCAAAATTCTCATTTCTCATTTCTCCAAAATTGGTCAAATTATGCCAATCTTTAATGATTTTTCTCATTTTCAAGTGAATGCAAATGAATTTTCAGGTGGGTGCAAGGCTGTTTTCAAAATCTCAGGTGGGTGCTGCGCCCACTTGCTTTAATGCTGGGGAGACCACTGATACACAATTATGTCTCATGCTGGAAGCCAATGATTTGATCTGACACCTAATAGCAAATAACAGATCTACAGCCACTATGATGAGTGAAAACGCCGCACAATAATCCTATACAGTAAAACCTGTCTAAAGCATCATAATGGAGCTATCAAATCAGATCACATCTAAATAGGAACCGCTTCTGTTGTAAAAGTCCCTGTGTACCAAAGGCTTCAAAAATTGTTTGATGTGTTGGTTTGACAGGTTTTACTAAATAAGTCTGTGGGTGCTTGGTGCTATCGTACTAAGTTAAGTGCAAAACCCAAGGAATGTATGGCTTATTAAATAATTGATTCATGTAACTGAACGTAGGGGTTGCCACATTTCCTCGGGCTCAGCACTTGCCAGTATAAGCTTTACAAGATCAAAGCATTTGAAATAAACCATGCACAATGTTGCTTTTAAGATATGAACTGAGTTGTGAGCACATACTCAATGTTAAAGTGTTCAAACAGTTAATACACTCAATGTTCATATAGTAATCTGCACACTCGTAGTATTCTCAATATTCAAATGAGGTAGATTTGCAGATTATTTAATGTGCTCTGTGTTCAAATGAGATGAAAATGCTCACACATATAGCAAGCTGAATGACACTCAGTGAAACAATGAGGAATAGTAAGTACTCATTGGTATGTTAAGGAAGGCAGAGTGGAATGACTGACCAGGCTCATCAATTTTACATGTAGGCTTCATTAAATGATGTCACACTGTCCATATGTTGACTGCATCTCATTATATCAATGCCCATGATACCAAAGAGCGCTTAAGAGGCACTCTATAAAGAGCCTAAAGTACAAAATGCCTTGGAGTAGTGAGCCTAAGTATAATGAACAAAATTCATCCCACCTGACCTCCCTTAACAGGCTGATTAGACAAGTCTACTATGTAGTAGAGAGACTAGATGGACTAGTACTACAATGTGGACTAGTATTACTACAATGTGGACTAGTTCTGCAAGGCAGACTAGTGCTGCAATGTGGACTAGTACTGAAATGTGTACTAGTACTACAATGTGGACTAGTACTGCAAGGTAAACTAGTACCATAATATGGACTAGCGTTGCAAGGTAGACTAGTACTACAATGTGGACTAGTACTACTACAATGTGGACTAGTATTACTACACTCATTGGTACAGAGAGGTGTAAGGGTATGAGGTGTTACACAAGTCCTGCCACCAAAACATATCCAATGCAACAAAAACTTATTATTACCATCATTCAGCAGTGTCCCATCTTCACTCCCTGAACCTGGAGGGTACGTCATCAGATTGTAGTCAAAAGAATCATCCAACGGCACCATGGGGGTGGTAAAACGGGGTATGGGAGTTGAGCGGGGGGTTGTTCTTGGGGTGGCAACGGGGGAAGACAGGAGACTAAATGTTGTGGGACTGATCATCCCACTAAGGCCACTGATTGGACTGATGCTAGGGTAGGTAAACATCTGAAACAAAATATTGTAAGAATTCTTGAACACCGTGTAACATAATATGACTGACCTCAAGTCCAGTAAAGTGTAATAAATTCATGTAGGTACACAATAAAGTGAAACGATGATCATTACATATCCTGTTTTTAAATCTGAATCAGCACATCTATTTGCAACTATTCATATGCGTCACTCTGTACTCTTTGGTTGTTTCCTTGAAAAGCCATATAGGCCTACTGTGCATGACACAAAATAGTAGGAATTGGTATTTATGCAAGATTCTAACAAACGAGAAACTTCTCAACAAAATACACAACTCCAGAACTTTATTACAAACCATACAACAAATATGTCATGCCAAGTAAAAGAGTGCAACATACCCAAGACCCTGTTGATGTAGTTACCTGGGGACCCTGTGGGTGAATGTGGGTAAAGGCGTGCTCCCCTGGGCGACTCCCTAGCAATGAGAATGGACTAGACATGATAGCACGACTTACAGGTGGTGTAGTTGGAGTAGATGACGTGCTACTAGAATTGCTTGTACCTGAAAAACAAAAAATGATGATTTAAATAATTTTTTCTGACTTAAACAAAACAAAAGGATTTAAGATGCTGCTAGATAGAAAGCAAAGTGGCGATTGAAGCGGAGCATTAGTGATGTGAAAAAAATCTTGTTTAATATAATATGCATTTGTAATGATATTGTATATTGTATAAATAAAATGATATAATACTTTATATCTGTTGCCAAGCTCTACATGCTGTCTTCATACTTGAGATGCAAATACTGTTTCATTGTAATTATCGCTCAACATGGGATAGCTTGTCTGTATATGCAGTGGCCTTCAATTAGCCCAGGGGGTTTATAAACACAGTCCCTAGAAAGCCTCAACTTAAGACGATCCTCAATTTTTTACATGGACCAAGCAAGGTTTTATTGGGGCTGTGTGCTATTGCTACTGGTACTGGCAATATGCACATCTCTGCTCAAAATAATTTTATCTTATTTATTTATGGTCCTCTCCTTCCACTACTAACTTCTATCAGAGCTGTATATCATGGCATAGGGTACTTAAATGCGAGATGCTAGACTATTTGCAATTTAAACACGGCCATTGTAACATTCCTTGCACTAACCTGTAGCTGTTATTGCTGCGGATGTAGACATGCTAGTGGGTGGGGAGCTGCTAGCTACCACTGTCTGGCCACCATCCGATGTACGAATTATCGCCACTGGTCGGGCCACAGGAGGCGGTGGAGGTGGGGGAAGCATCCCAGGTGTGAAAAATTGTGGTAGCTTTGTCGGACTCTTTAATGTAGGGGTTGATGGATTTGACTGAATTCAAAAATAAAAAAAAATTATTTAATTACAATTATAGAGTTAAATATCTTATTTTTGCATTTCACTTATAGGCCAAATGTCTGATCAACATTTTGGTACTTTCGGCTGAAACATCAATATTCAGCTTAATCCAGAGCTTGCTTTTTAAATCCTATTAAGTATGCCACAGTATGTAATGAATTGTAAAATATTATTATGAAATATAATGATTACACTTAGGTGATCTTGTCATGTCAGTCTACATATTAATGTCAACTGTCATAACCATTATTTAACTGTTTTAACAACTATTTATACTTATAATAAGCAATAACTAAAACTCAGCACTAAAACATATAATACTGTTATAAGAAGCAAAGCATAATCCAACATATTCATCTCAAAACTTCTCATTCAAAATTATTTACCAAATAATATGTAATTTATTAAAAATTGAATGGTTTTTGATTTTTACATGTTAAGTACAATTAAAAAATACAAGCATATAAATATTAAGCTTAGCATAAAGGATCATTCTAACATATCGAAAGTATCCATAAAGTAACATGGTATTCAATTCATACAAATGTACATTTGAAAATTTGAAACCAATGTGTGTGGGCTGTAGTTTATAAACTCATTTAGCAATTTATCATCTTTCAATTGTTTCTATAAGCATTATATTCTTTGGGATTAATTTTCTCTTTATCATGGCTTCTATTTGGGTAGTGTTAGGCAAGGTCTAGAATATCCATTTATCATTATAGATGGAATGTCATTATTACGGAAACTATGACGTGAATATATATATAACTGAGCATGATACCAATTTGAGCACATTAGCACAACTTATTCCTACTATCAGTTTTTTCTTAAAAAAATAAATTCGGACCATCTTCGAATCCCAAGGTGGTTATAACACAAGTTGAAGTTGGAGTAACTGAAACCTTTTAAATCAAGATGAATTCAGACCCCAAATCTTGAAAACATCTATGACTGAAAAAGAAGGTGAGTCAAACGCAGTATAATACAATATATGTATTGAATGTGAATATCAGGTAACTGTGTGGATACTTTCTTCTACCCATTGGTAACAGCCTGGACATGAAAAGACGGTCTGGAAACTCCAATAATGTTTGTGTTTTTCCCGACTTTGAATGGCAAAATAATGGTATAATCAATCAAATAGTGAAACTTTTTCGACTGTTTCAAATCAATTTCAATAAGGCAAAATAATGGTATAATCAATCAAATAATGTGAAATAAATATTTGAGAGTTTCCAATCCCTTTCTCAAAGTCCCTGGTAACATTCAGCAGAAGCGGCAGTTGATGTGCGTTACCATAGTGTGTTACCTGCTGAGCATTTTGGGCCTCCTGACATACCAGAGTGACGAAGTCAGACAGCGCATCGCCACCTGGGGCCTGCTGGTACTTCATCTCACGTCCATTTTCATCCAAACCCGTGGAGGAGGGTGCACCTGTAGGAGTAGAAAAATCCCTTTTTAGACAATATTTTCAAGTATTTCGACAGTAAATTATCACATAAGTGTTACAATTTATCAGACGTTGACAACCAATCACAAAAAACTATAACACACCACTTCTTTGATGGCGACATAAAAATGCCAAATTATCTACATATTTCACATACGTAGAATTAAGTTAACTGTTTATTGTTCTTATGTGGACACTCTGTCCATAACATCAATGCCTTGGGTGAAAGTTTAACAGACAAATTACAATGGTAAAGCTTAACCTGAGAGAATAGATCATTTAATATTTAAGAACTCGTCTGTGAATATCGTATGCTTGTACTCTGTGCATTACATGTACTCTCTGATGGGCTTTGCGATGTCCTTGATTTTGGTCATCATATTTTTTTAAAGTCAACACAAATCCCTGTTGAACAGATACTGATCAATAATTTGATCCACAGTCTTTACTAAGAGCTGTTTTTATTTTCTTGTAATTATTTGTGTTTCGATTTTTTCAGATTTTTCTAATGCTAAAAATAAATGAAAATTCAGAAAAATGTTGAAATGTGTTTTCAAGTACAATGCAAATGTATCAGATGCTGGCACAGTTTTGCCGGAAGTTTGCAAGAAGTAACTTTTGGCAATGCAGTATGTTAGAGTAACCTAGTAGGTGTAAGAAAATATAAGGTGATGGCCTTTAAAGTGGTAAAAACAATTTTCACGGCCGAATTGGACGTCAATTCCTGCGATTTCAGGGGGTACTATAAGACTATTTCATAACATAAAGGATATAGTTGCTATTGTTCTGCTTTCTACAGCACACATTACTAGTCCAAAGATGAATAATATCCTAAAGTTATAGGCCGATATCTGTATTAGTCTCAGAAATATTGCAATTAATAGGAAAAAAATACGCAATTTTAGTCATTTTTAAGTCTCACGTATCTTATATTTGTAGCTTCCAGCAAAAGATGGCAGCTTGAATAGCTCAAAATTGTTTCCTAAAAACTAATTCAAGCGTTGTTTGATATTGTAATACAATTATAATAATGATAATGTACTATTTATGATTTTTAATATGACTTTATAGTACCCTACCCCTGGAAAGTGGGCGTGGTCAATGTTATCATTTTGCAGCATACAATTAAAAACTTGTATTGATAGAAAGCAAATCAATGCATATAAAACATCTTCACTTGTTACTTCACAATGTAATTCATTTATTATTAAAATATAGGACTCTACATATTTTATATATACAATTTCAATTTTGTACAATGTATCATAATGAAATCTAATAGACTGTTTCAATTTACAAACTTTTTCTCAGATCACCCTTACCTTTTGACAAAATGATCTACTATATGACCAATAGCCACAAAAAATAGCAGAACTGATCAACGTTTAAACCCCCCCCCCCTTACCCCTATGTTTGTTTTGTATGGGGTCCGCCACAATGCAACAAGTCCATTTTCAGTGCTTACTATCACATGGAATATAAGTCACAATGTTTCCACAATATCTGGACAATGAGATAGTGCCATTAAGAATATGTATGCCCAGATTGAAGATCATGGTGTAAATGCTTGCCGATCTATCGGCTTTCAAAAATGAGGAAAGCTGTCTTGAGTGCCGTTTCAACTAATTTTGAATTAAAAGTGCTACTTATGAATTTTTTTCTCAACAACTGTGATTTGGTTAGAGTCCAAACACAGGATATCAAGACATAGTGCTACCAAATTCTGGTATTGAAAATTTCAGAGCTCTAGATCAAGTATTCATATCTGCATGGACTCTTAAAAAAACCAAAAGACACAAAATGCAGTCAGATATATTTGTATCCATGAGTGGATATAATTGATATTTTTGAAAAAAAAAATTTATCCCATGGGAAATCATCATCAGCGAAAAAATGTGAAAAATATAATTCGAGAAAAAATTTGAAAAAATAATTGAAAAAAAATTGTGAAAAAATGTTGAAATTTTTTAAAAATATTTTTGAAAATAATTAAAAAAGGTAAAAAGAACTTTTTTTTTGAAAAAATTCGAAACCATGGAATATCACTTTTCAAACCACCAAATATCACTTTTTAAGACGTGATATTCGATAGTTTAAAAGTGATATTCGATGGTTTGTGAATTTTTTGCTAAAATATTATAACTTGATCCACATATCAAATATATCTTCATGTGATATTCGATCTATATCCTTGCAACCATGGGATTATCACTGTTATTCCATAGTTAGCATGATATTCATAGGATAACATGTGAAAATAAAAACGGTATTTTTGTAATCAGTGGTAAAATATGATATTTTTGACAAATTTTCACTTAACCATAGCATACGGTTTTTTAGCCATGACATACGGCGCCGTATGCGATGGTTTATGGATTTTTGCTACTTCAGACTCAAAACGAGGCTAAGTGTCATTATCGCCGGATCATTTGAAAAATTCGAATTAAATCACTTAATTTCCGACGATTCTGATGATGACTTTAACTATGGAATAAAAAGAACATCCTATGATTTACTCGTGATATGATTTTAATCCACTCATGGATATTGATATCTGCACTCTCTCGCTACGCTCGCTCGTGCAGATGATCATATCCATTCGTGGATAAAAATCATATCACTCATAAATCATAGGATATCCTATATATATGCTTAAGACCAAAAAACCTATAAAGAATGTTATTATTGAATACTGAGAATACATTGTTTTTACATTACGGAGCTTTATTTCTACCTGAAAGCATTTTGGAACATATCTCTTGCTTAAATATTTCATGCAATGTTACTTTCAAAAACTTTCTTAGAACAATTAGTCCATCCTATACTTTCACATGTTATTCTCCATTTCGTTTTTAAAAATTGTGGGAGCTTTAAACTCTAGAAGAGCTTAATTACCAATTATACCATGCACCCTCTTTGCCCTCCGTCGCATTTTTCTTAGAATGGCCAGGCATATTTCAAATTGAAGAGTAAAGTCAGTTAAAGTGATATATAGCTGTATATAACAACTTTCACTTGATACTGTGATGTCAAGCTTAAGCATTCAAACAGTGTATTTTGTCCCAAGATACAATAAAGTACTGATTTCATTTATTTATCAATTCAGATGCCTTGGAATTAAAGTAAACGCTTGGTATATATTACCAATATTATTTTTACCTATTATTGGTGGTACAATGACCAGGTTTCCTTTAATGTCTTTGGTCTTACTGTGCAGTTTGTAAAAAGAAAATTCAGAAAGTTGCAATCTTAGATGAAAAACTGGTGAAAATCATACTTGCTACAGCTTTTCCCATTTTCAGAAGCCAATAGATCTGTACTTCCACATACTATGACGTTAAGTCTTCTCATATGTATTATTGGTGGTACTAACTGGAGGCAGAATCAGAAATTATGTCAAATAAAAGTAACATTTAAGAGATAAATTGTTCTGAATAGTGCATCTTTCATATTTTTCACGATATCTGACAGGTTTTTTGTCCTTTTGCCTCTTTTTAAAAGTACATGCAGAAGTGAATATTTGATCTAGAGCTCTGAAACTTCCAATATCAGAACTTGGTAGCATTATGTCTTGGTATCTTATGTTTGGGGTCTAAAAAAGTCACAGATGTTGAAAAAAATATTCATTAAGCAGCAGTTTCAGTTCAAAGTTAGTTAAAACTGCACTCACGACAGCTTTCTCTATTTTTGAACGCCGATAGATCGGTAAGTATTAGTATTAGTACCTTGAAACTGCTCATATTATGTAGTCTTTGTGGTACTTTCTCATTGCAAAGGTAATTTGAAAACACTGTGACTTACATTTCATGCGTTACTGAACACTGAAAATGAACCAGCCTATTAGATTTCATCATGATACATTGTACAAAATTGAAAACGTATATATAAAATATGTAGAGTCCTATATTTTAGTAATGAATGAATTACAATGTCAAGTAACAAGTGAAAATGTTAAAAATGCATTGATTTGCTTTCTATCAATATAAGTTTTTAATTGTATGCTGCAAAATGATAACATTGACCACGCCCACTTTCCAGGGGTAGGGTACTATAAAGTCATATTAAAAATCATAAATAGTACATTATCATTATTATAATTGTATTACAATATCAAACAAAGCTTGAATTAGTTTTTAGAAAACAATTTTGAGCTATTTAAGCTGCCATCTTTTGCTGGAAGCTACAAATATAAGATACGTGAGACTTAAAAATGACTAAAATTGCGTATTTTTTTCCTATTAATTGCAATATTTCTGAGACTAATACAGATATCGGCCTATAACTTTAGGATATTATTCATCTTTGGACTAGCAATGTGTGCTGTAGAAAGCAGAACAATAGCAACTATATCCTTTATGTTATGAAATAGTCTTATAGTACCCCCTGAAATCGCAGGAATTGAAGTCCAATTTCGGCCGTGAAAATTGTTTTTACCACTTTAAAGGCCATCACCTTATATTTTCTTACACGTACTAGGTTACTCTAACACACTGCATTGCCAAAAGTTACTTCTTGCAAACTTCCGGCAAAACTGTGCCAGCATCTGATACAAAAGGCAAAGCAGATTTTCTAGCAAACTAAAAATCTAAAATAAAGCTTTATGGTAAGTGCAAATGGATTGATTCCTCTTCAATTGACAAGTACAATAAGTTATTCAATTTTTAGAAAAAGATGATTTTGAATGCTATGAAGTATGTAGGTCTGTGTGCAAAGTTTTGAATACTCCCCGCTTTCAAATAAAAAATTATTATGAGATATTTATTTACATCAAAAACATTTTCAAAAACCCTAGGGGTAATAATCACAAATTCCTAAATAATTACACTGAAGAAAAAATGATATTATCATACCAAATCACAGCACTGTATATCAGCAAATGATTTCATAACAATTTTGATTGCAAGTTACTTTGATTTTCACAGCAGGAAAATACTCAAATGAAGTTTAACGACAAGGATGGGAAGATCTCAAATCGTGAGATTATTTACATGGTTCGACAATTTGAAAAGAGCATTTTTAAAATTGGAAAATCCCACTGTTTCGACTACTTAATACCTGCGGATGGTATCTACTGAAATATCTTCATGACAGATTATTACAACAATCATTATAAGCGGTCTCCTTTATGTTACACTAATAAACATCGTCTAATTATCCACCATCTTTTAATTTAGTATTTGCAAAGGTGAAAAGTTTACCAAGATTCTAGACCCAGTTGGCCCTTGTATCATAAACATATTTACTTATCAGCAAATTATAACTATCATAGTGGAAATACTTAAAAGATTATAAATATTGATAACTGAATTGGAAATTGTGGCAAGCCGTATGCCATACCTTATATAACACTAATATTTAGATAATATTAGTGTATTTATACAAAATGTCCTATATTTGGCTTAAATAATAAAATCCATAAGTTACGAAGGTTGAGCTATTACAAAAACTTCCATGTTGAGTTTGGCAACAGGAAGAGTGGAGGTATTGTCCAAGTTTGGCAAATCTCCTGATCATTATACAGTGTGGTAATCTCCAAAAGCCAGGTAGATTGTGACATAACCAAACTTGGAGGCTGTTTCGGGTCAGGCCGCCTCTGTGGGAACTGGCAGGCTGTCTATGTAACTGAGAACTCAATTGTTCCCGCTATTCAACTCAAACAGTAATAGGTGTCCTCGACGTTGTTTCTTGCTCTCCAGCCAATGTTATATAACACAGTCTGGAAAGCTATAAGTGGCTGTAAATCTAATAAGCTCATAATAGACTAATCTCGCTATTGAAGGGTCAAAAGTCCACCAGCTTATTCCCAACATACCTTAATTATTAATCTTCACGTTGGTTATGCCACACTAAATGTAGGTTTGGATTATAACCTATAATAAGTTCTCCGCCATTTATATAAGCTATAACACAAGGGATGGGATCACATCCTCCATTACCGAGATAGTAATTTGTCTAAATAATCAAACGCTGAATTTTTGGCAGATTTTCCGAATGAATAAGATTAATCCGCTGAGAGGTAGTGTGTTGATGAATATATGTAGGACTATGCACAATAGGTGAAGTAAAGTTCACTGTGAAACGACAAAATATTTCCGCCCAAGATACCACTCAACATGGCGAAATAAAACAGGTTTACCAACCTATGGTAAACCATTATCAAAACAGCGCCCTCCAACTTGTTTCACTGGAACTATAATTCCAAAACTGCCATCTTTCTGAAATATCCCCATGAATTGTCTCAGTGGTGTTATGATTGCTGAAAATGTTAAATCCATAATTTCTGAACTGAATTCTGCTGAAACCGTGGCAACAGTGATCTGTGACATTGTACACCCTGCTTGTATGAGTCTCCACTGACTACTAATGGCAAAGCCTGGGCACCATGCCCCATATATGTGTTCAAACTCTGGCACAATATGTCAAACAATGTGCCAATAATTAGCATTCTGGCAAATACTACGAGGATTTGTGTAATACCCATGCAAGCCTATTTATATTACATCATATTAAGTGGGCATTATGACAATATGGCAATGCTGTGTGCTATATGTATATAGGTCCTTCGTTGCTTTGGAGCTCTTGGCACCCCTGATATATCCTCTTTGGCAATGACATAACCCATACTAGAGCCTCTTTGGCAATGACATAACTCATAGAGTACACACTGGTAGGCATTGTTCCAGCTATCCTTATATACATATATAGCACTACAATCTAAAACATGTAATACTTTCCCTAAAATCGGTAATTGCCCACCCACAAATGGCAACTTTCCGATTGAAACCACAAATCAATATAATCTGGCAATATATTTGAAAATGGAGCCTGGTACTGTTATACTATGAATGTACAATATGTTCTTCTTAATATACATGTATATCTATATAGAATCATTAGACTTGATTTGTCTAAACCCTATCTATCTTGTCATACAATTCCCATTACAAATCTTTTTATTTTCAAGGATAAATTAAGAACCTTCAGGAATTGAAGATATATTATTTACCTCAAGTTATTATAGAATCATTATAAAGATTTAGGTTTCAAAGTATACATTATGGATATTATGGTTCTGAAAGTTGAATTGAATCAATTGAATATTTAGGTTTTAAAGTATATAATAGGAATGTTTAGGTTTTTAAGGATGTACATGTATCTTGAATGATTGTGGAAAACCTACCTCTGGATGGTTCATGTGGAGAGAGCTGCTGTAAGTGTGGCTGTTGATTACTATGAGGCCTGGTGGGGGTGGGGATACCCATGTTGTCAGATGTCACTGGGGTGAAGCCACTGTCTTCCTTGCTACCGTTATGTAACATTTGGGATGGAGGCATCACTGGACTATTGGCCATACCTAAATATACAATGGAGTAATTTTAGTTAGCTGAAGAAATAACAATGACAAAATGGCACCACTTGGTAGGTATTGCAAATGGTCACGATTTGTTACAAATACTAAACACTGGTCACCAACAACAAATCCCAGTTACACATGGTGCATGTAACAATATGTAGCCTCTGCTTGGTGGTGGTGACATTAAAAATATATTGATAACCCGCAATATATACCAATACTCTTTAATTTGCATACTTATATGATTTCAAAGTACTCCGTTCACTAGAAAAAGGTTGAATTTCAATGGGGGGCAATATAATTTTTACATTACCAACTGGGTCCAGAGCCCGAATGCCTCAATAATGGGAAAATCACAGCAGGTTCAAGACAGTAACTTTTAATACACATATTTAATTCTATTTGTGCATATTTTTTATCAATCTGCATTATTATTTATATTTTTTATTAACATTTTATACAATCTGCTATTATTATCCGAAAGCTACTGTCCGATACTAGGTTTTGAAAAATTAGGTATTTTCAAAAAGGATGCGTCAACAATCAACATTTTCTTATAATTATAATTGATATAATGACGTGCACATATTTCATGCAATGCTATAATTGATGTATCTCACATGAGGATATATTAACTGACCACTATAATTAATCTACCCTGAAGATGGATAACAATAGCATCTCGCACTTGTGCCCCAAACTCCTAATTACTCCCAAGTTCTAATCAGTTACCCATCAATAAAAGCATGTAGGTCAGGTTTTAAAATGCAAATTAACAGACAAAAGAGTGGGGTTTGGACATAAAATAATTAACTTGCTTGTAGATAACACTCTAAATTGTATAGAAAACTAAAATATTGAGGAGTTTGTTCATATTTTAGAGAGTTATAGCAAAAATAAGCATGATTCGAATGGAAATTCAATGACGGATATTAACCTGTGATTTAAGGTTCACTAATTGCAACATGCCCCTAAGTGATAGTAACTCTGAAACAATGCAGTGTTAAATTAGTACATTGTGTATAGAATTGTTCCGCTAATACAATGTTTTTCCGTCGATTTAATAATTGTTATATGCATCATAATGCCTAGAATATGATGTGGGCGGTGGAAGTTTAAATATGAAACAAAATTAAGTATCAATGGGACATTGTAATATAGAATTCCTTATCATCAAATAAACCTACAGTATCACAATGCATAAATTGTATAAACACTATCTTTATGAACCATTCCTCCCAAAAATGTAAGAGAAACACCAATAACAAAAAATGTAATTGCAAAATAATTAATAACAGAAACATGTACATCCTACAAGATATTTATAAAATTCCAATCGAATTAATTCCGGGTGCATTTTTTTTACCTTATACCATCTGGGTACACATTAATTGATAAATTGGAGTATTTAGCCTGTCAACTCAAATTTATATTGGAATGACCCAGGCAACCAAGTGGAAAATTCATTAGTGATAAAAAAGCAGAAGAAGCACTTCAGGGCATACATGATGTCCAACGGAGAGGCTAATAGCTTTTGTTTTAGTGGTTCAACTTAACTCTTACTTAAGCACACAGGTAAAATTTTGATACCCAACTTAACTATTTAGACAACTTTTGCTTGAATGCAATTTTCTTCATTTGAAAGACTTCCTATAATCAAGTAAACCCTCTGATTTCTGTTAATCCCTTGGGCTTATACTGGGCTTATAAGTTTTAGTCGAACAGCACATTTTGAATAACAGTTTTTATTAATATTTTAAGGATGAAAAGTCCCAAAAATGGATGGTTCCCAAGATAAGAATCCTCACTGAATATGCAATCCTTCAGTTCAATGATGTAAATGCTGCCCAATAGACTATGATCTCCAAATAAAAAGCCATTTAAAAAACTTAAAGCACATTTTTATAATGTGCATGGAATTTATTTTGTAGCCAGGGGGACTTGAGGGCCTGCTGTAGCAGTCCCCAAAATATCTCCCATTTGGATAAAATTAGACAACTTACTATGCTCCATATCTTGGGAACTAGTTTCCCATGCACCGGGTTGGGGATTTCTTGTGTAATAACCATTAACTGAATGTTGCTCAGCCTCGTCACCATGGATACTCTCAACCTCTTCCTCTACACTAGACATAGATCCCATGACACGCCTTCGTTTTGGTCGCCCATAATGTGGACTTTCCATTCCCATAGTACCATTCTGGTTCATATTGTGACCACGGAGATGGATGGAAGGTGGCATAGTCTGGATTTGGTCACAGTTGTTATAGTAACTCGGACTCTCAAGTTTGTTGCTATAGTATGGTGACATGTTTTCATTTGTCTGTGTTACTGTATCTGAAAATATATTACCATTTTTGATAAAAAACTTCTTTATATAAAATGCATTGATAATCAAAATAGAGGCTTTGAGATAATGTGGATAAAATGTGATTTTGGTACTTTGGGAATCTAGCAATAATCTATAAACTCAAACAGAGAGGAATTTATAAGAACTGCAGATTTAACAAACTAAACACCAGAAAATCATACAGTCCATTCAAAGAGAAAAGTTGCGAAGTGATCAAAATAATTAAGAAACTTTAAGAGAGTCATAGTAATCTTGCTAATACATCTACAGGCTGTACATGCATAATCTCCAATGATCAATTCATGTCTGGGGATCATGGAAAATCTTAACATGATGCCTGTATTACAGCAGAGTGCAATGGTAGATCGCACAAACATGGTGCTATATGATCCCTCTGTCTGGATGAATATCACTATAAAGTTCTTGATACAACGCCATATTTAACACCTTCATTGTCGATGAGGTAGATGAAGTGTTTGTTTTTTATAGGTTATTATTACTTATTTCCATAATCCCATAATTATTAATTCAACCTAATTATTTACATATATTGTGAGGGGCTGAGGCTATATAGCATTATTGGCCCCCAAGATGAAGTATTAACACTACCCTTAAAACCATAGATGACATAAGTCTTTCTGGAACATGTCCTAGTATGCACTACAGTATCTTCAAAAACAATCTCCTTAATTAGCAAGGTGTTAATACAGAGGGTGTATTTGCAGAATCAATGAGGTAGGCAAAGATTTAACACCATTCCAAACACCTCCATAAATGACAAAGGCCTGGTAGGGGCATGTCCTAGCATAAAATACAGTATCCTGAAATAACAGTGTGTTTCTACATGGGCATACAGTAGCTACATAACATCAAACACCTTTCAAGATACCAATGTCTGGTTGAGCAAGCCACAGTATGACAAGTTACATACCATTATAGTCAAATCATCCTCTTTGGCCTCACCTATATAAGTTTTGCCTCACTTATTCTGAGACCTTTTTAGATATTTTGTTATATTTTATTTCTTCAAAATAAAGCTTTAAAAGATAAACAAAGATTTTGTATTGAATTGAAATTTCAAAAATAAAATTAGATTTCCGACATAAATGCTAGCATATATATATTTTGTTCAATCTTTAAACATGCTTAATTGTTTATTTTGTTGAACCAAATCTCAGAAGGTAAACCATGTTTCTACAGATATTTACTGGAGAAGTATGTGATGGGAATTTGAACTAAGAATGTGTTAGAGAAGAACATGTAAGGTACTATAAGAAGGATCAGGTGAATTCCTGTCTGAGGAATGTGCTGCATTAATTAAAGTTGAAACCAACATTTACAAAATTAAGAACATTATCTTAAAAATAACAGAGTCTCCCGAGAAGATTTTACACATATAGGTTCAGCTCAAAATCTACCCCACAGTTATCAGAAAATGAAATAACAAATTAATAAAAAACCTTGTGGGGGTAACTAATTATTAATACTTGATACAAAGGGTCCTGATAAACAATCACTTGCTGGTATATTGAATAATTATCGACTTCTAACGATTACATAAACTTTTGTCTGTGAACTTCTCAACCCAGTAAATGGCGCACAGCTAATGATATTATTTGTTATTTGATTTGTGAAATGTTCTCTCCTGTTAATGATTAGTATTGTTGTTGCTGTCCGATCATGACAGTTGTTCATATTCTCAAATTTTCTTCATAATAAGGTTGAAATCTTATGAAATGTTATCTATGATGTAAATTGTGGATTAAAAAAGACATGAACAAATACCTAATAAGGAAGTGATATCACAAGATCTTGAGTGGTGTCATTTTTATAATTTTACAATGTTGTTATTTACCATTCAATATTACCATAAGATAATGAGAAATATTCTACAAATTATTTTACATGTACCTGAAAAACAATCAGAGAAAATAGTAAAAGTTGCTCTCTAATTCAAAACCAAGACAAAATTTAACTTTAATTCAATTCAGCCTTAAGATCAACAGTCTACACACTAGACAGTGTTACAAGATATGTACAGGTCATACATAAATTCTTAAATATAGTAAAGAAACAATTCGTCCAGCAGACATAATCGAGCAGCCAAAAACTATAAAAATATATAATGTCTTATATGATAAAATGAAATCGTCTGATCCAATCATTCTGCCCACTGAATCTTACATATATTTACTTTGACGTTAATCTCTTAAAACTATAACAAGTCTAGTTTTTTGGACTGGAATTTGAAAATGGTGCACATAGTCATATAAGAAAGCAAGTCTAAATGACAACAGCAAATAGATGAAAAATAAAGGAACAGATTTCAGATTTTCAGATTTCAAAGCTTCATTTTTAAGTCCTGCTCAAGTCTCAGAACAAATAAATATGAATATACAAAGCTAATTTAAGCATATGATATCATCAATTTTCAATGAAATATTTGCGAAAACACAACTGGGGTGAACCATGTAATAATGGTTTGATTTAGCAAAATAGCATCCGGCTATCTGATAATCACCAACTAATGAACATAATTTCTGATATAGTTACTCGACTTGGCACCTCCAAGACTAGTGTCTAATTGAAAGTTAAGATTATACCTCTATCAAATCAACCTGGCAATTGTTTAGACACTACAAAGCTAAATCCAAACATCTAAGATCTCAGTATGTCTGTGTATAATCACATACTACAGTACATACTCAGCTTGCTGTAAACTAAAAGATGATCAGCAGAATATTTTTCTTTCATTTCGGGCATTTTGATACACCGTGAAGTAAACTTGGCTCTAGTAGATTAAAACCATATGATGAATAAAAATAAATAGAATAAAAATCTCAAAATTTGGCGATTTCTAAATCAACCTGACAAATCTTTTTCAACTGACAAAATTACAACTGACTATTTAATAAATATTGATAGAAAGTAAAGATGTTGTAATAACAATACATTTCAACAAGATTCTGGACTCCCATCATATTAATGACATCCTTGCCTAAAACATTCTAAGCTTTCTCAAGAGTGTCACTAGGAAATTGAAAAACCATTTGATTTAACATTTTCAAGTTCAGTAACATGTATACAAGCCAGATATTTATATTAAGGATTTCACATGAGTTTGTAATAACAACTTAAAGTCCACTCCAGTTATGTGGACAGATTCATTTTTCATTAGGCTAAAAGAATACCTTTTAAGAATCAACAATCTTTATCAAAAAAGTTCCTACCATTTGTTATTTTAGGTTAAGTCAAGGGAAAAGATAGTGAAATTCACTTTAATAATAATAACGAGACTATAGAAGAAAAACCTAAAATAAGATTGTATTTCTTTATGTACTATTTTTGCAGATGAGCCATGTAAGAAAAGAAGAAGTAGTACAACTAATCCGGCAATTGAAATCTTAAGGACTAATTTCTATTGGTTCAGGTGGGGCATATCAGATAGAGGATTGGTAGATCTCAATCGAGGTACAGTTCATCAAAATCTGAACTTAACAAAATGTCACAGCTCATTGTATTATAATGGTATGTTTTTATAGCAGTTAAACTCCTAGTCTAAACATCATAATAACAACAGTTTTTATTTTGAATAATATGTCCTCAATTAATGCCTGACAAGCAAGGAATTTAATATGGTGACAAGGGAAACATTTAACATAATATTTGCAATGGCCATTATGATTCAATAGACATAGAGAGACCCACCCTGAATCCCCCTCGGGAAACATACAAGACCAAGTAGACCAAACCTGGTACTGTAGTTTATATGGGGGCTTGACGCATTATATTGATACTTTTTTTATATTGTAGAAACAAGCCTGAAAGTACTGCACCATGATATATTCTAACAATTTTAACAAGTAGAAGTTCAGAAGTTGCAAAAATTATATCAAATCTATAATACAGATAGTCACACATGAATTACATTGATTTCCTAACATTTGGAGGTAATGACCATACTAAAGCATAACAGAACTTGATTCATTCTATAGTAACCCTCATCAAATAACACTTCCCTCTGACTTCTACTGAAGATTTCAATTTTGACCCTTGGTCTTAACGATCTCAAATAGCTTTCATGGCATTCTATGGAAATTTGAATGTTAAATGAATATTAGCTAATTATTAACAGAAAACATGGTGCTGTTACTTTCATATTCTGCTTAAGCATAGGTTAGGTCAGATGTATTTGTTATTTAACGAGGGTCTATGGTGTCAAACTCTAGCAAAGGGTACACTGATATTATCCACACCATCAGATCAAGTGTATCCCAATATACCAAGGTGGAATTTATAATAATACAGAGTCTGGTTTACATAATATATTGGCAAACCTCTTATATAATAGTCTGGCGCTCTTATTCTATTGGGAAAATCGAATATTATGAGTAAGTGGTCAGTTTCTGTATTGTTGCTGTACTGTATAAATGTACACATCATGGCTTGTTAAGCTTTGGAATACAATTCGCAAGTCAGTTTCATTTTGTACTTTTGTATATTTATTACCAGGCATAATGTCACAAATTAATAAAGTTATAAATGAGCCAGCAAATCTTTTATCAGCTGGTCAGTTATAAATAATAAATAGAAAGTATCCATCAATAGTATTTTTTTTTGTTAGACAATTTATTAGTAATTGAGGTCATTTATTATATTTTATATACATATATATAACATACGGTACTTGCTTTTCAGGGTTTCATCTCAATGGTATGAAAATATGTGCAGATTTCATATCTATTACAACTTCAAATGAAAAACTAGAGACCAATGAGGGAACATATTAGTTACATTATTCATATAAGATTGTGCCAGAAAATCTCACAGAACAAAAACATACCAAACAAATACTTTCAAAACTTTCCAGATTGTAACTATCTGACCACTTGAGTGTTATTTCATCGATTTAATCTCATTTTATTTCAAGTGACAATTTGGTCGATACTTCATCAAGATAATATATGTATTCAATTAAACCTAGATGAACTTTCTGTTACATTGTAATTCACACAATAGGAATCTATTAGACAATCGCCATCTCTGCATAATTAATAAAATAATATCGGGGAAACTATACATTGGGTATCATCCAATAAGGTGATATTGAAACCTTCTGAATACATGATGTACACGTATTAATTGGTGATCTCATACAATTCCATAAGTCCATACGTGTAATAGGAATACTTTGATCTGAAATATACACTGATAAAGTTCAATAAGTTGTTCATCTTTAATAAACTTTTAATATTTATTATTTCAAATGAGAATGATTCATTTTTTAATTAATTGCGAAAAAACAAATACAATACAAATAAGTGTTTTGGTGTCATGGTATAAGTGTTATTTAGGAAAATGAAATTGAAATATGTCTTATTGATTCAATCAATGCTTTCAGTCTTAGTCTGTGTTAGTATTAAATCTTGTCTAACAAGAACCAAACTTGTTGCATACCATTGGAGGCGACACAGACATAATATTGTCCTATGTAAATCAATGAATGTCACAAAACCAATATTTAGGCATATTTTGACCTATTATGACATGGTGTTCATAAATATTTACCATTGAAAAAACAAATAGTCCATTAAAAGACATTTACTGTTATGTTTTTCAAATGACAGCAGATGCCATTTCTCACGTGGAAAGAAAATTCGCTGAAACATATCTACAGTTATAAAACCAGCTATAAATATCTAATATACTGGGAGAGTTTTTAAAGGTGGGGAACACTGAACACACTTCTGGTGAACATCTCTATTTAGTGAACTCCTCACTCTATCGAACAACTCTCGTGAATTCCATATTTCTTAATTCCTCGACTATCATTAAAAAATTATTAAATGCGGATGAATGTTATACTTAATGATAGAATCTTTGATTCAAAATCTTGTTTAAATACGTGTGGATGTTACTGTAATATGTTAATGTTCCTGACTAAATTGTGACCACTCAAAATTGTTAAGATTAGAAAGGTTGTTATCACGGCACTTTATTTCACTTTTCATGTATAAACCTATGAAGAACTCGAAATAAAGATTCATTCACACTTTCATCACAGTGTCTGTTATCGAATCAGATACTATAGTAACTCTGTGCTAACTTCAAGATAAATACAGATATATTTGAGTTCAATCTGGGTCACATACCTGGAGGATCAGGTCAAGTTATGATTACATAAAACGAATCAGTTCAATGAATAATTGCAATTTTAATACTCCTTTTCAATAGTGTGATTTTCTTCCTTAAAAGAGAGCTTCAACCAGTTACTATTGCCTTCTTTTAATTAAGACAGGAAAAAACATTAATCATGCACAATAGCCCTCTGGTATGACAACACATGAAACACATGATCTGCAACACCACGAGCCAGATGTTTGATCAAACATGTAAGAAATAAAATTGAAATCTTGAGTGTAATGTCACTTCATAACAAAAGTAACAATAACCCCATCCATTGTAAAGTTCAAGTGGAACCCTACCTCCATCATCTCTATACTAACATGTAAACTTCAATATTAAGTGAAACCAAAGTGTTCAATTTGTTCGCATCAAGGTCTCTTGTTATTTAACAGAGCACATTTGAGAATTGATCAATTAGAGCGAACTATTTAGTTTAGAGATGTTCACTTAAGGCTGTTCAATTTGGAGATGTTGAATTAAATAATGTTCAGTTTGGAGGTGTTCAGTTAAAAGGGTGTGCAGTTTAGGGTGTTTAATTAGAGGGCTGTTTAACTTAGAGGTGCTCACTACAAGGTTGTTCAATATGGAGGTGTTCACTTAGGTGTTCAGTTTTGACTTCACTTAAAGATCGGTGTTCAGAGGTTTTCACTTGTGATACTAAACTTGATATACTCACATCTGGTGACACGCAGTAATTCTCTGGCTGAAAAGACACCAGTCGCTGCAATACTGTCATTTCCGGATACACCAGAATGGATGTTACCAGGAACTGAAAAATAACAAAAATTATAAATATTTATAGAATAAGTATATGTTAATTCATACTGTGATTTCCGGATATTCCAAAATGATTGTTACAAAAAGTAAATAAATATAAAAAGAGATCCATTTAACAAATATTTACATCATTAATTATAAATTAATTGCAATTTTGAATTAATATTTAATAATGTTTCATCTATGGGCGTATGATACTATAATGGTTATAAACAGACAGGATTTTGTAACAAAAAATATGTCTTCAAAAGATATCTATGAATTTATCTAATTAATTAGAAAATGTAATATTATGTAACTATTTACAATCATATACTGATAAAATATCAGAAATATATTATTTTTAAATTCAAATTTTTAAATGTTCACTATGGTATACTAAAGAATATTGCCTAACATGCCCAAATATGCAGATGGCCTCATGGTATCACTGTGCATAACATGTATTTTTTATGTACATACTTTTTAAAGTAAATAAATTAAAAATTAAAAAGCTTCATAAAATCCCATCCCATAATGATACCATAAAAGGCTGCACTGGAAAACCTTCAATATCTCAACCCATATTTTCATTTGTAACATTTTGGTCTTTATTTAGTTTTACAGGAAACAAGCCAGTATTGACAAGCCATGTTTATTAAGCAAACTATAATCAACAATATGTAATTGAATGGAAATTATACATATGATTAATCAAATATAAGAAATTACATGATTTGAACTGAAAGGTCAAAAGGTGACCCTGCAAACTCAGATAGTCCAATCTTGTATCATAATCCAATAAAATTTGGATTAAATACATACCCAGTCTATTCACTTGCCCAAATCTTTAATTTTCAATGTCAAACCTAAGCAAATGCCCAAATAGTCTAACAATAAACAAGTAATATCAAAGAAATTAATAAATAAGTTCAGATATTCATGAATTTTGTCTGAAAAAATATCTTCATTAATATTCATTATTAAAAGAAATGTCTAATTCTTTTATCGGCATCAAAATTATATGAACGCTATCATATTTTAAAGGAAACATAATTCAGCTGTTTAAACTAGATTAAATTTTGGTACTTCACACCTCTGAGTCAATATAGTCGTGGAGATGTGGACATATCGGAGGTCCATTCTTGGTCAGTAGCAATTAGCGGTGAATTCACACGCCAGACAATGTTTTCTTAGCACCTGCCCTTATGCAATAACATCTCAATACTTGTACAATAATAATGACTTAGAGCTCTAAAGATGATTGATTTTGGTAAACTTATAAGGCCAGCGAACTTGAATAATATTCGATAGGCTCTTTAAAGAGAGCCTTTACAGTACTAAGGCAACAGTATCTATAGCTAAACATTTTGGCTATTTACAAGTAAAAACTCTATTGTCGAGTATTGGTTCAGCCGCAGTTACATTATTAGCATACAGGGCCTCTATTTTAACAATCACAAATCCAAATATGACTAATTTTAAGCAAATCCAAATTATGGTATTGTGATAAGTTATGAATGAGAGAGATTTCCTGTTAAGCCCTGTCTAAGCACGGAGTAATTTGTGACCCTGGGGTATGGGAACTGATATTATTGCCTCCCCTGGCCCAGACTCTTGCGTGTCCATTATTTACTTTATAAATTCACTACATAAAGTTGACAATAGTGAACATATATTGTGTAACGATGCAGTTCCTGGGACAGTTGCAGACTTTGATTGTTTATTTGCTTCGTTGCCAGATACAGAAGAGGATTTTCTTGAACCCGTGAACTTTTCAAAACTGGACAGTACCCAAAATCCAAATTTTGCGACTCAAATCAAAGTCAACAAACTCAAAATGTTCAAAATTTGACATTTACTATACATGTACATGAAAAAATTCATTCAACTCCATACCCGAATTAATTGTATAGGCAAGATATATATATACATGCCTGAAGCAAGAAATGTCAAAATAACACAAAAACGACGATTTTTACTTTGGTCATTGTCATTTCTACAGTAAACATAAAGTTACTGATAACAGTGCTCTCCCCAAGATTTTTTTGTGTCAAGGATTTTGTAATTTTTTGTGCAACATTTCACAATTCTGTAATTTTATGTGCAACATTTTAGGATTTCCTTATTTTTTATTGTAACATTTTAGGAGGCGCATCTAACTGCATTGAGGAGAATTTTGGTTTTATAAAATACATGGAGGTGCTGCGCCTCAGAGATTTCAATGTGGGGAGAGCACTGGATATCTAAACACAAATATCCATTTTCTTTTTTTTAATCACAAAGACAATGCCATTTATTTTGAAATAAAAACAATGCATATCATTTGCAATTGCTATTTCGAGTTTTGATGTCCTACCAAGAAGTAAAACAAAATTCAGGGCAACTTACTTCAAAATGAAAATTAGGCGTGAAAAGATGGATTTGCAAATAGATCATGTGGACATGCCCGATGCATTTGTTTTGCAACTGAGATAACAAGCATTGACCATAGCATGATATTGAAAAAGATCCAAAAATAAAAGTTACATAACTTTTTGCCCTAATTTTTTTTGTTATACCAACTCTCTCAATCAACTTTTGATATGCTTTAAAAATCTGTTATAAATTGTATAAATCTTGTAACACTCGATAAATCAAATTAATGGGTTTTTTATACTTTGACATATTATGTAATTTAATGCTCTTTGTTGTATGAAAGTGAGATACAGCTGCAAAAGTGGATGCCAAAATAAAGAAGTAGATCTAATCTTTTATAAAATGAATAAAATTAAAGATAATGTTAAAAATGAAACTAAAATAAACTCACCCTTAATATCATCATGTTCATTGTAGGCTGTGTAATCTTTTGGTACTGAAATGACAGCAAAACAAAAGTATAAACATTTCGAAATTGAAAAAGAAAAACAAAGGAGAAAAAATAGATTGATAAAAGAGATGTAGGGAAGAATAGATGATAACAATGATCCTCAGGATGGATCATAGGGTGCTCAAATTTTTCAGAAACTGAAAATTGGCGAAATTGATAGCTTTGAAGGAATTGGCTAATTTTGATAAAAATGCTAATCTTAGCTAAAATCTTACAAATTTTAGCATATCTTTTAAGAGAGGCCAGGTCTCCTAATTTATATTATTCTTCAATTTTCTTTAAAAATCATGTAAAGTATCATTCAAGAAACCAATATATTTGGTCTTGAATCTTGTCTATAAAAAAAACAAAATTTTAGGGAAACACATTTGTTTATGTTTTCTAGTTCACCTCATTAGATTGATACCTTGATTGCATAGAACCAAACAAAACAATTTTAATTTGCCCTACAGTATTTAGGTTTAGTCTTGCTCTTAGCTGTACTCCAATATACACCTCACCTAAGTAAAAGGTCAAGTCAGGTTTTGACCATAACAAGAGTATGCCAATGCACTTTCATGATAATCATAGAGAAACTCCTATAAACCATATGACCTAATAAGAGCAATGTGTCTTACCATAGCTATGTATAAAATTGGCGAGGTAGAGGTCAAGCTCGCGCACTGATACACTGATATGATGAGGGTTTACACACACATGTGGATGTAAGCAATCGTGGGACTTTTCTAAGCGTTCACCGTCTGTACTCTCCAATGGAATAGCTTTAAATAAAATAACCATGACTAGATCCAACCTCCATACTTTGTCAGCCTGGCGTAAGCAGTCTATACGGCGCATTTTGCCTTTTTGATCGGGATTGCTCAATACGCACAATGGCGGACGTTTTCCCGTTATGCTCAATACAAAGTCCTCGCGGCATTCTTGATTAATGTCTTTACGTAGCTTTGCTAGCAATCTTGATGCCCACTTCTGTTTCACTTCTGGTTTCTCACACTGAAATCAAAACAATACATATTATACATTAATAACAAAATAAACTACATGTTATTTGTCTCTTATTAAGGGTTCATAACATTATACATATTTTTACAATCTTGATAAATTTCGGAACAAAATCAGGCATCTGTGACACCTCTAATTTTGGTAAATACATGTAGATATAAATAACACAGCATATTAGCTACACACTAAAGCAGGAAAGGTATTTTATTCTATAAATCATATCACCTATTAGACCAAACTCATAACTAAGTAAATTTAGAATGAGGTACCAACACCTTGACTTAGCATATGACATTAAATGGCCATGAGGGTCTAGAGTCATAACTACACCATGGTATTCATATCATAATTTGTTATGATTCAAAACAAAAACAAAGAACCGACAATGTTTAAAAACACTTGAACTGATGCAGGCTGAAGTGCGTCATTTTTTGATTTACTAATAGAAGGTCATTCTTAAGTTATTAATAAATGTTAATTTTTAATAGGGTTTGACATTTAGATTTTTAAATGGTGTTACTTACTTTGTAAACAAAACACTGATGCGCTTAAAATGGTTGATCAACTGACTTTTGAACAATCAAAAGACACTTATCAAAATAAACAATTAAAAAAACACTTTTAAAAATCTTAGTTTCAGAACAATTATTCTCACATCACTATTTATCATACATGCCTATTTTTTAAATATCTAATAAGTTCATATCTTATTTCAGATTTTAACATTTTTGTGTTCTGTTTTTTTCATTATTTTGAAATTTGCTGATACATTTTGAATAACTTGAAAATTTGATAGGGATAAAATAACTTCGGATCATTTTTTGGTTATTTATCAGGAATTGGTAACATCATTATGGCTTGATAAAAATATTTTTACTTGCGATTAGTTCATTCCTGTATATATTGTCAGGTTATATTTTAAAACCACAAAAAGTGAAATATCTTTTCTTGTGTTTGGCAGATAATACTGTATAAGTGGTATTTAATCCGAGTGGTTAATTTTCCGAATGGTCAAATTTCATCATTTTCCTAATTTAAATTTTCCTAATGACAAGAAACCTCCCATTGGATAACATTATAAAGACAATATTTCCGACATTTAATTTTCCGAACCTGGCAAAAATTAGGAAATAGGCAAATTAAATGATTAGGCAAAATTACCACTTATACAGTATTTTCTTTTACTGGTCATTTTCTAATTTGTATAACTATCACATACATAAGGGTCATATGAAGTGAATCAGTAAAACTGATGAATATTCAGGTTAAAGGGAATTTTGCAATACCCTGCCATGTTATTTCCCCCGAATCAGCCACCTGGTGGCGAAACTGGTAACTACCAACTCGCATCTGAGTAATTGTAGTTACCTGTAATTCTTCCTTCACTCTTCTCTCTTCTTCCATTCCCATACGTTTCTCATGCTTCTTGTAGAACTTTCTTTTGGCTGCCTGGAGGTTGAACCATGTGAATGCGAAAGATTTAACGTGAGGCAGGAGGGCCTCTATGAACGGATGGAACTCATCCTGGAAAAAGAAAATCGTAAAATTGAAATGAATTGAATAAAATTCATTTACTAGACATATATTAATACAGTAAAACCGGTGTAGAGCCACAAAAGTGTTTTCACCCTTGGTAGGTGTTCACTACAGAGAGGTGAGTATATGCTGAGAAGGGGTGCTCACTAGACACAGGTATTCACGTAGAGAGGGGTGTTCACTAAGACAGGTTTCACTACATACTAAGATGGAAATGTTGTATTCTTTGGCCAAAATGATGACTTGCGCAAGTAATCATTTCCTAGACATATATCTACTAAATGATCATGTGAAGATATTAAGTATTAAAACGGAGCATTTTTCTGCACAGTTGAGCATTTGTATACTCTACATGTACAGTATATGCACAACTGACTACAACTAAAGTTAATAATAAAAAATAATATTCTGCGTTAACATGGAAAATAACAGGCATGATAACAACAAAATCAAACTGAACTTCCCACTTCTTTCCTTTTCCAGTTGTAAAACGGTTAAAAGAAGGATGAAACATGAGTCCGAAATGTTATTCAAAATACTAAAAATTTTATGAGAACAAAAATATTTAATATACCATAAAACATACAGAAAATGAAAAACATTAACTTTTCTAAATGTTGAAATGTCACTGCAAGTGCAAGAAATATGTCAGATAACAGTCTTAAGAAATGCTTCAACTTGAGGCAACCCCTTCATATATAATCATACATATCAATTAGATATTTGCTTGTGTTTTCTTAGGCATGTGCTCTAGACTGGTATGATGTTATCATTTTTAATATATGACTAAGAGACCTTATCCCTCCAGATATATAACAACCTATGAATACAAATCAGATTCATCTGATCACTGACCACGCAAATAAAACAACCAGTGGTCATGAATTGCAATAGTTCAGTATGATATTAATGTATGGATGGCATGGGCTAGCTTTATACTGAAGTTCATAATCAACTTGCAAAATATGAACATGTCTTTAAATTTTGATATAAAGTTCAACTTTTGACTTACTTTTGAAAGCTGGAGAATTATTTCTGTTCATATTTGACTTCAAACCTAATTTACATGCATGTGGAAAACACATTATTGAAAATCAATGCTACGTCTGGCAATGTTCATAATAAAGTATGAAGATAGGGGTGTATTACCCTTAGTTTTCCAGGAAGGTTTTCGAGTTGCATACTTTTAACTAAATAATATAAGTGTAGTTAAGAAACGTTGGGTAGAAATATAAATAGCGAACAGACACTTCCCTGTTTTCATTCTCAAATGATGAACCAGAAAATATCATGGCCGGTTAATGCATTTTTCAAATTTGTTTTTTGTACTTATAAATAAATTGTCATTTATGGCTAATTTTATAGATGCTCGTTGTTGCAAATAAACTGTGAAACACTAATTATCTTGCTTCACCCATCAAGTGGTAGTTTGTGCACCAGGGTGTCCTTATGCCACACTGTTAACTTCGGGGGGGGGGGGGTTCTATCAGCCATACCATCCTTTAATCAACAATTAGATACCTTTCTATTCTAAATTGCTCATTACATTTCTTTTCGTACAACTAACGAAATATATATCTCTGATTACCCTTTTTCATAATGAGAGCTTCATCCCAAAAATTAAGTGCATTTACTTGCTTTGAGACCTCAGGGTAATTTGCGAAAATGGCAAGTTTTTTTTAAAAACTTTCTGGTGAAACCCTACATCGTATTACGATAATAGGACCAAAAACTAATCATATAATATGGTTATTCTGGCCATCTTATTCCTTCTAACATACCGTACCTTGATATACTGTATAATCCCCCTCCCCATTCACAGAGTAACTGACTGAGGTCTCAATCAAGAATGGAATTTTATATGCTGAACAATGTTACATAATAACATAGAGGTAAACATAATATATCAGTTACTTTGTATGTAAGTCAGCTGATTTATATAGTAAAGTACATGTATAGGAATGTAAACACAGTTCAGTATAATCAAGAAGTACTGAAGCCAACTTTGTATAACCACTGCCAAAAACTTAGAGAAGCACGCAAAAGTTTGGCTAGAGTTTTAATTTCTTCATTTCTAGGTCATCTGAACTATTCATTGCCAAATTAATTATTTATCATTAATTACTGTACTATATTTGGCTAAAACCAAATGTTTTTTTACTATAACTATACAGAACATTATCAATTTTGCTTTCATACCAAATGTTTGGTTATTCAGTACAGAACATGTATGCGAATGTTTTGCTTGCTGGTATGTATCCCACATTATTGGATTACAGAATAAATTCATGTAAAACTTACATTGTAAAAGCGTAAATCCATATTTTGTTCCATTCGGCTGATGCACCTGTATATTATAACTCAAACATTTATATGTGAGCTATAAGTTAAGTTACTTGACCATAGTATTAATGTATAGGTGGTTCACTAGCCGTTCTGTAATATTGCATAAAGCTTTAGCCCTAGTGCTCTCATGTGGGTTCAAACTACATGTTATAAGTTTGACTCCTAATTTTAGGCAATTCAGCAATCAGGTCCCTTGTGGTGTTCCTCCCTAGTGTCTCTATTGCTTAGTTTTTAATGATGCAGTTATTCACGGGGTTCTTAACTTCTAACATGGGGTTTTTCTACCTACTATGCAGTACATTTGTAATAATCATACCTAGGGCTAAACCATGAAGTTGTTAAAAAAGCATGGAATTGTTCAACCAGAACTATGTAAAATACAACATATTAAACTGCCTTTAAGGTGGTTACGTAACTTGTGCTTAGTTTGAGTCAGTTAAAACAGGAAAGTATATTACCCTGGCAAAATCAACTGCTCAAATATATAGAGCTAACAAAGTTCTAAAAATCAAGTCTAATATCCCATTTAGAACCCATTTCTTAGACTTGGAGTCCATAGTACAAATACTCCCTATCAATATTCTACTTGTTGAGATCGCCTCAATTTGTGTTCTTCTGGGATAATGAGGTTTTCAGCAAGGTTGTATTGACTAACATGGGGGTATACACCATTGACTTAACATTAGGATATCATCGAATTATCATGGGGAAAGAACTAAAGTTCATGGAGTCTCAACAAGATTCATGTAGGATAATATTGGTAGAATCCAGGGCTTTTCTTTTTTAATGACAATTTTTACTTGGATGTGATAAAAAATGAGACTATGATTTCTATTACAAATAGAATTTTGTAACATCTCATGCTGCATATCATGCACAGTTTTGAGACCTTTAACATTAAAAATGTTTGTTATCCCAAAAATACATTGCAGTAATGATTCTGCATCAAATAATCAAGTTTTAGATATGTACCGATATTTATTTTCATCTTATCGCATTTGACCAGAAGTTATGACTACATTTCATAGGAAAATGTATATATATCAATATGAAACACCCTGTATATACAAGTATATCATACATATGAAACCTGCATGAATATTAAATGAAACACCATTCTTTAATGAATTTTTAAATTTCAATCAACATCATCTGATCAACTGATTAATGTACATTCCTGATTCATATCCCATGATTATGACTTTAAGCCAGAAATTGATCTGGAAAACCCAGATATATAAGGGCATATCATTTTACATTATTATTGTAACATGGTCAGACTTATTTCTTTGTAATCACTCCTTGTAATTCTCTTTCACTTTTAAATTAAAATTAACATATATACGTCATTTTCAGAAACTTGTTTGGCTGCATCTTGTGTATGTTTTATTATCACATTTATATTATTTATATTGTTTATAAGACTTATCATTCAGTGGTTCACCCCCCCCCCCCATCCCCCTACCACGTGGAGGAATGTTTGTTACATGGAGTAAACAAGCACCTGTTGTTAGACTACAGTACAAAGCTAATGGCTGAAAATATGTAAATAGATCTTCACTCCAAGAGGATGTTCTATTCTATACAAGACCAATCAGCTGATCAGAGATATATTAACCTACTTTTTCAAAACAGCTCAAAGTGTTCAACTTCCAAGATGATGATCAAGCTGATTTAGTTGAACCAGCGAAAGTAATGCCAATAAGTCCAAAATTCAAGTTTACTATGATACATAGAATATGAGCCCATGTGAACTAGGATTGGCTGTGGAGGGATGGTCATAAAGAAACATCCTGTATTTTCAATTTAAAACCATATGATGGTTCCTTTTGAATTTTAATGTAATGTTAAAAACTTCTTGTAATGAAATAAATTTTTTGATAATAAATTGAAGAGGTAGAAAATCTTCTTGAGATCTCTCCGTGACTAACCTACAGACCACAAGAAACATGTGAAAACATGCCTACTTCATTAGATCCTGGTGCTTGTTGTTTACAGATTGTCATACTTCAAAACAAGAAAACTACACCATACACAGAGCACTAAATCTTCACTTTAACAATCTGGAGTCAATTTCATTACATGAGGTTATCTACTGTCTCTTGCAAATACCCCAATTGTCAGAGCCTCGTACATGAGATGAAGCTCTCATTCAAAGAAGGAAAAATAAGAACTATTTCAGGGGTTTCATTAGCAGCAGGCAACGGGTGATTTTCACCACTTGTTTTTCAAATTGTTGTTTTTCAGGGATTCTTCAACTTTTCCATGTTAAATTTATGATTTGCATTAATTTTCCCTGTTGTTTTCATTTAAAGCCTGTTGTAGGAAATTTATCAAGAGTCTCTCTTTATCTAATATTGCTTCCTCTCAGTGTCTATTCCAAGGGATAGGACAGACAGTGGATCCCAAAATGGAAAGAGTACCCAAAAAGATGTGCCAGTTATATTAGAGCACAATAGGAATTGTATATATGTTGTCTCTGCCTCTTGAGAAAGTTACATCTTTTAAGGTCAAGGGACATGACACACAATCAAATGTGATTAGATTTAAACAAATATATGAAAATGTAGACCTAATAACATGTAATCAATTGAATGAAAGTTTATAACAGGAGACAGGTTCAAAATCGAAAGAACCAGGGGTGACTGCTAAGTGATACTCTGGTGATGTAGCATCAGTTGCTCAGTATTTTTTTCCATTCAAGTGATCAACTTTCATTCTACTTTTAATTTGGTCAATTTTCCATTTTAAACTTCTTAAAGTGCTAAATCTGTATATAAAACCCCAGATAAAACCCTGATCTGAATCATGATACAAGGAATGTTGTAGGAAATGAGGTATGTGCCTAAATCAACTAGCCTAGAGTTACATCATTAAAGATGTGTATATCCACATAATGTTGATGTATTTACCTTCTAGTAAAAGTATACTGAACTATAGAACTTATGATGATAAAACAAATGATAAAAAAAGTAAAAAGCTATTGACTATGTTGACCTTCTGAAGATTTTGAGTGATAATTCCCGAGTATAATTGCCCCAGAAAAAGGTGTTTACTAAGTTCAGCAAGGCCAATCTCAACCGAATCCTGCTTTTATGAACGCATAAAATATAACGGGTCAAGATGACCAAAGTTAAAGAACAGTCATGTCGTTATCAAATGCAAAATAGAAAAAATTAGGAATATAAAAATAAACAATATCCTCCATCAAAATTTCATGGACATGGTACCAAATAAAATGCTTGAGAGACAAAATGTTTTGTGTAAGATTTGAACTAACTATACCACTACCAGGAGAATAGTCCAAGATGAAGTGCAGGGTGACATAAAGTTCTGAACAGCTGATCCTAAAAAACAAGCAAAATATTCTATTCACACTTGAAAATCCCTTGTTAGCAATTTTCCAGATTCAGATGTGAACTTGTATAATAACATCTTATATAACTGAGTTATCTTCAGACAAGACCACGGTAAGTGGTCATCATGTACATGCCTAAGAAACAAGATCGTCTTTCCTGGCTATTTATACATGGATTCAATATCTTCATATTACCACATACATTACCAGTTACCTAGTGGGGATTGTCTACAAGCTACCTGGGGGATTCAAGAATTCTTCCACCAGAAAAAATAATTATTCAACAGATGAGGATTTCTTCGTTCACTTGTTAACTATGACATACTGGACCACTGATTGTACATATTCACTGCTCACCCTTTTCATTAAACAATTTTAATTAAACATAGGAATTATTTCTATTATAAATCCTCCATGTGGACATGTAGGTACTAAATAAGGGGAGAAGTCATTTAACATTGGAGGAAGAATGTGACTGATCTTCGTACAATGAAACTAAGATAAGCAATCAACAAATGACTCACAAGTTTCTCAATTACACAGTTATTTCATGTGTATGCCCCCTCCCTCTCTACGACTACAAAGAGGCGATAAGTTTTAAAATCATAACTTCCCTGTAAATCCATTATAATAAATCTGAGGCTACCCTCACAATCAAACCTATTGAAAATGGATGTTTGATCAGTAATCATTGTAAACATGTTGTAAACTAGGCTTCGTGATTTTCGATAATTCTGAATATTGTTGGGGTAGTCAGACTAATCTTACATTTGCGGGAGTACTGAATACATAGGATATCCCTTGTCCGGCAAACCAAAATATCATGAATCGGAATGTTTATTAAGTCGCTCATTTCTTCATTGACATTATGACTTTAAGAGGGGTGAAGAGAGGTTCATTATGTCTCTTGTCTAAGGTGAGGGTTTGACCATGGGTTTCGAAAGCCCATGGACTTGTCAAAGTTGACATAAAGCTATGCCCACGAAGCCACTTGTTTATGAGTTCAACCTGAATCTTGAAAACAATAATGACATCATCAAGAATCACATATTTGCCTTCTTACAACACTTCAACTTGGAGCTAAAACGACCAGATTCTGACTGCATGATATCATTGATATGAGATATTTTGGAAAAATTAGCATGACAAATATGGCGGCCATATTGGAAAATATGCAACAGATTTTGAAGAAATTGTGATCCGATTTAAGGGCTCCATAAGGTACATTCAGTCAATTCTATGCGTCATTGTGAACCTCGATATACATACGGTTCGTAAGGTATACAGTAAGATGGGATAATCGCAAGGAATTCCTTGAAAGTAAGGGTGATAAAAATGCGCCAAGCCCCAACAGAAACCAAAACAAAACATACCATGGTCATCTTCGTCAGAATATCATCAGAATTTTGGCCAGTTCATGGCGAATAATACGCTGTAGAGATGCAGTGATACTTCCTCTATTATCGCTGAAGACGACACCGTTCTCTTCACTAAACTAACAGATATTTTGGCAAAAATGTGAGCACTTATTTTCGATTTACACGATGGCGTAGTATTCTGTGTTGCAATCTATTGTTGTCTTATTTCCGTATTTGGCAAAATCTGTCAATCAAGTACAAATAGACCAATCAGATAACGCTCACGTGATCACTTGCGCCTCATATGGATTGAAAGGCGGGACAATAACAAAAGCACATTTTGTAGTGTCATATTTTGGTTGCTGATGATTTGAGCGTTCTTCCCAAAGCAGTAACCCTGACAAATACAACACAATCCAAATTCGGAGCACTATCACTTGACAAATATTTCGGTCTAATATAGGCATTAAGTCGTAATAAAACAGAACCAAAATGCCATGAATGAGCATGTTCCATTGGCATTGCTCCAGAAACACGCCTCCATTTCTAACCAATTTTAACGATGGAGTCTCATTCATAAAGAGTATCAATAAATGTAAATTTAAGATAAAATATTACCTGGAATGGCTGCGGATAGTGATTGACCATGTGTTGATTCATTGATATATCCATTGTATCATCGGGAGTTTTTCACCAACCCTGTTAATCGGCCCGTACAGACTGCACAACTGGCTGTTGGCCCGGACTTCACAAGCAAGAAGCCTATGACCTGAGATACCCCCTCCCCATAGCGCTCACTGCAGTCTGCGACAATGTAATTGGCTGTCTGAATCACAAGCCAACTCGTATCAAGCAATTTCAGATGCCTTTAGTCTACTCCCCGTAGATAAATGTTATATAATCCCAAATATTATTTTTTATTTAATACTACATGTAGCAATCCCCTGGTCGTCTGATTGCCGCAACTTTTCCTGTTATATTTGATCCTAATATGAGGTACTCTGATTTATTGGATACCGGGCGATCCTTGACGGACCGATGAAATATAAAACGTATTACTCGGCAGTCATCACCGATGCTAAAACAAGTGTTCTAATCCCTCGAGTCAGACAGTTATGTCAACGACTTTGCAACTAAGAAAGAAATCCGGAAGAAAACTTAAGTCGATTAGTTGCCTGTCCTTTTATTGTATCTCAATTATTTTTTTTAGAAAATCCACGCAGTTAACGTTCTAGTGAAATATTTTTGTAATATATATTTTTTTAAATTATTGATATCCTGTTCACATTTTAGTGTTATCTCAGTGACCACTTCGATTATATACGCTTATAAATATGTTCATTATAACTGTTGTTTTGTTTCACAACGATATCCTGTAAAATGCGATGTCCATACGACCAGTAACTAAATATGAATGATCTGCACCTAAAGGTTGTTAGTAGGGCAAACCAAAATTACTGTCATTGGTCCAAATTAGCGTTCATGTCATTAATTCAGCATTATGAAAATACGTCACATTTTGGTTCTATTAGATCTAGCTGGTAATAGGCCCATTTAGAATCTCGCGCACTGCAACCGAGCCTTTATCTTTAATAAGTTGGGTCATTATGGGCTACTTTAAAAAGACAACCGAGGGTTTTAAAGAATACTGGGAGTTAATAGGTGATATCCTAGGTAAATTAATTGAAACCGAGTCCCTGATTACGCCAATGATAATGGGGCAAAACACAGTTCGCTCCATACAAAATTATACCAATGGTTACCATGTCAATTATCATGATCATGGAAAACGTCCACTGTTTCAGATGATCATGGAAAACGTCCACTGTTTCAGATGATCTTCTCATGTGCATATAAAAAGCACTTCATCAGGGGGTAAACTTTGAAAGACAACAGGCAGCCACACCGCAAGCTGAACTGGAAAATAAATCCAATACATTCAAACAAATGATATACATAAAAACAACAATATTTTGTCAATACCCATAAAATAAAGTGAAAAACAACATACCACCCCACAAAGATGTCAGCAAGAAGGCACAACACACATGACATTAAAACAGCACTTTGGAAAGTCTGTCATATTTCAACTCACATATCCAAAATACGTTAGAGACGCAAAAATGACATCAATCAATCATTTGTCGGTGATATAATTCTGTAATATAACTTACTCAGAAAAGCTAGTCGTAATTCAGAACTGTATTAAAAGTTGACGATATCTTTCATTGGGCTACATAAAACAAATGATAAAGCGCACTATCCGATGACCATGAGACCCTTAAATCACTGTGTGCATTAACACAATTTCCCATTAAACCACGGGGTACCATCGAATAATTTTGGCAACGTACCGGAGAACGACATTTTACTAAGAAATGGCAATAATTTAGCACAATATATTTTTTAACTAGAGTTCTACTTTGATTTTGAAAAAAGTAAGTATTCCATGCAATGGCTATTTCATTCATGAGTTTGTAGGAATTCTGTTGGAACCCAGTTCTGATCAAGTACGAATTTATTGAAATCGGCGCAGTCGGACTTTACTCCGAAAGATGGTTTTTCGATTATAACTTTTTACAACATTTAAGTAAAGACTTTTGAAAAAAGTACAGAATAGTCCTTATACTATTGAATTATTCTGTTATTTCTGATTCACACGACTCTGATTTGTTTAATTAAAAAAAAAGTTTTAATTTCTTTTGATTAAATAATTCAACTGATCTGCTCCGGTTACGTTCCCAGCTCCGGTTACGTTCCTAAGTAATATTTTAAAAACTTTTTTTTTAAATATCACATAACTTTATGAGATTTTGGAATATAAAAACGTTATTGAATAACATAAACATCAAACTAGACAACAGCAACTCCAAGGTGACAAATCCCATCAAATGGCCATGGCTGTCATGGACGTAGCGCCCGGTACGCTGGGTACGCACAGGCGTACCAGATGGTTGCAAATTCACTCCAAATACAACCAAATTTCAAAATTTTTCTGGGGGAGAACCCCAGACCCCCCTAAATGCTCGTTTTTTTGATTCACTCAACTCTTGTTCCGTGGTGGTGGCGTACTACTTAGAAAAATAGCGCTACACCCATGGCTGTCCTCTTTACAAAATTGCATCACTACGATTTTAGTAACGCTGTAACAAACTTCATAAAACTATATTTATTTAAAAATGGCCGCTTACTAGCAAAATTGTCAATAAACAGGGAACCATGCTTATAAGTAGTCACATGTGAAATATGAACGAAATCGCTCAATTACTTTTTGAGCTATCGTAGAAAATGTACAGTAACACAACCAAAAACGGCCATGTACTAGCCAATGTGTCCTAAAACAGTGTGACATGCTTCTAACTCATCATATATGAAAAAATCGCCTCATTAGATTTCAGTGTGTTATAGTAAAAACATAAATAACATGTGTAAAATGTCGGTCATTTTCAAAATGGCCGCCCACAAGCCAAAGTGTCAAAAGACAATGCCATGCTTATAAGTCATCACTAGTTTTCAAGTTATAGCAAAATTAATAAAATAGCGTTTAACGGCCGCCATTTTCCAAGATGGCTGCCATGTATTTCCTAAATATCTATATTTCTACCTTTATTAATGTCTTATCAAACTTTTTACCTTGAAAACGTATAAATATTAATGTTTACATTTGTACCTTAATTACTAAAAGATCGGCACTAAAATAGCCGCCATTTTGAAACAAGCGGCCATTTCGAAAATTGACTTACGAACAGAACTCCTACTGACACAGGACACATGGTATAAAATAATGAACAAAATTGGGCCAGTGGTATTTGAGTTATCGCCCGGACAGACATACGGACGGATGGACGTCTTGTTTATATGCTGTTCATTGTTCATTCAGTCCACCTTGAAAATCTATTAGTAGTTGGTGTTGGTTTCTTCTTACTTCTTCTGATTTTATTTGTATTTTTCATTTATTTGTAACACCCCCTTACCCTTTGTCTTTATCGGTGTTTGTTTTTGTTGGTGTTTTTCTTGGACGGAGGCATTCTCTATATCCCTCCAAACTTCGTTTGATGGGATAATAAATTAATAATTCAACCATACACGTGTTCATTACAGGGACCAAATGCATCTTATTGCTCAGATTTCTGTGACTTTGACTCTCAGTGTCAGAGGATGATGAAAAATTACAATTCGCCTGTAGGCTGTATGACTTACATTTGTACTTCCTTACATTTCAAATTCTCTGTCATCATTATAGCACGCTATATTGACCCAACTGAGCGAAATGGGAAGGTTTGTTTGGGAGAAATTCATGGGAAGTGAATACTATTTTCGTAAGCGGGATTGGGAGGTGAGCGGGACAAACAATACGATCTGCAATATCAAAAATATTCCAAGTTATTATATACCGGGAAATAATAGTATCATGTATAATCTGCCGTAAAGTATGTCGTTTTAATACGTACTCGTTTGTGTTACACGTATTTATTACTATTTATATATTCGTTTATATATCTCTACTAGTGTTGCCTTTCTGTCGTATTGTCTCCTCTCTGGTGTGACTTATTGTATTTTGTATATTGTGTTGTCTCCTCTTTCATATATTGTTTCTTGTCTCTCGTGTTACCTCCAGTCTCTTCGCATCCGCCTCGTCTCCACTTTTGTCGTCTGCTCTCTCGTATTCCCTCCACACTTGTCGCCTGGTCTCTCGTGCTTTCTTCAAACTTGTCGTCTACTCTCTAATGTTCCCTCCACACTTGTCGTCTCTGGCTCTTATTGTCTCCTCTCTCGTCGTATTCTCGTGTTGCCTCTGTTGTCGTCCACTCTTGCCTCCTCTCTTGTCTTGATTGTTTCTACTCTTCTCGTCTACTATATCCTTTTGTATCTTGTACTTTTCTTTAAATCATATGCATTCATTAGTTGTTGCAATGTCAATTTGATTTCTTCTCCAATAGAACCTATTTTGGGATCGCCAAAAAAACAAGATTTATTTTGAATTTTACAAAAATTGATGTAACTTCCTTTAACTGAGATAGAAGCTTCAAATAAAAAGCATTTAAAGCTCTTTTCTTTCCTCTTCTTTCGCATGGTTTTATTTTCATTGGTTATGGGGGGGGGGAGAGTGCGATCGCACCCCACCTGGCTACGCCTATGGTCATATGGATAAACTCATATAAAACACGCAGACACGGGTCGGTAAGTTCAAAATCACTTTTACAGTTTACAGCACGTGTATTTTGTTGCTTCATCAGAAGAGTATTTAAAGGTACCATGTAAGGTTTAAACAACGTTGTCTTATATTGAAGTCTTTCCAAATGATATCCAAATATGTATGTAGTAATCTTACATTGCTAAAGAAAGAAATAAACCATTCTATATGGCTTCACGATGATGTCTGTCTCTGGCTTCCATTTTAAATAATAATTAACAACTAGTTTATTATATGCTGACTATCTAACAAACAAACATTGTACATTATTGCTGGGTCATTTATTCACCTAAAATATAAAAAATACACAAAGCAAGTTAAACTTCAAACCCAATTTGGTTGATATAAAACATGGAAAAATAAATAGAAATGTTCACACTTTTCAATAAAATATATTTATCATATAAAACAGCAAGAATAATGTCTATGAACCATTCATAAAAATAGTTTTTGTATAGATTTACTACTATACAATACATGTGTGAGAGCCAATTTTAAGGCACTACACAGTTTTTAGATTGTCTTTGGGGTGTCTTTGGTTAATTAATGCAAGTTATTGGAAGGAATGTTAGTAAGGATATTGCCTTTCATTTGGATAGTTTAAAAACATGGATTAGTTAGAAAACGCAGTTGCACCTAAATGCAACAAATTATTAGTCTAATTATATTTACATATAATGGTTTACTTGACATTCCAGAGACAGTGGATTGGCAGAAAACCAGAATATCCTGAGCATTTTAATTGATCACAGCAGTAAAGTACATTTGTATTTTGAGCAGCCTACTAATATGTACATAATTATTGTTATTTTGGATAAAACTAAAAATAAAATACTTTTCTCAGTCAACTTCGCTGGTCAGTATCAGAACCATTACCTTATCTTTCTAAATGGCTAACTCGGATGGCTAATAGAAGCGGTTTCAGATTTATTTAATTTCACTGGTTTAAATCATGTCCCTATGGATCTCTGAATTTGAAATTTCAACCACATCAACATGTGTTTATGTTATAAAATTCTGTCATCTTAAAATGTTCATTATGTTGTGTATGAATGCTGCAATTGTGCAAAAGCTTCCACTGCTATAAGTGTGTACAGTGATGTGAATTAAGTGAAACTTCTGCAATTGAATGATTCAATTCAGGTCATCATCACCTATTACTCAAGTAATGAAGCTTTAAGGCTTTGACAGAGTTTTAACAACATGTAATGTTCATATGGCTAGAATTTCGAAGCCAAAACATGTGGATTAAATAAATGGAAAAATCAAAGTTCAAAATGTAAATCCTCGTTGTGCTGCTATTTCTAAAAGAAAGAAAGTAAGGCTGTCAGTGTTCCCTGACACTGACTAGTGAACCTAGTTGAAGGGTACTGGACATCTTCCACAAATTTCAAAATACATATTTACACCCTATACAGACCTTGCTTGCAGAAAATCCTTGGTGCGGATATATGTACTGGTATATATGGTGCAGAGTTAACAGTCATTTTAAAATTCAAATTCATCATATTCTGTAAACCAAGATGTGTTGGGTATTCAATTATATTCACATATGTGTAGATAAAGCCTAATAAAAAGTAATTCTGCGTAAATAGTTGTGTGATTCATAAATTTTTGAATTTGTTTGGTGAACTGTTTGCCATGGTACAACTCCCAAGACAGCTTAGATTATAAAACATCACAAATACAAATTCGAAAATGAGCGTTAATTTCGCACCGAACATGCATGATATCTCACATTTTCTGCAAGCACCATCTGCGTAGGGTGTATGTACGCGTATAACACCCTGTGTCTAGCATGTACCAGCTAAATGGACTTCAATTATAGTAAGTCCAGTGCCAGATAAATACACTTTAATGCAATGTATAATGTTCATGCACCAGCTAAATACACTAAAATACACTTTAATGGAGTGTTTTGTCCATGTATAAAATGTACCAGCTAAATATACTTTCATGTACATAATACAAATATGTAAAACCCTGGATAAACAGTCATGGGAACCATGCTTTGAATAAAAATAAATTGAAATAAGGGAAAAAACTTTTTTGAGATCAGGCAAGGTTTACAATGTTTATACCATAAACCTATTATCAGGATCTCTATATGACGGTCCATAAACAAACTCCATCATTGTCATTTTCCGTCGACATGGAAAGAACCACGAGTATACAGGTCCAGGCCCACAGAAATCCTTATAGTTGCGCATCATGCCGTGTTTTCTATCAGGCCTGGAATAAAGAATTGTAATTACATGTATACGTATCAACATTACTTTGAGTTATTTAAATAAATGTACAATAAAAACTATTAGATTGAGTATAGTTGAAAAAGTACTTATTTTTATTTCCATAGTTATATAATGGTAGTTAACACATTAATTCATCATACTTAAAATGGTAAATGTGTTACATTGTCATTAATTCTATGTCAGAAATTATGAAAGGAACAATAAACTAAGCTTACAATGGTCCCCAAGGGTTAGCTATCATTTCAATCGTGGTACGATCCTGAAAACATAGAGTTCACATGATATTCTGTATATTTGTGCTATTCAAGAGTGCAAATTCTGATTATTTTGCCCGTTATTTTGATACTACTCTGATATCTGATTATTAGAGAGGTTTCGCACAATGGATTATAGCTAAAACGTATCCAAAAACACATCTCATTTTAATTGAACTACATGTACCACGCATAAATCGGATGAATGCATTATAGTTTTTCGATAAGTTGAGATAAAAATTATCTGAGTTTATACTTACAAAGAGTATATTGATATGCTGCCCACCAGCCATTCCAATCATAGCAATTGCCATAATGGCAGACATCCAAACAGCTACCACCATAAAACCATGGCTGTGTTTAATATAATAGAGCTCCTAAAATTATTAGATGAAATGAGTGAATGCATGTGGATGTATGGGCAGGTGATTCAATTAAAGGAACATAGAGATGGACTATGTCTTTGTTAGCATGTGGATGTTATTTTATGAAGTGGATCATGGCGCTGAGACCATTACAATGACTGGTATTGAATAAAATAAAATGTTTTATCATTCATTATTGTTTCCTACTTTGACTGACCCATTTTCAACTGCTATTCTAGTATTACAGATGTACATACACTGAATAAAATGCAGATTTGGGAATATGCACTGAACACATCTATTTAATAATGTCATACTCTTTAGTGTTGAAAGCCTTCTTATATTTGGAGTGTGTATGCCATGGACCAAACAGGACATTTTGGCTTATAGTGAAAATTCATAACTTCTATGATTACTACCTACCTTATCACAAAGCACACATGGTGATATGTATTCATAGAGGTATAACACGTCTAATGCAAGTGACACACTACTCATTGCCATGGCGTAACAAAGCAGTTGCATGAATGCAAAGTGGTTTTTGTCCCCAACACAGTTGTTAACCCTGAAAGAGAACAAAAAAATAGTCTTGTGTCAAATTGAATCTTACTTCAGGGGGTCCATGAGCTTAGAGGCCAGGAAATTAAAGGTGCTAGAAAAACTAGATATGAGTAAGACCAAGGATGTCTTTCATAGACATCCTTGATTTTACTTTTGAATTTTTTTCCAATTTAAAACATTTTTCCTCATATGTTATGCCTATTTTTATGGCTATATGGCAAACATTGGAAAAAGTGGCTGCTAACTTTGATATTTCTATCTTACATCTTAAAGAGATGCTGATGTAATAAGAAGCTGGCAATTGACCCTTTACTAAACAGTTAAATAATGAATTTGGACATTTCCTCATTTAAATGGCCTCATATTTGATAAAACAAATTCCAAATGATGAAATTTGGATTGCAAGAGGAACTGGTATGTTTTTTGAAAGGGTCGCTTCCAACATTTCAGACTCTCTATACTATGCTGTCACTTTAAGGGGGATATTTACCAGGGACAGTGATGGTCCATCCTAGCAACACAATAGCCACATACTCTACAGTGGTGAGATCTTGGAGGCCGCTTGAAATTACATTTTAAACACATTTGCCAGGACTCATCTAAAACATGGAATGGAATTAAAATATTACATGTACAGGGTGTCTCACAAGTAATCATTATTATAATATTGTACTTTAAATATTTGAATGTATTTTCAGCTCATTGTTACTAATCTCATACAATAATATTGTACTGGATATTATGTGTAATAAGAGAATTTGATACAATATTTAACAGGAATCCATTTTGCAACTCACAAATTATAAACCTGTACATTAACTGATTTGTCCCCTGTCCTCATAAAGGTGAAACTGGGGACTTCATCTGAGGATTGAGGTACTTACCAGCATCAGCCTTATATGTGACACGCCCTGGGTCCATGGTGGAAGCTCGGAACAATGAAAGAATTGTCATGAAACTAATGAGGAGATAGACTGAAATAAATATTAAACAAAATGAGACTTTCAAATTTTTTGATTATACAAGTGAGATGCAGAGTGGGGAATATATGATAGCCATGTTTTCTAATAATGAACTAAATAAATTATTAAAGTTCATTGCACTGTCATAAAATCCTGGGACTCTTTCTCACAATCAATTAGGGCATGTGGTTTGTGAACAGTGATATGTAATACCAAATTAATCAAACATTAAGATATCAAAAAACATGCAGAACACTTCTCACTTTTTTGATCTTTATTGATATGTAAACATAAGATGAAATTCAATAAAAAAAAAACAATGGCAATTTTTTTCTAATATTTTTAAATCAGTTGCTATATGTTTTTGTCAGTGTGTGTTTTTCAATGAGATTTAAACATTCCAAGTACTATGTTATTTGTTGAACAAACTATTATAACTAGACAACAGCAAAGCCAAAGTGTAGCAAATCCCATCAAACAGCCATGGCTGGCATTTTTGCAAACAAAGTATATAGCAAAAATGGCAACCATTTTTCAAAATGACCACCTTCTACCACAAGTGTCATTAGACATATGACCACCTTCTATCACAAGTGTCATTAGACAGTGTGCCATGCTAATAGTATTCACATACCAAATATGAACAGAATTGCTCCACTACTTTTCAAGTTATAGTAAAATAAGATAAAATGGTGGCCATTTTGAAAAATGGCTGCCTTCTACAAAAAGTGTCATAAGACAGTGTGCCAGGCCATTTTTTATAATGGCCGCCTTCTACCAAAAGTGTCATTAGACAGGGTGCCATGATTATAGTATTCACATACAAAATATGAACAAAATCCCTCCACTACTTTTTGAGTTACAGCAAAAATCGTAAAATAGCGAGTAAAGGCCGCTATTTTTCAAGATGGCTGCCATGTGCTTCTCTAAGATCTACATTTCTAGCTTTATTAATGTCCTATATAATTTTTTTTACATTTAAAACATATTGCTACAGTTTTACATATTGTAGAAACTACTGTAAAATTGGCACTAAAGTGTCCACCATTTTTGAATGAGCGATCATTTTAAAAATCGGCTCTCGAGCAGAACTTCTACCCCCATAAGGTATATATTTACAAAATATGAACAAAATCGGACCAATGGTATTTGAGTTATTGCCCGGACGGGCGGACGGATGGACGTACGTACATACGTAGGACGGACAGACGGACGGAGATGTTCCCTATATCCCTCCGAACTTTGTTCGATGGGATAATTACAGCATTGCATCCATGTTCCCCCAATTCTCTCTCAAACCCAAACTCTCTCTTTAGAAATAAATAGAACAGGCGAAAGACATTGCCTAAATGGAAAACGGTAGGCTATTGATGAATTTACTTACGCAAAAGATGAAATATGTTGAGATATCCATCCTGTATGGCAGGTATAAAAACAACGAAGAAGTGTACCCAGACACCATAGATCCAATATGATAGGATGACACTAAAGCAAAGGATACCCCCTATGTCATTACTGAACTGTAAGTGTCCAAAGAAGGGGAGGTTGAATGAAACACGAGCCATTGTCTATGTAAAGAGAGATTCCATTCACAGTTTAAACTTAGTCCTGTTTTACAGTGCAGTGTTTATTCATTCCATGCTCACAATCTGGTTAGTATAATAGAAGATCTTGGCCTGCAAATACAAGAAATATATTTAAATCATAAAATGAAATACATGTTCATTTGGTAGAATATATTGATGCAGACACCATGCAATAACTAAAGCTATGGTTATATGTATATAACTTAGGATTTCTTTAAACAAACAAACAAACAAACAAAGCAGAACAAACAATCATGAAAATCACAAATAAATCAAGTAATGAAAATAAATCTCAAAAGCAGTAATAAATAAACATAAACAATCATGATAAGGGAACATGTATCAACCTTAAATACTAGAAGTATATTAAAAGTACATGTTTATTAAAATGAATTAGTGAAATGCTTCCCTTCTTGGGCAATTGTATTTCATGGCCAAATTTTACACATAAATTACCAATTTCTTTAAACATGTTAAAGTAAAGGCAAAACATACTGACCTACTATCAGACTATGTAATTATATTACATGACATGTGTTTACAAAAAGTTTATTGAATTTCAGAACTAATTAATGCCAACAATTACAGAAAACCTCATGTTGGTTTCTCAATGTATTAATCCAGCTTGCGTTGCACTGTATACTATATTATAGTATTAATGCTTTCTTGATTGCACTTTGACCAATAATTCTATAAAGTAAATAATGACATATTTGATTTATCATCCCAAGTCTGTATGTTTATTTACATGGAGCTTGCACACATATATGCCAACATGAGCATATTGTAACACCAACAAAGTGTCAAGATATGGGGATGATGAATTAAGTTGATGTTTACGACTATGGCACTTTATAATCTTACTACATGTACATGTGTGTAGCATTTTTATCCAATATTTTCAATGAAGTCGATGAGTGCCAGTCAGTAAAAATTTTTCAATTTGTTTCATTTAGTCTACCCCTCAAATGCCATTTAAGTTCAATCAAAACTTAAAACAACAAATTCAAGTTGTAATTTGGAAGATTCAATCATGAAACATATTTGGGTATAGGTTAAATGAAAAAAAAGCTAAGGCCCAAATTCAAACTCTGGATATGCCAATTGAAAGGCGAGAAGTGTCACCACAACAGATCTGTACAAAAAAATTTGTCATACTGGAAAAGGCACAGTCAGAGAGAATGTTTCTGGCGAAAGGAAATTCTGGGATTTCAAACACTTGAAGTTGGGAAACCGGAATGGCTTACCTTTTTTAATTCCCGAATCTCTCCGAAATTAGCTCATCTTGGTGACTGTAAATTGCACAGCTGTATTCAATGGAGTCTTGTCATATTCAATCAGCCTCAATTTTAAAGTGTATATTTTATTTTTAACGACTGGTAAGAATACGCCGGGCAAATGGCAAGATGGATGACTTTTGACCTGATCTACACCGACGGCGGTGACGTCATCAATTTAATCTATACAAATTCTATTTGGTCACGTGACCTTGTGCCAGAAGTCCGACTTTTTGGTCAGTCGACCTGTTCAAAGTACATTTAGTAATAATTATCGCTTTTCAGAACAATTTAGGAAACAATATTTTCTATCTACGTCGATTACAAAGCATCTAAGGTACGTAAATTTATATGAACAACTGAGTCAATAGGGATAAATAGCCCAACGAGAGTCGGCGGTCTTAAAAAATACTTGGATCTGGATGCCAGTCCTGGTATTGATATAATTCCAGGGCAGTTCGAAGAACGTATTAGATGTCCGTGGGAAAAGGTTCACTTTTTTTATAATGTCCAGTAAGGCAACCCAACCACACCGAATCATTCAGTTTTAAAAAATCCTACGCTATATATCCAAGAATGTCAGCTCTTTATTCAGTCCATTTATTATGCTGTCGAATACTGTATGTGCATGGTTCGGTTGCCATGCACTAAACATACTTTATGTGAATGACGTGAATGTGCTTTCCTGAACTGCCACTTCACTGTCTAGTATTTCAATAAAGTAAGAAAAGAAGATAAAGAAAAATCACATTTAATGGACATAAAACTATGAACAAAAGCACGATTGTCAACTGAATAAGTGAACAAATAAATTTGATTTTTTTGAAAAAATTTAAATCAAAAATCAAAAAAAACATTGTAAACTCTTCCGCTTCATCAACGCATCAATATTTATATTGTGTGTGTAAGAACTTAGTACATGTATGTTTTGTCTATCTAGTTAGGTCTATTCATTGAAAATTGTAATCTTTATAAAGATTTAAACTTACCTGAAAGTTTTTGTTTTAATATTTCCTAAACGGAAGTTCAATTCAAAAGTTGATACTCGTTCAAAAAACCGCGCCCCCTTATCAAAGCCCGGGAGATTTAAGCTTCTAACATGTCTAACAACGTGATTAGAAGTCCATGATTGGTTACACCACTGTTATTGGCAACCCCGGGCTGGCAATAGAGGTGGCAAACATGAGAAACAATAATAATATCTTCAAACAGAATCTTCAATCTAGGGTACCCCCATAAATGTGGCCCATAATTTTTCAAATCGCTGGATTAGTGGTTTCCTTATAGATAATATTCAACTTTCTGGCAACTACTGACAAATTTTAAAACCATGAGATTTCAACACACAAATAGTTTAAGGGGTGATTTGAAAAATCAACCCCACATTTACTAGGGGTAATAGTGGTGGATCCAGAAGCTAACAAGGGGAGGGGCCACATTTTGAGTCAGAAGAAAAGCAAGCCCTAAAAAGGCCGATTTTTGTGGCCTTACAATATTTATTGGCCCAAACGTTTTTGGGGCCCGACTATTTTTCTGGGCCCACAAAAAGGGGGGGGGCATGCCCCTCCTGGATCCCCCACTTGGTAATCTAGGGACTGAAGATTTTTTTCAGAGCTATCAACCTAACATTCTGAGACTCAGACCATCTCTGCAATGCACAAGAATAGAAGGAAAGAAGATTCCAAAAGGAAACTGAGAGAAGGCTGTGATATCTCACGATATCAACCTTACTGCCAGACCTAAGTGTGACCTAACTCATTGCTGGCCAAAGCTATTTTCTGCTGGTGACTGGCCATTTTGATGAAAAATAGAGCAAAATGCAAAATGCCAAATTTTTCAAAAATCTGATGAGATACCTATTATAGTGAAAAATTTATCCAGAAAATAAATTAAAACTTATCTCAAAAAGAAGCCTTTCTCATCAAGTCATCTATATTATTTAATTGTGGGAAAATGCTCAGATTACCCCTTATTTTCAGAATTTTGCATTAGTGCTGTCCTTAGCATAAAATCCTGGATCCATGTGTGCCCCCCCCCCTCCCCCCATCAGGACAGCAGTAGAGATCTGGAAAGTTCACTTGACAGAAGGAATTACTCACTAGCCTAAATTCTAAAGCTTCAAGACTATTTATATTGAATACTCATAGGCCTGTCTCGAACATGTGATAGAATAAGACATGGACATACATCCTCTGGTCTGTGAATAAGATAACTATTAATCCTTACCAATTTCCTCAAAGTTTACAAAAAAGACCAACCCCACTGACTGGTCTGCCGCTGCTGGATACATACTATGCAATCCATTACATATCACCTTGTTGGACACCTTGTCGAACAATCTGACAATTCTGATATATTTCATGAACAAAACATTGCGCCTTGTCTAGGATGAAGACAATTCATGCTCCTTGGTCTGTTGTTATCTATATCCTTGGATTGGACAGCTTTCATGAACTGTCATGTTTTCTGTCTCACTCTGTTACTGGAGGCCACGTGACCTTGCTATCACGCGCCTTAAAATTTTTCATCCAATCATATCTCGTCTATCACGTGTGACCTTGGGAAATAAAATGGCAGCCCCCAGTTCGAATGTAAGTGTTTCAAACTTTTACCTATTTATTTGCTCTTTGAACTGTTTATACGCTTACCTCTGATCTATTACTTGTCTTATGTATGCTTTGAATAGAATTCTTTGCTTTGAATCTGTTTTCAGAAGGATGAGTTGAGCATCGTCTCAAGAATATGGCCAATCGGAAGTCAAAAAGTTCAATGTGAAGCTCCCGTAAGTTTATTATTTTGAAGACAAGAGAATAAGTTCAATAAATGAATTGAAATTTGACAGTCGAACGTTCTATTTGCTTATGTAGATATTTATCTTGGTCGGTTTTTGTCCAATACTACAGTTTTGCATGTTCACATGCTGAACTTTCTCATGTGACCTCAAGTTCTGAGTTTGTCAATAATAGAATCTAGCCTTGATCGAAGGGTCTTTGTGTCGAAATCGACGAATGGTGTTACTTCATCCTGGCACTTCTTTGACCAATTAGTTACACCAATCTTGACTTGACCAATCTATATTAATTCAAGGAGTCCAGCATATTTGTTGCTGAAAAGTTAAAAAAGAAGTCATATTTCCCATGGACGCGAGTCAATGTTTTTCGAAACTTACTGCCATATAATTTTACCAGAATTGGAAACAAGCAGCCTGTGTTTTGGCATAATTTCATGTGATCACCTCTTCATAAATATGGCATCATTGGTTAACTCTTGGAAAACGTGCTTGTGATTGATCATGTGATCATATCGTGCTATTGATTGGTCACCCTATAGACTGATGTATTACAGTTATAATTTCGAGTGATAAGATTCTATAAGACTCTTGTTAATATAGCTGTGCAAGTTCAAGACACGAAGATGAGCTAAATAAGGTGAAAGTAGCGATATAAAACAGGTAACTTTTATTTTGAATTCGTGTTTCCAATCCTGGTAAAAGTATATGGCAGTAAGTTTCGAAAGAAACATTGACTCATGTGCATGATAAACTCCAACATGTCAGATCTTAATCCAAGATGGCCAATCTCTGGAAATGTGAATTATTGTCATTGGTGGAATAATCCCATGGTTGAAGTAGCCCCAAGATGAAGTAAACCCATGCAGTGAAGTTTGACATGCGAACATGGCCCTCATTTAATATCTGATCTGCATTTGATTTCTAAATAGACCATGGCAATGTGAACATGAAAATGATCATGCTGTTTTTCTGTCACTTTTTGTTGATTTTTCAACTACATGTAGTTAGTTTTGTATGTTCAAAAATTTTGATGACTTCCAAATGGAGTTCCATGTTTTCACAGGGAGAGTCAAGTGACCTTTCTTTGCTGTTGTGTGATCATGATTAAGACAGAAAAACTCCACTTATGTATCTTATCTCAGTCTTTCAAATGAAGCTATATATTTCTTAAGATATTGCTGTTTTTCTTTATCGATAAATGATGTTGCGAGAACAGCTTTCAAAATGAGTATGATGTGGCTAGAACAGCTTTCAAAGATACATTATATCAGCTAATTATCTGTAGTTTCTGGTGTATATATAAATTATATGTCAGTGATCTCCTCAGGATTTTTTCTCAGGTGGGTGCAAAATTCTCATTTTCACAATTCAGACCAAAATTGGTCAAAACATGCCAACTTTTCATTATTTTTCTCATATTCAAGTGGGTGCAAATAGATTTTCAGGTGGGTGCAAGCCTATTTTCAAAATCTCAGGTGGGTGCTGCGCCCACTTGCTTTAATGCTGGGGAGATCACTGTATGTATTTGCTTCTTTTAAATGTCGATGGAATATTTTTATCATGAAATTATCTTTTATCGAGGTATAATTATGCACTCTTTATGCAAGGCTGAAAATTGTAAGCCATGTCATGTGACTCCAATGAGGAAGCCATTAAAACTTCTAGACATACAGAACTACCTTGAATAAACAATTAAACTGAAAAACTTCATATTATAGATTATATGATGTCATAGAAAAATCTCTCCTATTTTTCTGATCATTTTTATGTCCCTATAAAGAGTATTTCAGCTTGCTCATGCCATGTGTAATCACATACTGATCATCAAAGGTTCCCTCCTACATAAACTGATCAATCTAAATGCCAGTGATCATACGCAATGTGGTTTTTTGGCTTGGTATTCTTTCTTTATTCTGGTCTTGTAGTCTTGACTTAGTTAAAAGTGGCACTGGCTCTATCTTTAGAACTAATTTTGAGCTGAGCAAGGTGAGCACACTACTGATATTTTTCAATGAATACAGATAACTTATTCATTAATGTGACTGTTTTTGGAGAAATTTTGCCTATATGAATCGAAAGTATCCATTTAAAAGCAGGTTTGTTCTTTTAAAAATGATATTATCAACCTTATTTTGATCGAATACAGTCCTTATCTAACTCAGACAACTTGAAATGAACAACATGAGTATTTTGTTTCAGACTCAAGTCTCATTGATATTTGATATCATTATTTTCTGTCTTTATCTACAGTTTTGTCAATGTACCACTAAGAGAATGTTCTTGATTTTTGGTATATATTGTTAAATGTAAAGGCTAAAAAGTTATAAGCAAATGGTCATGAGACAAGTACTGATGAATTTCATTCTTCTGAATTCCATGTTTGAACATTCTTCAATGTGCTTGATATGGTTTTAGTAGCATATTCAGCCCCTCCCAATTTTGTTTCAAGATTTAGATTTTAGTAAATGTATCCTGCATGACAGTGTGTATATTATAAGAGGAATCTTTCATGCTATAATCAAAATAATTATCTCACTTTGATTATTTAATCTAAATATACATGACTGATAAGGTTTAAGTATATCTTAGATATTAATACTTATAAATTATTGCAAAATATTTAGCATACAAGTTCAATGAGAAATTTCCCCTGAAACAACTAATGAGAAACATGCATGCAATAACTACCTGAGAACATGGATAATTTACTTCAGATATTGTTAACATATTTTGGACATTTAATTTACTTTTAGTTTTTTGCATGCAATTTGAAGAATTCTTTGTACAGTTCAACGTGCTTTCTATTCATCAAGGTTGTCACCTAATTAGTATGTGTTGAGTTTCAAAAATTCGATCCATGAGCCAAAATGAATACTAAGGTAGTCTTGCTTCAAGCCCCTCTTTGTCCACAATACACTTCTACCTACACAGGGATAGAAGTTGACAAAGGGGTCAAGAGACTTGATGCAAGGCTAAGTCTAAGCTGTTATAACATATTTTATAACTTGAAATGTTTGATCGGCTTAATCTGACTTAAAATCTTTTAAAGTTGATAACATGAAATCATTGAAATGGGAGAAAATATATATCCTAGACTACATTCAAACAGATGCTTTGCTGTATAGCTTTGAAAAAGTCTCATTTTGAAAATTTCATGATGTTCAATTTTGTTCTGTTTAATGATGTATTTGAATTATGTGTCCAGTTTACAAGCAAATAATTTGATTCTCCCAGTCATTTTCATTTTCTTGAATTAAATTTTCAAAGGTTTTTAAGTTTCTAAAAAATTTTTATAGACATTGGTAAAAAATCTTTACAAATTATGCAAATTAATTATTGGGTCCAAGTTAGAGATTAAAGTGCTTATATGAATGATTTTCCTTTCCAGGGAGTCCACTTTAGTAAAAGAGCAGAGACTGATAAACTAAGGGAAGTTTTCAATAAGGTTTGTACACTTTTCATTTTATTTTAGCCAGGTTTTGTTTAGTGACTGTATTCAAACACAAGACCATATCACAAAGTTTGACCCCTTCCCCCAAATATGAAATTTAACCAAAATTATTTGGAAGCTAGTATAGTAACTTGATCTGATTTTATAAAATCATTGTTACCACCCAAATGAAATTGATTTATGTAGATTGTCCATGTTGACTGTTACCTTCTCCCAAACAAAATGCCTTCATCAATAGACAGGTTTTGCATTTGATGCAGTCAATTACTATATGAATCTTCACAAGTCTGTCAAGGTCTTGTACACATGTATGTTTTCCATTGTTGTGTACAAATACATCTAGCTACGAGCTAGAGACTTGAATAATACTTTTATGCCTAGCATAATACCTATGCCTTATCCCGTTCCCGGACTATAGTCCTGCACTGATCGCATTCATTTGCCTGTACGATTACAACTTGGGAGAATTATCTACGCCCCTTACACTTAAGGTACCTACCTCAATGCATTATAGAACTCAAGATGTAACTTCTAATATATTGGAACCGCCGATTGTCTGGGTATATCGGCAGAACGGGAACATTTTCTCTTTTTCATCGAGAGAGATTCCATCACTTTTCAAAATGGCGGTTGGATTTAAAAGGGGAATCCCCCGTTTGGCTGTCCCGGATGTAGCCCGGAAGTACCAATATGGAGGAATTTGACGGTTGAAATAGGTTAAATGTTAACGCAAATATTGCGGTCAAAAACGAAAATGTCTTCGTTCTGCCGATAAACCCAGACAATTGTGGATTCAACTACACGAAAAGAATGCTAAATTACCAAGGAATCTATTGAAGTAGGTATCTGAAGTGTAAGATCAGTAAAAAATTCTCCCATGTTGTAATCGCACAGGCAAAAGATTGAGATGTTCACAGGACCATAGTCCGGGAACGGGATAACCTATGCCTAGCTGAATGACTGTATGAATATTTCACTTAAAAAAAAACAGGCAAAAACACCCCAAAGTGAGAGTTAACAAAATGCTTTAAATCTTCAAGAGCAATTTGTATGCTCTTTTAGCACCTGTGAGTTATACATTCTTTCAAATCATATTCATGGTCATGTTCATAATCTTAGCTCCACTTGATTCTATTTGATTATTTTGTTAGTTGATAATGAAGAAAGGAACCCTTTCAAAACTGTTTATGTAACCTTATCACATGATTATCCAATATTACTGTTATAACCAGCATTGATAATATTGATATCAAGATTATATTTCAATGTTATTGGTTATTCTACACATGTGAGTGCGATATCAGCGACAAGCTAGTTATTTCACACTCATTTCATGTTGATTCTGATGTCAACTCATTGATAAAAAGGATAGCACTCAAAATCATATGATAGTGTATGCATGTGTACATGTACTATATTATATTGCCAATCAATTTATTTCAATTCTGACACATTTTGGATTTATGTCAAGCACATATTTATCTCAACATTGTAATCAATGACCAATTAATATGATAAATATAAATATGTATTGACCTGTTGTATCTCTTCTCATCATATTAATATAAAAAGAAAATATTTTGTTATCTTTAAAAGGTTTCTAAACATTAACAATGAAATAATATCCCCCCCTTCTTTATATTTTTGGAATGATTTATGTAATAAACCTTGAACATACAATTGAAGAAATGAAACAGTTCTCCAGTTGCTGACTGGAATGTAGATCATGTACACTTACAAACTAAAAATCTAAGAAATTGTTAATAAGCCTCAAGGTGAATTATTGGGAATTGTTATGTATTAATAAGAAAGAAGTATGCTTACACGGACCTGCTAGAAGGTTAATTTTATTCATGGTATTTCTAAACAATGTTTGTAATGGAAATTGAGAAAAAAATCAGTAGGAATTGTAAGATATGTAAATATAACAGCAAGTGGCAGAACTCTGTTAGCCTTCTAAATATCCTTCAAGGTTATGACCTTGTTAAAAACCACAACATTGCTGAAACACTGTTGCTGGATCTGGGTCTCCTCCAAATGGTGATTTTTAAAAGGAGGTCATTTGTGTGTATTACAGGGTGTCATATTTTCATGTATTTTATTGAAACTCCTAAATATAAGGCACCAGCAATTGTCAAGGGGGGAGGGTGATTTTTTTTTATTAGCATCACTGTAAGTGAAGCAAGCCAAAAAGGGGGGGGGTATGTAGTTCACACCCAGAAACTTTTTAAAATTTACACTCGTATATGGTGCATTCTTAAGCATTTCAAACTATAATTTGTTGATGTTTTTGAACAAATTTTACAAAATTATATGTATAGTGTATACATATTGTATATTTCTTTTTGATCCCAATGAATATTATATGTAGTTATTTCACCTGAAGTCCTAAAGAGCTTGGTGCAAGACTCTTGACTCTGTCCACTCTTATGGTAATGCCTCTCTTATGTTACAGTATGCTAGTGTGGAAAAGGCTGGGGAGAAGTTTATGACCGCCAATGACTTCATCAATAAATATATTGGTGTGTTTAAAGAACAAGACCACAATGAATATGCTGTGCAGCTTCTTGCCAATTGTGCAGATACAACCAAAGATGGGTAGGTTTTAAATATGCAGTTTTCAAATATTTAACTTTGCTTCTTTTTATAATATAAGAAACACAAGAAAACAAGAGATTGTAATATTTGAAAAAATGAATCAAGTTAGATTTTTAAAGGTAAAGGCAATAGAGTCTGTTTGGTTTATGTTCCAAAATTATGTGTTCCATGTTATATTGTATTATAAATGTCAGGAAGGAATTTTGATCATGTTGGCATTTTTTCTCACTGTCATGCCTCAAAATAATCTTGGAAAATATTGTTTTCATATTGATTGTGTTATCTGAGTATATGTGTATTTCAGTTATTTTTTTGTGGCGGCAGTTTGTGTTCGGCATCTGTAACACAGTGTCCGTAACATGGCATCTGTAATATGGCATCTGTAACAAATGGCAGGTGGTGACGTTTGCATGTTCATGCATTATTTGATAATGTTATATGTTTTTAGGTTTATTTCGTTTGATGAGTTCCAAGCATTTGAAGCATTACTTTGTTCTCCTGATGCCATGTATGCTCTTGCCTTCGCATTGTTTGACACCAATGGGTCAGGGTTTGTTACTTATGGTAAGTAAATTCATAGGTTTTTCATGTATTCAATAGTATACTCTAACTCTTACAATATATTGAAAAACTCTCAAACATGTACTTATACATATGCCATATAGACTATTTTGGATTTTTCATCCTAAAATTTTCTGTCGAGGCTTGTATACATGTTTCAAGAGTGCTATATTATTCACCCTGTGTCTTGTTCCCTCTCAATTTATGATGCAGACCAAAATTGCTCAAAATATCAAATGGGTGCAAATAAATTTTCTGTTGGGTAAAAGTCTGTTGCTTTAACCTCTTGAATTCCAGCCTCTAAAAAGGGTTTGAAACCAGAGCATTTTTCATTTTCTGCTAGTTTTCTGGATATTTACATCTAAAAACACTATGTTTGATATTTGATTTCATAAGAATGGTAACCATAGACCCATTACATACATTCTAAAACATAAGTTGTGAAGATTGGATAAAAAATGCCAAAGTTAGAGCAGTTTTAGTGAAAAATTCTATGACAGATATATCTGTCGCTCTGGGTTCCAAATGGATTTTATTTGTGACAGATATATCCGTCATTCTGGGTATTCAAGAGGTTAAAGTGCTCACAACACTTGTTTCTTTAATGTTAGGAAGATGAATCCGGCAAGAATGTGCGAACATACCGTTAATAACTGTATATTTCTTTTTTCAGATGAGTTTCAGTCAATCCTGATGTCTACCACAAAACACCAGGCTGTGCCATTCGACTTTGATTCTAATTTTATACAACTGCACTTCGGCAAGGCTAAAGGTCGCCAGATCAGCTATGCAGAATTCACACAGCTTCTACATGTATGTTTGGATTGATGAATTTAATGGTCAAGACAAAGGAGAAAAAATTAGAAATAAGAAAGAGGATACTGAATATAAATGTTTAACTTTGAACATAACAACTCTGAGTGTTTGACTGACCAAGTCAAAATGTCACTTCAATCTAGACTTGTATTTCATGAATATATCTTAGATTGTACAAATGTGATGCATCCAAAAAAATAAAGTTAAAAGATGTTTGATAAAGTAACATATATGCCGAGTAGAGATGAGGACGTTTGCGCCTAAGGATATATTAACCCTTATTTTGGGCTTTTTCAGGATGTACATGAGGAGCATGCTCTCCAAGCCTTTCATAAGTTTGACCCTAAAAGTACAGGGACCATATCAGCCCTGGACTTCAGGGAGATCATGCTGATGCTGAAAAACCACCTCCTAACCCCCATTGTCCAGGAGAACCTAGTATCTGTGAGTAGATTAACTCCAATTCAGGGTACTCACTGGCATTTTCTAGGGAGACTGATTTAAAAAAACACTCAAAATTATGTACCTGTGAAGGAAAACAACACAGTTTCCTCCAATGTTACACATTTCGTCTCATTTTTTTGAGGGGAGGCGGATTTTTTGAAAAATGGTTACGTCCCTGGGACGCAATCTTGGACAAACCTACTGAAAACACTGCTAGTGAATTCTGCAGTGTGAAAGAAAATAGTGCCACAGTGTATTCAAAACTGTTCATTGGTTTGCTAAATTGTAGATATTGGTGAAAATTCCTCACATTGCTTTCTAATTAGCATATATCATCTAGCTTTTGGCAGCACCTTATTCATGATGTCCATATTTGGTAAAAAATTGGTCACAATTAAGTTCAATGATTCATGCTAATAAAGTTATATGAATGAGAAATTTTCACTAATAACATCACATTACAGGTTGCTGGGGGAGAGCGGGCCCACCAAGTCAGCTACTCTTACTTCACTGCATTCATCTCACTGCTCAACAACATGGAGCTCATCAAGAATATTTATCTAGTCGCTACTAATGGCAACAAACAAACAGAAGTAACAAGAGGTAAGATGCTGAGATTGAAATAGGTAATTTTAAATCACAGTATTTTTTCTTTTTTCATGTCACACTTTTTCACACTTTGACAATTGCATCCTGATGGTGACATTTTATCATGTTGTAACGAAGCAGTACATAGAATATGTTGTGAGATTTAGAGATGAAAATTCATCGTGTTTGAGGAAATAGCAAATGAAAGGTACCTACATCCTTTGATGTTCTATGAAATTTATTCAATTTATTGTAAACTAGAGGTACAATTCCTGTGATTTCATATACCCGGCAAAATTATAAAAAATAATTTTTGCTACTGTATTGCATAATATTTTTGAGAAACATGTCCCCGATTGTGTCAATTGTTTTCTCAATTACAGAGGAATTCCTCCACGAGGCTCAGAAATGTACGCAGATAACTCCAATGGAGATCAACATCATGTTCCAACTGGTGGACTGCTTACATCAGACTGGGTAGGTAACTGCATGTTACAGGGTGACACATTATAATTGACTACAGATTGAGCTTAATCAGAGGCTTACATTTTGATTGTCTGCGTGCTTCCGTTGAATATTTTCTATACGAAAATCATAGAGTTTAATTGAATGAAGAATGTGTTAATATATTATAATTGATTTGTCATTAATTGATTGAACATTTGATTAAATCCTGCTTAACTGTTTGCTTTTTTGTTGTCTGATTGAAATGAAATTTCAAACTAAAGAATAAACTGTAATTCTTTCAACAAGTGCTATTTTGATTGTTAAACCGAAAAACAAACGAAAAACTTCCGCCTCTAGGGTCAATTGTCTGTTTTTGGAAAATTTAGTTTTACCCTAAAATATCAAAAGACATTCCAAAATGAAACAAAGCTCATAAAATCTTAAAAAGGTACAAAGATGAGTTCATTTTAGGATAATCAGGTAACAATTCGAAACAGACATTTAATTTGTAGAGGCCTGGAGTTCCAAACCTAGATTGTTCAATAGGTTTATGAATCGTATCTGTTGTACTTCCTAGAGGTATTGCAAGAAAAATTACCTCTCCACTTCTGTTAATTACCCAATGAATGAAGTTCAAGGTTGGGATATAATGAGGCCTAAATCCATCCAAAAATAAATGAAATACGAGTAGACAGATTTTCTCTTGATTTGTTGGAAAGACGGACAGTGGATAATAGTTTTAGGTAAAAATTAGTTTTTCTTGTATGCTTTTTGAATGGAATACATGTATATGTAATGACATATAATGTAGCATTTTGTTATCTTCTTGGTTGCAACATACATGAAGTTGCAGGTACTGTAAATCAATAGATTTTATGCTTGAATCAAGTCCAAAATATTCTAAAAATTGTGTTGATTTAAACCTGCGTTTGTGCTTATTTTTGATATAGATTATAGATCTTCCTCGCATTGTTTTCTGATTTATTCTACTATTCAGTTTTCATTGAACACTCTGCTTATCATTCGTTTTAAAAATCCATAAACAATCAAAGATACTTGTGTGTAATAAATAATATAGCACAGCATATACTGTCAGGCAATGGGGGTGTACTTCAAGATTCAATGTGCTGTGTCCTTATACATATATTATACATATCATTGTTTGGGATTGGTTTCCTTATTACATACAAGTTATTCTTTTAAATGGTCCTCTCTGAATTTTGCATACTTTTTTACAATGTACACAGTCAACTGTGAATGTGTGAAATGCCACTTAAATATCTTTTAACAAAGATATCGTGTAAGATGGTCAGCACATTAAATACAATTTACAAATGTAAATTTAAAATAATTTTCATATGATTGCTATTTGTTCAACCTAATAACATGTTATATGGTTGCTAGGCATTTTATATGCAATGCATGGTGTTACAGAAAAGAGGAGGGAAACCCCCAGAGCTAAGAGATGACCTCAAAATTACCTATTTTGCGTACCACCTTTGTACCAATTTCCACCGTCTAGGTTCTGAATACCACACTTCGATGTGTTGTTTTAATCGATGTAAACATATTCTTTACATCTTTATCTTGACGACAATAACGAGCTATGATATTGGAAATTAACATTATATTATTTGAAGTGTTTTGAAGAAATTTGGAATCTGCCTCTAATGTCATTTGACCAATCAGTGAGGAGGGTCATCTGTATATATATTTCCATTGAAGTTGAGGTCATCTTTGAACTATGGGGTTTTCCCTCTTGTGTTACAGTGTTCAGTCTTGAGTCACTTATTTCAGCAAGGAAAACCCCAAGAAATCACTAGGGTTAGTATACACTGCTGTCAACAAAGGAGCTCCAACATATCCCAGGGTGCAACTTGATACAGAGTGAAGAAAGAACTTTAATCAATACGTCAGTGGAATCATGTTGGAATGTTGGAACTTCTGTATGCTCAACACATCATAGATTAGAAAATTTCTTCAGTTGAAAATAAAATCACTTAATTTTGGTGAAAATTATAGTAAATTGCTTCAGCAACAATGGGCTCTAATTGCTATCCACATTGTATATTTAAAAGATATAAAAATCCAAGGATTTCATGATGAGAATTTTGTGATATTTCCAAGGCTTTTGAAATCTATAACTGCTTGCATCAACATTTTTGTATTAAAGTGTATGTAAGACCCATCAAAGTAGGCATCACATGTTAATTTGGGTGGGAATAAATGCCTGATAATTCAGACTACTAAAAAATGATGGGATGGGTCACACAGGTTTTTGCAAGAACTAATCCCCACTTTGAATTCACCAAGCCTATTAATGTTGACAGTCAGTATTCATGATGTTCAACACATGCCTTAATCCAACATATTACACAAACGTCACAAAGTGTCCTATTTTTTATTTAAAAATAATTTATGGTCACATAGCTTCCATTCTCATCGCATACCATAGCATAAGTGCTTTATAATGAAACACTGAATATAAACAGCTTCGGCTTTTCTGAGTGGTTTGCTAGAGTAATTTCTGCTTACAATACACTACTTAATGTTAAGATTTTTTTCAACTGAATGCTTATTCATTTTAATGTGACACACATCATCTATGCATGCGCATCATTCCTCGTGCAGCTATCTACAACTATTGTTGGGTTGTCTTTATTAAATGTAATATGAAGTTACATTCTCCAAAACATAGGGCTCTTGGCCTCATTCATAAGATCCTTCATTTCTACAAGTGTGCCACTATATGAAACTGCTGCAAGTATCCTGGCCTATGTAAAAACTATGGATGAGGTCTGAACTCTGAATGCATTTCCTGCATTTGGAGGATTTGGAGTTCAGTGTTTGGAGATGCAATTGATGTGATGATAATCTATCAAAACAGATTCAGAGATTAAGTACACTGTATAATGTACATTGAATGTGCTTCTATGATATATGCTATTCTAACACAGTATTGCTCATTTTAGAACAGTAATAATGTAAATTGATTGTTATTGCCTTGATATACCTACTCTGCATAAAAAAAAGATTTGGGATTGATTGATTCATTTATTTTGCACATATTTGTTGTAAGTTTACTATAGGGATGATTCAAAAGATATAGACAAGAGTTTACAGGCATACTAGAATTCGCCCAATCCTTAAAAGTGTGATCTAAATTATGTACTTCCATTATTTCAAATACTTGTCATGTGTCAAAGCATTTCCTAGTTACCATGGTTATGCATCAATAAAACAATGTTCAGCCGAATTAAATGTAATTTTTACACACTAGATGATTAAATGATCTAACTTGTACAGTATGCTTATGGTATTTTGTCCATTACTTTTGAATCACCCCTCGGATTGTATGATTTTAGCTTATGTTTAAGTGGTTTATTCATTGATGTTTTCTAGTCGTGTATCGTTCCCTGATCTAGAAGCAATAGCACCATTGGAGATTGAGAAGATGCCTTACAGGATCCAGGCCAAAGCAATACAGGTGAGTTATTCACATTTGAAAAGTGCTATATTGCCATCATCGTTTGCTAAAGGGTGTGTGGTTGGGTTTCACATTTGAAAAGTACTATATTGTCATCATATTTTGCTGAAGGGTTTGTGAATGGGATTCACATTTGAAAAGTGTTAAATTGTCATAATCTTTTGTTAAAGGGTTTGTTGATGGGTGGTGTTCACATTTGAAAATTGCTATATTGTCATAGTCTTTTGCTGAAGGGTGTGTTGATAAGTTTCATTCTTGAAAAGTGCTATATTGTCATCATCTTTTGCTGAACAGATATATGAGTAGGTGCTACTAGATATCTAGTTAGCATCAGGTCTAATTTCAATTAATTTTAAGTGAGATATTTGTCACTATGTGTCTTGTTTGAAATAACACTTGGTAGTCTCTGTAGCACAAAAAAACATTTTTTCTATAAATTATTGTCACAGTGGTAAAAGTTGTAGTCCTACGTGTATGTACTTGAGATCATGGAAAAAGAGATCTAACCCTCTATTCAGTAATGATCGAATTGTAAATAACTTAAAGTAACTTTCTATGATTTCATCTAAAAATTAAAACCCTTGGAAATACTAAATATGGTTTAAGTGCCATATATAAAAATTTATTTTAGAAATATTGTGGATCAAAATGAAAAAAACAAAAATAAAGAATAAAAAAACATATTCCACCGGAGGGATTTGAACCCAGATCTTTTGGAATAAAAGTATGTTTGAGCCCAAAGCTCTAACCACTACACCAAACTGCCAAAGCTTCCTGAATGATGAAATTCTTTATCTATATAATCATGGACGAAAAAAGTCTTATTTACATGCTTAAATTTCTTAAAAATTATCAGCATTACTACTAATAATAACATTTTGCATGTCTGAGTAAGTATTTTGATCTACATTTAGGATAAATGTTGTTTTATTCAGTTTTCATTTTGGGTATGACTTCCTGTCAAAACAGTGTTAAAAATGCAGGGCTCAACAAAAATTTTCAATTAGAAAATGATATATATCCTTTGATCAGCTGTTTTTGGCACTTGAACTCATCCTACTAGAAAGGTAAGAGCATTTTCTTGAGACATATGGCTCGAAATCTCACATTTCTCCTTCTAAGTCTTAGAAAGACACTTTAATTGGATAATTTTAACCAAAACAAGATATTTCCAGTTGTAATAAAAAATGCCATTCATCAATTAATACTAGTTTTATTTGAGGAAATTGTCAGTCTTACAATCATAATAATTACTGAGTAGTATATCAGTTCCATATGCAGGTTTTAAAACACCAGTCCAGACTACTGTACTCCTATTTGCAGCCATTTTAATTTGGCAGATCTGCCAAATTGTAAAAGTCAGCCAAATTAATGTACATGTAATTTTAGTACCATGTAAATTAGTACTATTATTACATTGAAATATTGCAAGTCTGCCAAATTAAGTAGCCGTCAAATGTTCAAAAAGCAAATCAGCCAAAATGAGTAGCGCCAAATTAAGTAGAAGTACAGTATGTAAGTTCAAGTCTATGTAAGTGTATAACTGTTTGTATCACATGTAGTTAGCATCTCCCTTTACTCCTGGCTCCCTTATAACCAGAATTGTATGAGTTTCTGGCAAAACACCTGGCTGCATCCTCGTCACATTTACAGACATTGTAGCCACAGGATCCTCGACTGCCCGCTGAAAATAAATAAATAAAGAATAAGGAACTTAATCTTTGGTTTTAGAGATTGAATCATTGTAACAAACATTTGATTATATACGTTTAATAAACATATTCTGTAAATAAAAAAAATAAAACTCTAAACTTAAAGTGGCAGTGAAGAAAAGAGAGCATAAAATGTTAGAAGCAATATCTTCAAAAAGCATGCCAATATATCCCTGCCCTTGCTATCACACTTTTATGGTCTGATCTAAAATGGAAGCTATTGGAGATTTAAGAAGCAGGAATGTCCAAATTCATGAGATTTGAAAAAGCATTATCACGAAATAAAGTCAAAACCCTATTGGATGTTCTAGAAAATAGAACGACATTTAATTAAGTGTTGTGACCAATTTTCTAGAATGTTATTCCCAGTTGTCTGTAGTCTTTGTTGAACCTTTAAGACAATAACACGACATATCTAAATCAAATGAGAACTTACTGCATTGTCCACCACGTCTTGGATACCACCTCCACTTTGGGTTGCACCCAGAGTTACGAATATAGCACAAGTCGTGGGTCTTGCAACACCTGTCCACGCCATCTAGTGTTGGACCACTACCTCCGTTTCCACACCAACAGCCATAGTTATTGTAATTGAGGCAACCACGGCGTGTATATCGAACTATCTGGCCACAGAATTGGGCTAAATCAGCATCAGAGGATCCCATCTGCAGTAGGACCACACACAACATGCATGCAATAGCAATGTAGCGTACTTCCATCATTATTGTAGGTCAGATCTTGATGCACTGAGATTCACTAAATATTGAAGATTGACTTGAAGATTCTGTAATTCTTTCTTTTGCTGGTATTTAGCTCTACACTGGTTATTCACCCATCTGAATGGAGTATTGAAAATGAGCTTGTAGTCCTATTTATAGTGAACTACAATGTGTTATTGATTTGACATTTATGTTTTGTCACTCTTTTTGTTCATTTTCGAGGAAATTATAGCTTGTATCGGATCCAAGCTGTGTTGACATATATTAAAGATAAATAGTAAACTTCCTTGTTGTGACTTTGAGGTATACCCGATTACCTATTTTTTTGTTCATTTTCAACGAGATTATATCTGATATTCTGAAAATACAAACAAACTAAGTCTGAGAGATGTTGACATATATTATAGAAAAGTAGTAAACTCCCTTGTTGTGATTATGAGTTATACCTTTTTAAGTTCATTTTCAAAGAAAATATATCTGATATCCTTATAATACAAACAAGCTTAGGTCAAGTAGACCTGTAGACATACGATTGGTGATAATAAAGTTTTCATAACATATCACTAACTGAAATATTAAAAATCTTTCCTTTAGACATTCAGCAGGCAGTTTTATATCAAACATCACATCTAATAAAACTTGACATCCCTTGTGACATCACACTATTCACACGAGCATTGTAATAGTTAAAACAGTTAACAGCACAAACATTTCAATATGTGTCGTTCATTTGAGAACTTAAACATTGTTTATGGGGGTCCACCGATTTTACTTTGCCAACCATTTCTAATTGAATATTAAATATAATGATTTCTCTCCTAGAAAGGCAGCTGCAGCTATAAGATATACCTTGTTTGAGTCAAGGTAGCCATATTCACATAGCCAAGCTCTTTTATTACCAATGAATTAATGGAACATCTCAGTTGCATGTGTGAAAACTGATCATTTGAATACATGCATACATATAAAAAAATACAATATTTAACCACAACAAAGTTGTTATTCATGGCAAAGTTAGGTTATTATGTTCTTTAATAAATCAGAATAAAATACATTCTTAAAATATGGGAAATTGACATCCTTGTTCCAAAGCTGAGCTGTGATTGGTCAGAATTAAAATGAAACCAAAATAAAAGCAATTTACCTAGAAAGAGAGGTTTACACACTAAACAGTATATTTGTTTCAGTGAGGTGTTTACAGTTGGCATATAATTTTATGTATCAAAAATGTGTCCATTTATTTTTGCTTTGACTGATTTAGTTGAGACAATATGTATATTGTACTCTTTTTTGGCTCACACAGTGAGCCTATGGGATTGACCAGGCGTCCGTCCGTCCGTTGGTCCGTCCGTCCGTCCGTTGGTCCGTCCGTCTTCTCCGCAAAGAGGGTAAACTAAGAGGACAAATCAGCATAAGACCAACAGTAAGGGGAAGGGGAGAGTTTTCCGGCCGGATCAAAACGTTTAACCCACCTATGCGCAGTCTCAAGTCTGTGGACCCTGAAGAAAGATAAGTAACATCGCAATCAAATCAAGACAAAGAAAGAAGAAGATGAATGAAGAAACCAAGGCAGCAACAACAAATGACGTCCGTCCGTTGGTCCGTCCGTCCGTCTGTCCGTCCGTCCGTCCGTTGGTCCGTCCGTCAACATTGGCCGCACAAATTAAAACTGCTATTCGGATTGAGTCCTATCCACATTCATTTTATGCATATCCATAATGCCTATTTGACCTATCATCGCCATTTCCCAAGTTCGCCCGGTTTCCGAGAAATTGCGGATTTTGACGTCAAAAAGTCAAATTTTCTGTAAATACTAGACACTTTGTTGAAGTAGAACTTTCAAATACCTTTTAGTAGTTGGTGTAAATGCAACTTATGTCCTCTGAAGATTTCAAAGCTCTTGGAATTACGATTTTTGGTGTTTACTCTATAAAATTTGAAAAAAAGTAGGACTTAGTTATTTTCAGGAAACTTTCTTATGTATAAAGTCAATGGCAGGTTTTGTGATTGACAAGATTCTTAAAGTTTGCCTTATACTTGATCATTTCCTGCAATAAATTACATCATTAATAGATTTAAGCATTCCCTACATATTTCTCGATATATGTCAGCATCAAATTTTTACGGTTTTTGAGATATTTGACGTCAAAAAACAGTAAAAATAAGTTATTAAACAACTTGCTTCAATTTGACCAAATTTTTTTTTGAAAATCATCTACAAGTTACCAGGAGTTCAAATCTGACATTAGTTTTAGGATTTGACCTTTACTTGACCTTCAGTAACCTTCGAAAGGTCAAAAAAGTTGATTTTTCAAATTGATTCTTGGATGTAAATTTTGGTCAGCTTAATCACAAAAGTCCTTACTGAGCTCTGAATAAGTTAAATTTTCAAGGTCAAAGGTCATCAAACTAGGTCTCACAACTATAAGTTTCTCAAAGTTCGAGACTACAAATCCAAATCAATATTTTTGTTTGAAAGTCAGGATATAAATTCCTCTGAAGGTTCCAAACTGTGTGAGCATAGGACCGTGGGTCCTTCATTATAAACTATAATTCTGTGTCAAAAGTCCATTTACATGTTATCTATTTTAGACCTATGTAGTTTAATAACTTTTTATCACATGTTGACACCTCCTTGACTTTATTGTGTATATCTTAGCAATGTTAAAGTACTTCCTATTCCTAGTGTTGTAAGTTTAATGTGAACGCATAGTACAGAGTGAGCCAATAATGATTTTACAGTATTTCTTAAATGTAAGCATAAACCCTCTGATGTCTGAAATAAGTGATTTTCAAAACATTTATATCATCTCAATGGTCCTTTTCCATGTAGCTTTGAACTCTCGTTAAAGTCTTGTTTTTAATGAGATCTTAGGAGATCTGCATTTTTAACGTTTAAAGACTAACATTTCTTCTCAAAAAAGCTTTGATTTGCACAGTTATCTACCTTGATTCAAATTCTGAAGATTTCCACATTGTCACAATGTTAATAAAACCTTAGAAAGTTCATTTGCTCTTATACAAGGGTCGATCAAAAAGTTTCTTACCGTTGGCTTTAGATTTTATAATGAGAGGAGTTAAATGCTCAAACTTTAACAAGAGACAGAGTAGTTAGTTTGCTTGAAACTGTTTGAGTTTCATGTAAATTGGTTCATTGGTAGTGGCACTGAGTCAATACATGTTAAGTATCACAATTTTAATGTTAAATCACAATCCATGTGTCAAAAGGTTCATATAATTCCATTCAAATCATGTTTTAAGTTGATCCAGATGGAATTACTTGTTAGATCAAGAAATTAAGTGACTCTGGCAACACATTTCCATGTATTCTAGCCCTACTAACACCCACAATGCCATCTATTTTTCCATTTATACAGAAAAGGGTCAATAAGAGTGTGAAATGTGTTTATTGAAAATTGTTATTACTACAAGAGAAATGTATACTATATGTAGAAAGGTGTTCACTTGTGGAGGAGAAAGGTGTTTATCAGAGAGCCAAAGGTGTTCACTATAGAAGCATTGATTCACATAGGGAAGACAAAACTGTCAACCAAGCCTCCATTTACTAGAGGTGTCAAAGATGTCAATTCTGATTTGTGGTACTGCCTTATTTTTGTCCAGTTCAACATCAGAATCTTACCACATTTTCACATTTTGACCTTTGATATGGCATGCAAATACAATTTTTTTACAAAAAAGTAAAGAGAATTTCCACTGTGTTTCAGGAGAAAATAGAAGACATGGCAGCTGGGAGTGGGCGTAGTCCTGTGCTGGCAGTCCTGGAGAGTGCTTACAGATTTGCACTGGGTGCTGTTGCTGGAGGTACGTCAATAGGAAACATTTGTAAATGACTTCAATTAAGTTATTGTGTCATCACCAGAAGTGCTAAAATATTGTTATAGTCTCCACCTTTTTGTGGATGGTGTTCGGCAGGCGATGTTTGGGATTTGGCATCAGTAACAAATTCTTACAACTTCAAATAACATTTCAAGTGACATTTTGTCATGTTCATGAAACCCCCTGTATGTTAATTGATTGCCTTGCAGCTGTTGGTGCTACTGCGGTCTACCCCATAGACTTGGTGAAGACACGTATGCAGAACCAGAGGGGTAGTGGAACATATGTTGGAGAGTTGATGTACAAGAACAGTTATGACTGCTTTAGGAAGGTGCTGAGGTTTGAAGGCTTCACTGGACTCTATAGAGGTCTTGCCCCGCAACTGGTGGGTGTTGCACCAGAGAAAGCCATCAAACTTACGGTAAGTGTGCCAAATTCTGGCAAGACAACAAAACACCTTGTCAGTATTTTAACCTTGTCTTAAAACACAATTTATGGTAATAACTCATAACACCTCAGATTGATTTCCTGAAAAACATGATTGAACAAGGTTTAGCCCATGACCCAAATGCAATCAATTATTGTTGTGGACATACAGTTCTTTTAGAGCAGCAAACTTAAATCTTGTTTGCCTTACAATATCATCAGGAGAGTTATCGAACATTCAAAACAAGACGCAAAACATCCATGCAACTTCTATGGACTACAAACAACATGCAAAACAAAAACAACATTAGGATATTTGCAATGTTTTATGTCACGTTTTTATTGCAAAAGTGTGTAATCTCATTCATCACTCCTGACTTGAATAATGAATTGCAGATGAATGACTTAGTTCGAGACAATCTTCGTGGTAAAGATGGAGAGTTGCCACTTTGGGCAGAGATGGTGGCTGGAGGTACAGTAAGTATTAATCCATAACTTCTTGATTACCCTTTGTGTGTTTAATATTTTATCAATGGTCATAGTAGGCTCATCAATTTGCATTTATCTTTATACAGTTAATTAGTTTAATACTTTTCAATTAAGTTTTTCAATAACCTGTTATGATTTGTAAACTAGACATCTTTTTCTAAGCTGGTAGTGGTAATAATCCTATAATATTTGGTACCAGAATAAACTTGCTCCATTGGGATTGTTACATATAGTTTGAGTTAAGATATAACCTGCTACCTATGTGGATTGAGTGTAGAATAAATAAGAAACTGTTGAGATGACCTCTTACTTTATTTTCTAAGAGGTATGTAATAATGGTTATATCTTTTGTGGACTACAGGCTGGAGGCAGTCAGGTGGTGTTCACAAATCCATTAGAGATTGTTAAGATCAGACTCCAGGTTGCAGGAGAGATTGCCAGTACAGCTAAAAGTGTCAGTGCGATTTCTGTCATCAAAGAACTAGGGTTTTTTGGACTTTATAAGGTAAGCATCTGTGATGGTATCTGTATATTTTCAATGAAGTAGAGTTTTACAAAGTAGTACACAATGGATAAAACTTTTTCGATATAATGTAGAATTTTTAATTGATCAACTGAGAATAATACTGTATATAGTCTTGCTTCAAGCCCTTGGCCTTCAAGACCAGCATATCCCGTCTCCACAATGAGGTGAAGAAGATAGGGGGGAAGACTCCAAAAAGTTGATCCAAGACTTCATAAGATAACTCCATGAGAACAATTTAATCAAAAAGATTCCAGATAGTCTAATAGTGTTTGGTGTGAAATATACTGGTCCTGATAGACATGTAACATGAAAAAAGTTCATTTAGGGCTAATATAAGGTTGTATACATTGTAGGGAGCAAGTGCATGTTTATTACGAGATATACCTTTCTCTGCTATCTACTTCCCAAGTTATGCCCATGGGAAGAAGCTGTTGTCAGATGAGAATGGACACAATCATCCTTCGACTCTGTTTGCTGCTGGTGTTGTAGCAGGTCAGTACATACTCTAGACAAAGCATAGCTGGTGCAAATTTGGTGTAAAGTTGGTGCTAATTTGGTACAAATTTGGTTCATAGCTGGTGTAAAGTTGGTGCATAGCTGGTGCTAATTTGGTGTAAAGTAAAATTGGCCCAGATTTAGTACATAGCTTGCAATAAGTTGGTTTTATTAACTTTCATAATTCTGACCTTTTTCAAAGATGCTTGTTTTTGAAATGATTAACCCATAGGCAATTTTTAAGGTCTTATTAACATCCAAACCATTTTGATGTAGTTGTACTGTGTGCTGATAGTAAATATATATCCAATATTTTCATTTGCAGGTATCCCTGCTGCTGGATTGACAACCCCAGCTGATGTCATTAAGACCCGACTCCAGGTAGCAGCCAGGGCAGGGCAGACAACATACTCTGGTATTATGGACTGTTTTGTGAAGATCATGAGAGAAGAAGGTCCCAGGGCACTTTGGAAGGGAGCACCAGGTAAGTTTGAGACCCTTCAACTCTGTTCTCTTATAATCTGTGGTCGTGTATGATTTCAGGAAGCATGCCAAGGTAATTTTCATGTTCTTTTTTTATCACACCATGGATGGGATATAGTCGTCATGATGATGGTGTGATCTTTATCATGATCGTCTTGCTTTTTTGTCATCGCGATTTCAAGAAAACTGCTCATCAGATTTTCTCCAAACTTGCACACATGATAGAGGTTATCAAGTGCTAGAGCTTATCAACTTTTGGGTGGCCATCTTGTTTTCTGGTGGCCATTTTGAAGGTTTTTCGATAGTGTGATCCCGTTCACGTCATGTGCCTTGTTAATTTTAAATGTGCAACAAAGACAAAAGACAATTTGGGACTAATTGTTTTTTAAATTGTCAGTTTCACAATTTTTGCTCAAAACATTTCATTATATTTTCTATTTTCTAAAAGTCTGGCAGTTCTGTCCCTTATTTCATGATAGTATTCCTTTGATTTTAATAATTATCCTGCAATAATTTTGGACATCTCCTTTTCAATTGAATATGGACATATCTCTTTTCCCTAGCCTGGTGTTGGATTAGAAAAAATATATATAGATATTGATATTGTTTTTCTATAAAATTCCTTATTTTTCAGCCCGTGTGTTCAGGTCATCTCCACAGTTTGGAGTAACTCTTCTCACGTATGAGCTGCTCCAGAGGACATTTTACATCGACTTTGGTGGAAGGTAAGACCAAGTACATTTACATTATTTTGGGGGCCCTGTCTTTTCAACACATAATTTATTTTATTTTGGGAGTAGTAAAATAAAGTTTTGATTATTATCATCTACTGTAACATATTAAAGAGGAAAATATGTCAGTGGGGTTTTGAAAAAGCAAAAATTAGTTTTCAAGACCTGTAGCTATCCCATTTTTTTCTTTTTATACTCTTTAAGAAATCACTGCTTTTTGAATAGCAGGGTTGAAAAGAAGTGAATGGATGTATTAATAACAATTGTAACACATAATACTGTATATATTATTCCAGGAGACCAGAGGGTTCACAAATATCTGCGAGCCCAGAAGAACTGCTACCAATCAATCCAGACCACATAGGTGGATATAAACTAGCACATGCCACTTTCGATGGCATCCAATCCAAATTCGGACTCTGTTTACCAAAATTTCAAAATCCCCACAAGATACCAAACACGTGAGAATGAGATCACACTAGGAAATATTTGTACATAGTAATATTATTGTTATTATTATACATATGCAGGGTGGAATCAGGCAGTTCTTCTCATCTACAAATCTTAGAATGGTGTTCAAATATCCATGTAGGGATACGCCCAGAAAACTATGCAGTTGTATGCTACGCAAGTCTTACTAGCTTACTTATCTGCGATAAAGTCATAGCTGAATTAAGAGTCTGCAATACTGAAGCATTCTAGCTGTCATATCATATGGGTTAATTCTGTGTTGAACAAAGATATACTAAAACACAATAAAACATTTCTGATGTACAGGGTGTCTCATAAATATTCGGAAAATATTATCGGTATTATGTTGACACCCAGTATCGATTTTAACAACAGTAAAATCGTTCTAAAGTGAACATATATTGAATGGCCTGACAGTATTTATGTTTAATTCTTATCAGTCTGTTAAGAATACTCACAAAATTGGCCTTTTCTTGGTGTCTGCTTCGAAGCATGTTAATCAAGAACACATGTACATAACTGGAAATAACAGGCCATAGATTCAAATCCAATAAATTGGCCCACTAAGACTGACTGCTAAATAACAACATCAAAGCCAGTAGGATTTCTGAAAATGAGACTGAATGAAGTGTTCACCTTTGAAGGTGTTCATTTTAGTGTTCACCTACACATGTTTTTCTGCATTGAGTTAGCACTGTAGATCAGATGATAAGGACCGCTAGATGATACCTGCTCGGAGTGTAAATTATGGGTAAGTTGAAGTAGTGAGGTTTAATTGACTGAAATTGAAATGGTAGCTAACTACATACATTTGCAGAGTAATTGTAGTATGTATGTAGTATGTACCAATTGGTTACTCAGATTCAGGGTTGAGTATTCTTACCAATGTATAAGTAGCTAAAGAATACATAAAAATAAAACTTTTACTCGAGGTTAATTTATTTATAATGCAACTCTACCAAATAAAAGATTTGTTATCCATTGTCTATGGCTTTTTGCTAATCAAGGGCATCGCAATACCTGGTACTTTACCAAAGGCTATTGAAAGTACCCATATAGGCTAATGTTGTGCTAGGTAGTCACTGGTAGTGCTCAAATATTAACATTGGTTCAGCTTAAAATCATACACTTCAGCATTATGCAGCGAGAGGAAGGTACATCATTATATAAAGGTAATTGAAAATACTTTTCTCCTCACCGGGTTATCGCAAATATGTTTATTTGATTGACCAGTTTCTTTCATGTGACTGTCCTTGATGAGATCATCCCAGAGAGGATGCAATATCTTCCATTGTTGTATCAATTTTTTAAAGTCATCGTGGAAACGAAAATGACCCCCTAAAGTTGGTTGAGATTAAAAAATCCTACACCAGCACAATGGGTCTCTCCTCTAGAAGTAAAATCAGTAAAACATGTAAATTATGAAGAAAGGTATTTACTTTCCTCTTTAAAGCCTGCATAATATGTAGCAGACACACTGGCATATATAAAGTTGAGCACCAAGTATTGAATAGGAAGTTTAACATATTTGAAATATGTATGAAGTTAGAGAGATGAGTTTTCATAATGATATTACTCGTACTGTATATAGATAGACACCAACGCTGTACAAATAAAATCTCACATAACAGATTGTTATTTACTAAATAAAGTAATTCATGTATTTTTAAAGATTTAATGAATGCAGCTTTTAAAAAAAATTTATCTGGGCGCTAGGAGTATAAATCAATGCAATTTTTTAATGTCACAATTAATTTGATTCTTATGAATTTACTTTTAAATGAACATTAGTAATTCTGTAATTTGGTGCAGATGTGACATAAGTGGTGTAAAATGCTTTATATTTATGAAACCAATTTATTATTTTTTTCAACATTAATTCCCAGGTTTAATCAGCGCTACATTTCTCTAACTGAATCGGGGCTCAAACTGAAGTGAGTTTTATAAAGAATTGGTAAAAATGATCCATTTTTATACAGGGTGGGCAAATAAAAATGGGACACTCACATACATCTAACATCTTTTTTTCTTATGATTATAAGGTCAGTTCAGGGGAAATCAGTATGGTATGTAAACAAGTATATTTACTGTGTTCTATATATACTTTACAGTACCATACTGTTTTCTACATATTATTACTGCACCATACTCTATTGGGAACTAAATATTAAGATCTGAGAACAAGGGATTTGCCAAACATTGTTAATGTGAATAAGTATCAGGTGATTTTGCTTATTAGAATATTGATCTGAAATGATATTTGTATTAGACGAGGGAAATTGCTATTAATAAAATACTTGGTTTTAGTGTGCACATAGTAGAATATCATATCATTGTTTTGTATAGCCAATTTGCCATCTAGAGATTTACATGTTTAACCACTGTGATGTAACATGCAAAAGGAGGTTTTGGTGGTTCATGTTATGTTACACTTGTGGTGTGTCATGACTCTGTAAATGCAAGTGGTGCCATGACTATATGAACAGTCATTACATCACATAGTTGAGAAAAAAGTTGTATTATTTTCAAGTGGTATAGCATGTGACATATGCAATCAAAACAATGAATAGCTTATTTTGGCACAATGTAGACTCATTCAATTCATAGTGCCTGTATTCAACAATATCTAATCTTGCACATAGTCATAACAATAAAACAGTTTTAAGTAAAAATTACAGTACATTCATATTTTATTATCATTTGGTATATAATACTAATGACTATACAGAACAGGAAATATGCACAAAATACTTCATACATTGATGTTGCACTTTATAACCAAACTATTTTTGTTATTCTGTTAGGTTTCAAAAGTATTCTGTTATACTATTTTGTTAAACTATTGGAGAATTTTTGATGTATCATTTTATAATATGAAGAAGTATTATGTTAATTATGAATTGGTTTTAAGAAAAATAAAATACAAAAATATAATCAATGTGTCTGTTCATTAGCCTACATTTGTCTTGAACAATTTGTTGCAAACTGAAGAAAATTCTTCACATAAAATGTAGTACAGTAAAACCTGTAGATCTGAACACCTCCTATAAATAACTAATTGGCTCACACAGTGAGCCTATGGGATTGACCAGGCGTCCGTCCGTCCGTTGGTCCGTTGGTCCGTCCGTCAACATTGGCCGCACAAATTAAAACTGCTATTCGGATTGAGTCCTATCCAAGTTCGCCCGGTTTCCGAGAAATTGCGGATTTTGACGTCAAAAAGTCAAATTTTCTGTAAATACTAGACACTTTGTTGAAGTAGAACTTTCAAATACCTTTTAGTAGTTGGTGTATATGCAACTTATGTCCTCTGAAGATTTCAAAGCTCTTGGAATTACGGTTTTTGGTGTTTACTCTATAAAATTTGAAAAAAAGTAGGACTTCGTTATTTTCAGGAAACTTTCTCATGTATAAAGTCAATGGCAGGTTTTGTGATTGACAAGATTCTTAAAGTTTGCCTTATACTTGATCATATCTTGCAATAAATTACATCATTACTAGATTTAAGCATTCCCTACATATTTCTCAATATATGTCAGCATCAAATTTTTACCGTTTTTGAGATATTTGACGTCAAAAAACAGTAAAAATAAGTTATTTTTCAACTTGCTTCAATTTGACCAAATTTCTTTTTGAAAATCATCTACAAGTTACCAGGAGTTCAAATCTGACATAAGTTTTAGGATTTGACCTTTACTTGACCTTCAGTCAGGTCAGGTCAAAAAGTTCAAATCTGACATTACTTTTAGGATTTGACTTTTACTTGACCTTCATTGACCTTCGAAAGGTCAAAAAAGTTGATTTTTCAAATTGATTTTTGGACGTAAATTTTGGTCAGCTTAATCACAAAAGACCTTACTGAGCTCTGAATAAGTAAAATTTTTAAGGTCATCAAACTAACTATGCTATCTAAGTTTCTCAAAGTTCGAGACTACAAATCCAAATCAATATTTTTGTTTGAAAGTCTGGATATAAATTCCTCTGAAGGTTCCAAACTGTGTGAGCATAGGACCGTGGGTCCTTCATATGAACTCATTTTTGGCCCCAATCCATTTCCTAATAACAAAACCTTGAATTGTGAACAACTGTTATTCATGACACCTTTGGTTCTTCCCAGTGGTGTTCAGATTAGACAGGTTTAACTGTATATTGGCTGTTTAGTACATGATTGCTATTTAACATTCAAAGCTGATCAGTCAAGTTATGACTTATAAAATGTATACTGCATTATAAAAAAAGTTGCACCATATATAGGTGTAGCTAGCTATAAGACAAGTAAAGCAGCTGGCAATTTCCAAAAATATTTTTTCAAAGTTTAGAGACTAGATGAATTAAAAATTACTAGTATGTCCCATAGACGTATAATATCCTCTTTGGCATAAGTTTTGGTTTGTCTATTTACTTGTCTAGCTATTTTGGGATTCTGGCTACCCATGGCAATTGAAAAAGATCAATTGCACCAATAATATAACAATTTCGTTGCATCAACCAAGTACAGCTGCCTATAATGTTCACAAACTACTGGCTCTGCACTAGTTCAAAATAAAAGCAGATTCCATTGGACATTTCAACTGCTAAGTGGAATTACTTTGATACCCCTACCATCTCTGCCTTGCCTGAGAGGCCTCCTATAATAAAACTGATGGGAGGCTATAATCTCTCATGATGCTGTGGAACGATCATCCTTTGAAGTTATTTTCCAAGAATACAGTATAGTGTGAGCTGCCCTCATAATTTACAGGCATGGTGAGCCAAAACCCACAAGCACCAACATTTGTAAATTCAATTTTAACCCATTTATGAGCTACCTTGTTCAATCTGAAAAGATCTTTGACAACTTTCATTGTTGTTGCACCTACTCCTTTTCAATTGTAAGTTGCTAAGTTGACTTAAATTAAATAAGTCTACATTTGATTAACATGCAAAATGTCACCACCTGCCATTTGTTACAGACACTTGTGGTGGTGACATAAAAATGGCAAATCCACTTTCTAGCTACCATATTTAGTTCTTTTATGTCTATCATGGAAACCTTTTGGATAGGTTGTTGATTTTTGAACCATCCTCAACTGTCATTGTAAAACGAGGCTTTTGAGATCTCAAATCCAGTATCCTCGCCGTCTATAAGCACCATTCTTTCTATTTACGCAAATCACCCAAAGTTCATGAAGGGCTATCATAATCCTGCAAGGCATCTTCTTACTGCATCATATAACTGCAACATACAGAGATCAAAATATAATTAAAACATTAACATGCAAAATGTCACCACCTACCATTTATTACAGACACTGCCAAATGCTGAACACTGGCTACAAAAAAAGTTGGAGACATTATCATTATGTTATCACTTTTGATGGTAACATAATAATCTGTTGTGAAGCATATTTCCAAAGTTTGTCTAGTGATTGCTGACAGGTATACTAATAAAAAATACATGTTATTGAAAGACAGCATCATCAGGTTCAAATCAAGTGAACTGGTCTAGAATACTAATGAGTTAAAACAATTTTGGCATAAAATGATTTTTTTAATTGGTCATTTTAAATGCAGGTGCATTTGTGTCAAAAATTTACAACATTTTAGTGCATTATTGCACTCAGGTCAGCTGTGCTTTAATACTCTTACCTGTGCATTATTGAAGAATAAAGACTTGGCGATGTAAAGGTGTTTCTGGTTGGGATCGTACCTCCACATATTTATAGAGCAACCTGAAATCACAATATCACTCTGATCTGAACAGACGTCATCATTTCTTTTCATTATGAATATGTATGTGCAAGTGTCAACAGGAAAACACCAAAAATTGTTACGGAACACAGCAAGAAAAAGAAATCATCTAAAAGTGCACAAGTCATAGGGAATTTAAACCCCAATTATCCCAAATCACAATCTAACATGAAAAGAGACAGTGTATAATTCTCCCTCCCTCCAACATTCAAGTATGAATATAAATATTATATTGCATTCAACTCATATTAGGCTATAATATGAAATATTTATTTTCAATCCAACACATTGAAATTGTAACGACTAGAGGGCATCTCAGGGCCCAAAGGAAACAACTAACTAGCGAGCATAGTGTAACAATCCAGATATAGAAATGAAAGTTGAACCCAGGATCCTTAGAAAAAGACAATACAAAGACACCTTTAGTGAAAAAAAGCTGTGTGATTTGTATCAGGTCTAGTGAGCAACATTCACAAAAATTTTGGCTCATGCCATAAAGAGCTGATTCTACCTTTAAATAACTGTTGCCTAGTGATAATAATGTCAATAAAAATAATTGTCAAGTTATACATATATAACTACAGCCTCCCAAGAGCAGATTCTAACCATTATTAGAGTTACATTGTTTTGTTATAATATCAAATTTCTATGGTTACAAAAAGGCAGTTCATATTACCTTGCTGGGACCTGTCATAGCTGCCACCCACATCTGCTAGAAAATGACTGCCAGTAGAAAATGTCACCTGTAATTGCATGACAGCAAATTGCTATTATTATGGTCTAAAAGTGAATTGCTATATTTATACCCATTATGGCCAATGAAGAAATGAGGTGGTATTTAGCCTACCCCTTATTTCATATAATTGCTCAATTTGATAAAATGTAATTAACATATCCAGATGCATATTTCTATCCAAACCTGTTCTCATCATCACTCTCTTATTTTCATCATTCGCCTACACAGTAAAATGCATGACATCCTAAATGACTAAGCTAAATATGCACCCTGTGCGCAGAGTCTTAGTCATAAACTACCCTCTGCCTAGTATAGACTATATTACATTTTAGCAGCCACGCCCCAAAGATTGGTGCTTGTGACATCCCGGGTAATAAATCATTTCAAATCTACTACCCTGACCCTTTCTCAACCAATCAGCGAAGTTGAAGGATTACACATGCTTAATACATGCTCATTTACTATGCAGTGATGTCTGAGGAAATTACCATAGAGAAAGTCGTCCATATTTCGACGACGAACTCATGGAATTATGCACTTTCACCTACCTGTTCAATGTTGCGCATATTAATCATAATGTCTTCGGTAAGTGGTTTGTAAAGTGTACATAGATCTGGTTTCCATTGTTCCGATAAGAATGTGTGTGAATTCCCTAATATGGTCAAGAAGTTACGGCCTTGTTTCACATACACTGAAATAAACAAATGAATTTAGGCAACCATTTGTCACAAAACCATTTGTTCCAAAGAAATCCAGGTGACCAAATGTTAATCATGAACCATTAAGATAGTGATAAATTATTGGACTTGAGGAGCAAAATGGTCACCTTGTTAGTTACCCAGTAAGTGAGAACCTGATCAGTTCTTGTCAATACTCACAAGATGATGATAAATTTAACGCTTAATATTTTACACTTAGGATTCATGTGTACCTTCATTGTCATTACAGTCTGAGTCTTCAGTTCTCCGTCGTTTCATTCCGGATCCACAATGCACTGCTCCTTCTACCCCATTGGTCAGCTCTGTAGCACTGCTGCTGTATGACATCTGAAATGAATATCTAAATAAGTGAATGATACCCATTGGTTTACTATATCAAATCTTTGTCTCTTATTATCTTTATGCCATGATTCTCATTCTCTCTAAAAATGTTAATGTTTAACCCTACTATCACACCAAACTAGATCTCACTAAGTTCTCGAAAACGGCCTTAAACTGTGCACAAACGGATTTGACGTACTAAGAACCCACTAAGAACCGTTTGGGATCTGTTTACAAACTTCATGAAACTACTAGAAAGGGTAGGTCCTCCAGCACTAAGAGCATGCTCAAAATTTTCTGGTGATCATCCAAACGTTGCCGAATCGGTTTTAAACTGCGTGCGAACTGAATGAACGTAGCTACAACGTTCTACGGTCTGTTTACGAACTTCATGGACTTTCCCGGACGGGGTATGTGATTTAGAATTTTGAATTGATTCAAATTTCGATGGCGACCATACCATTCTGTAATCAGATCATGATGACCTTCTAGACTAAGGGACGGTTTATACTACGTTGCACACCGACGTGGTGCGACCTGAACAAACTGCGAACGTGATGGATGTATTGAAGACTGTTTATGAACGAAGTAGCTAATTATTTTAGACATATATCCCGACCGCAGCCAGATCGAGCCCGTTTTACAACATTTTCGTAGGACTGGCAAGAATGGGTAAGAACTAGTTTGGTGTGATAGGGGGGTAAGCAACTGCTCATTTGTGGTAAGCCATATTCACTACTCTGAAGAATTAGAACATTTCTCCAACTTAATTCTTGGAACACAAGTTAGTATAACCATCTTTGATAATGTCTCATAAATCTTTAGTCTGATATTGCTTTGTATTTTCAAGTTTGTCACAGTGTTTTACACTTTTAAGTATAAGACCATTGCAAATATGGCCTATAATAAAAATGGCCCATATCATATCCTATTCAAATGTTAAACAAGGCATTAACATGCAAAATGTTACCACTTGAGCAAGACACCATTTGAGCCAGACAACAACTGCTAAACACCAACTGCCAAATGCAAACAACCTAACACCATTCATAAAAAGTTTGGAGACTATAACAAACTGTCACCACCAAAAAATGATCTTATTTAAGACTAAAGTATCAGGCCATATTCCAGGGCTCATATGCCCATCTTTAGGCCTCAGATGCCAATTTTCTCACCCAAGTAGATTAGAATAACTATTTATATAAAATAAAAAAAATAAAAACAATATCAGATTTACCCAAACTTGCAATGGATTCAAAGTCTATGCACTAAGCACAGTTAACTATTAAGATATGAAAGTTACATTAATAAAACTTGAATACTTATACAGGATATAAATTCAGCCTTATTGAGTAAATTATTTTGGCATATAACACATAATTCATATGAGATATAAACATGCAAAATGTAACCGTTTGTTGGAGACTGTAACAAGATGTTACGTCTTCTGGTGGTGACTAAAAATGAAAGTAAACTGAGTTGAAAAACCACAACTTACTGAAACATCTGCACTTTGATGAAACATCCTTTGTAAATCATGAAACACTACCATACAGGTTAAGTTAAAGCTTATAATAATTATAAGAGTAACCTGCTACTAACTGAAGTTCAAAGTTTATCCTGCCAGTTTTTATTTGCCTGTTAACATCCACTTATATTTTTTATTTCCTTTTTTGTTTATCACACCCTGAGACTTAAGCAAATTACTCTTTCATAAATAAAATTATTTATAAATATTCATCCGTATTAATTTGCATTAATATTAATCTAATTTATCCTCAAAGATCAATATATTGAAATCTATGTGTTTCAAATACAGTCAGCATCAATATAAATGATGTTTTCTTTATAAACAGATAAAACCCTGGATGAGCTGATAATTGCCGTAGCAATACCGCATCATCATTTTAGAGCTGTTTATGTATATCAAAATATGAAATAATTCATCCTGCTCTAGAGAGCGTCCTCTTGCCTCCAGGTTGAGAGTATATATGATATGATATGATTGTTCAGATACAGTGTATATATGATAAATACACAGATTCGGGATATGTGAGAGTGGATACAAGGCCACAACACTTAAGGTTTGATAGATGGTGTTGCTTAGTAGATTATTAACAAGTTTAAGAGGGATATCTTAAATCAATGAATGTTTTGTTTTTGTTTTTATTTGAATCTCCCATCCCTTGTCAATTAAACTTTTCTTTAAAGGCCTCATGCAAATTTTGAAAATATGTTATACATGACATCTATTATTTTTGAAGACTTAAAAAGTTATTTTAGAGATTTTTGAAAAAGGTTTTTTTCTAAAGAAGTTATCAGCTTTTTATTTATCAAATAAATATTATAAATATATTATTCAAATTTGAAAATTGGAACAAAGTGCAAACATTTTTGCAAGAATGTCAATCTTTTCTATGTATGCTAAACTTACAAAATAGACTAATGTTGATTGTCTAAATAGGTTGAAAAGAAGAATCAATTATGCTTTGAACATAACTGTGCGATTGGTTTCTATGAGAACTAAATATTGCATTTTCTCTGATCTACTTTAATGCATGGGTGAATTCATTTCTCATTTGTTTATCAACCAAATTTCCTTATTTTTCAACAAAGAAAATATAATATGCTGTTACATATAATTTTTCAGTTGAGTTATAATAGTGAATGCTCTCCATGGAAACATATGTCATATGAATAATTTTTACAATTCCCTTTTCAACATCTAAATGTTTCAAATTAATTGCAAAACTGAATGCATCTTTTTCATTAAAATCAATAGCTCGATTTATCTACTGTAAACCCAAGTTAAGTTTAAAGCCCTTGGTTTAAAGTAACCATTGATCAGTAACAGATGTCCCAAACCCACATGTTCAGCTAACAATGCTGATATATGGCTAATAAGAATGCAAGTGTAGTAGGTATAATATTTCTAATAGCAAGTGTCTACACAATAATATAGACAAATGAAATGTCAGTTTGTTTATTTCTTGAGAGGTAAATTAAGCGATTAGTAAAGTAGACCAGTAAGATTTTACAATAGGCTAGCAGGCACTAGAGCCTGAGGACTGTTTAAATATAAGTATGTGTACACTAAAACAAGTCATGCTTTGAATAGACTATTTTGCCTAGTAGTTGACATGTACAGTAATCATATCAATCATGTACTTTGACCTAGTTGAAGTGCTGTAAACTCAAGACAAGCAGCATATAACCACTGACATTACTGATAGGAGGCCATTACAAGATCAATGAACACAAGATACTACAAGTCAGTGAAGTCACATGCTAAACAGTGTAAGGCTCTCTAGACAAAGTACAATACATGATGGCTTGGGCACTATGCAGAAAACTTCCTTTGAAAAAAATAGCTCATAAATGGAAAACATTTGGAGTACAAGCAAGTGTGACAAACTTTTCTAACAGGACATTATCAAGTGATGTTGTGAAGATACATCCAGAAATTCAGGATGCTATCACATGTAATAAACCAGTAGTTGCCCTTGAAAGTACCATCATCACACATGGGATGCCATATCCCACCAATGTGGACACTGCAAAGAACGTTGAGGCAATAATCCGAAACAATGGTGGAATACCAGCAACAATCGCCATAATATCTGGCAAAATCCACGTCGGTCTTGATGAATCAAAGTTAGACAATCTAGCCAATCAGAGTGATGTCGTGAAAGTATCTAGGAGAGATCTACCATATGTTATAAGCCAAAGCCTGCATGGAGGAACAACTGTATCAGCCACGATGCTCATCGCGCATATATGTGATATCCCTATATTTGTGACTGGTGGAGTAGGAGGAGTTCACAAAGGTGGTCAGTCATCTATGGACATCAGTGCTGATCTTACAGAACTTGGTCGAACTCCAGTGACTGTGGTTTCATCAGGAGTGAAATCAATATTGGATATTGGACGTACATTAGAATATCTTGAAACTCAGGGAGTATGTGTCGCCACCTATGGTCCATCAAAGGAATTTCCAGCATTTTTTACCCGATCGAGTGGTTTCCAAGCTCCATACAATGTGGAAACTCCAGCTTCTGCAGCTAAAATGATGCTCTCTCATGCAAAGCTTGGCCTGCAGAATGGTATGCTCATTGCTGTTCCTATACCCAGTAAACACGAAACTGCAGGTCAGGAACTAGAAGATGTGATTAACGACGCCGTAACCAAAGCTGAAACACAGGGTATTACTGGTAAAGCCATAACACCTTTCATACTTCAGTATGTTAATGAACAGACTGGTGGTGAATCCCTCAAGGCAAATGTTGCACTGATTGAGAACAATGCTGATGTTGGGAGTAAAATTGCAGTTGAACTGTCGAGGCTTAAACATAATGTAAAACCAAATCATTTGAATGGTGCATCATATTCAAGCAAGCGCCACTACAGCAGTGATGCCTCAAGGAAATCTATGAATAATAGGCCTGTTGTGATTGGTGGCTCAATCGTGGACTACGTTGCTAGAATCCACCAGGAAAAATTTCAACTAAATGGAAGAACATACCCTGGAAATGTTATGCAGACATGTGGCGGAGTTGGACGCAATATTGCGGACTGCCTAACACGACTTGGTACCAACCCTTTATTCATATCAGCCATAGGCACAGACACTCATGCTGATGCCTTGAAGAACTATTGCAAACACATGGACTTTGCAGGTATAGCTGAAGTCCCTGAGCTTCAAACAGCAACATACTGTGCAGTTATCCAACACCATGGTGATCTTCTTTTTGGTATAGGTGATATGGACACACATGAATATGTTACACCAGACCACATTGCTAACTTTAAAGATGATATAGCAGATGCCCCACTAGTTGTTATGGATGGGAACATATCAGTTGAAGCCATGGATTATATATGTGGGTTATGTTTGGATTATAATACACCTTTATGGTTCGATGCAGCCGATATGTCAAAGGCCAGTAAGCCATTCCAAAGTAGCAAAGCAGGGGCTATCGTATATACATCTCCTAATGTAAATGAGTTACGTTGGATGCATGCCACTGTAACAGGGACAGAGCCCGGTGCTAACACCTACAAAAACACAGAAGTGATTGAGGAATGTCTATTCCTCTGTGAAGAACTTGTAAAACACATTCCCAACATTATTGTAACCCTTGGTGAACATGGTGTTCTGGTCTGTCGTGACACTGATGCAAACAACAGATTTCCATATAAAGGCTCAAAGCGACCGGCGGTGAGAGACCACATGAGTGCGGTACATTACCCTGTTGGACCTGTTAACCCTGGAGACATAGTGAGTGTATCTGGAGCGGGAGATTGTCTCAATGCAGCCATGATATCCCAAATAATTACTGGCATTCATTCACCACGTCATTGTGTCTTGTCTGGCTTGATTGCTGCCCATATGTCATTGATGTCACACCTGACAGTACCAGAGACCATCAATATGAGGGCACTAGAAGGCAACTACCTTCTACATGGTTGTGAACCTATCCCAGTGCTATCAAGTCTAGGTTGGAAATATACCATCAACTAAATCTTCTACTTAGTATTATATATACATTTCAGTGTTAGCTTATATCAAGTTTACTGTTAGTCACTTGCTAAATACTTTATTTCGACTGATTTAAGAGGAGTTTCAAAAAGTTTTGACCATGTCAGGATATAGTTTTAACAGTCAATTTCTGTATATTATCAAGTTTTCAACTACTTAATTCAAGCAGTACATAGGCTTGGAATCACAAAAGTAAAGAGCTGGGATAAAGTAATACCATTTTGACCATTGGTATCATAACATTGAATTTTCTGCTTTAAAGCTATTTTTGAGTATACAATTAGTGTACTATTGTTTCATATACTGTATAATTGATGCTATTGTTTCACCATCCTTCATTCAGTGATATATAAATAAAAATTAAATAAATAAATAGAACACCTGTCTGTATTGAGTCTTTCTTGTATGAAGTGAACAATACTGTCTGAGACTAATGTTCAAAAGTCATAAGCATGGTTGGAGATTTGGCAAATAGTTTTTGTCAATTTCAATATCTCAATGCCAATATTATTGAACAAATCAATATTTTATTGATAGATTTACAAATGAAAACTCGAGTATACATTTCATTTGCTTGTTTGGTCAATCCTACATTTCCCTTGAAAACGTGTCACCTCCTATAGATCTGATTCTGTCTTTATGTAAAGTAGAAATATTGCCAAAATTTGCTGATATGGGAAGGTCAATGAAATTAGAGAGGGGTCTATTGAGAATAAGTAAGACTCCCGAAAACATGAGATATATTTAGCATCCTGAAGCTGGAAAGATTAGAGTAGATTAGATCATGCAATGAGAGCTAATGAAATAAATAATTTGTCTGCATTTTATTGCCAGAATAAAACCCAATTGTCAAAATATAAAATATAAAAAATATAAAGATAAAATAAATAAACATATAAAAATAAATTATGTTTTAAAGTAAATGAAACCGCCTTTGAACTACCCACACACTCAATTACTGCCAAATGAAATCAATTATGTTATTTTACCTTTCATCTGCATCTGCTGATGTTGTGATCAATTCACACAAGAGTCTCTGATGAGGTAACACAATATTATACGATGAAGACAGGAACAATCTACAAGTAAAACAAAACTAGTTAGATTAAATAGTTGAAGTCTAACACCAAAAGGTGTCATAATAACTTAAAGAATCAGTAAGGGACATAACCTGATTGGCTTTCTGGAGGAGGAGGTTAACTATGAACAAACTTTGGCGGGAATGGGGATCCTAGCTTAAACCCTCAGATATCCCATACCAATCAATCAAATTTCAATGATCACATTCTAATCAATTTGTATAATATTATTGACAGTTATATGTAAATAACATCCCAAAGCCATACCAAATGTCCAAAAAGTAGCCTGATACCATACCAAATATAGGATCAATGCCATACCAAATGTATAAATAAATAAATAAATGTCTCTTATATAGGACAAACCAGAACAACGGCAACGCCAAAGCGTAGCGAATCCCATCGAACAGTCATGGCTGGCTTATTTACAAACAAAGTATATAGCACAAATGGCAGCCATTTTTCAAAATGGCCACCTTCTACCATTAGACAGTGTCATTAGACAGTGTGCCATGCTTATAGTATTCACATACCAAATATGAACAAAATCACTCCACTACATTTCGAGTTATAGTAAAATACGTTAAAAATTCTACCAATAGTGTCATTAGACAGTGTGCCATGCTTATAGTATTCACATACCAAATATGAACAAAATCGCTCCACTACTTTTCGAGTTATAGTAAATACGTTAAAATGGTAGCCATTTTTCAAAATGGCCGCCTTCTACCAAAAGTGTCATTAGACAGTGTATCATGCTTATAGTATTCACATACCAAATATGAACAAAATCGCTCCACAACTTTCCGAATTATAGTAAAATACGTTAAAATGGTGGCCATTTTGAAAAATGGTGGCCATTTTTCAAAACGGCCGCCTTCTACCAAAAGTGTTATTAGACAGTGTGCCATGCTTATAGTATTCACATACCAAATATGAACAAAATCGCTCCACTACTTTTCGAATTACAGCAAAAATCGTAAAATAACGAGTGAAGGCCGCCATTTTTCAAGATGGCTGCCATGTGCTTCTTTAATATCTACATTTCTAGCTTTATTAATGTCCTATATAATTTTTTACATTTAAAACATATTTCTATAACAGTTTTACATATTGCACCTAAATTACTGAAAAATCGGCACTAAAATGGCCGCCATTTTTAAATGAGCGGCCATTTTGAAAATCGGCTTTCGAGCAGAACTTCTACTTCCATAGGGTATATGTGTACAAAATATGAACAAAATCTGTCTAACGGTATTTGAGTTATTGCCCGGACGTACGTATGTACGTACGTACGTACGGATGGACGGACGGACGGACGGACGGACGGAGGCGTTCCCTATATACCTCCGAACTTCGTCCGATGGGATAATGACATACCAGATGTCCAAATATAGGACAAAGGGCATACCTGGCATCAAAATATAGAACCAATGTCAAGTATTAATTATACTTTGGATCAAAATATATCGACATGAGTAATGTCCAAAGCCATACCACAAGTGTGAGCATTGGCTTTTATTTCAAGAGAAGGGTATGCTACTATAAACATGATAACCAATGTAAGCTGAAGATCCGCATCAAGGCTTATATACAGAGAAACCCCCAGGATTAGCTCATGAATATGAAGAGTATGATTTGCTGCATAGAAATATGGAAGTGGGATCAAAATCTGAATTCATTTGCTCTACAATTTTCATACCAACACAATTCATTGCTCAGCCAAATAGGAATTCTAATGATTCAGTATGTTTGCAGCCATGATTACATGCATACAGGCCCTCTAACTGTTCCGCAATTTGAGTATTTGTCACACTTTTGCTGAATAAACTGAAGTCACACCTGTTTTTTGTGTGACAGAATATGTCATACATATATATAATATGCATTTTTTCTGATTATTGTCAAGCAAAAATGTTTCAGTAGAGAAACATAAAAAACAAATGCCAAAAATACGGTTCGTTCAGATTTTTCACGCGAATTGCATATATGTCACGCATTTGCTTCGAATTTTATTGTTCCCCATTTGGACCAAGGTGTTCACAATTTGAATGAAGGTGTTCAACATTTGTAAGTCACTCATTTAGATGTTCCCATGCTGACAGGCCTGTGTATATTAAGATAAGTCAATTAGAATCAATATGACTATTTCCAAACACCCCCATCAAAAAATGTATAGTTAGCTTGGCTGTACTGCACATCTGTAGAATAATTTTATATATGTTATGTGAATTAGACGCAGTAAAATGCATTTGCAGAAAAAATTCCGATAAATTGTCAAAAAATCTGGGTTATACCACTTAACTCCAATGTATTTTAGGGGGTAAATCCAAACAGGAGATTTTTAGGGGGTAATTCTGAATACTAGCATGGGGGTAATTCCATGGGCTCATGGTAATTCCAAACACTTAACTACAGTGTATATTTCATTGTTTTACTTGGTAGATTGATGGTATGTCATTATATGGTACCCTGAACTAATGATACTGGATCCTGACACTCCTGCATATCAATAACCCCAAATATACTTGATTTATTAGTGACATCTATGTAGGATTTGTGGGGGTAATTCCAAACACTAGCATGGGGGTAATTCCGAATACCTAAATCATAATAATTGATTATTTTATCGTTAGAGTGTCAGTATATATCATTATATGGTATCTTTCAGGATACAATATTATATAGAGGTAGTAGAGGTACTATTATTCAATTCAATGATTTGCTTGCCATTGATTGCAACCCGTTCGTGTTTACCCTAGACTATATCCTATCTAGTCAGTCTGTTGGATACATACTAGTGTTTACCCCCTGTTTGGATTTAGACGAATTGACTCTACACAAGTGTCACACCTTTATAAAGGTGTGACATGTGATTATTGTTCAACTGTAAGCCATAAATTAAATTAAATTAGGCTATCAGTGAGGGCAGTTTATTCTAGACTAGATCTATATCAAAACAAAGTCACTTGTGAAAGTGAAACTGAAAGTCTGAACAATATTTCAACATGAATTATTTTGATCTAGCATCAACAATTTGTCATCAAGGCTTCAATCGCTGCAATATAACATTCAGAAAGATTCTTATTAAAAGAAATTAGAACATGCGTAGTTACCTGGTGCTTTATTAGGTGAAAATACGAGTACTATTTTTTGAATTTGAATATTTCAAATTTTTAACATCCGGCGGAAGTGAGACAATCTGGGCATTCTGGGTAAATGACATATTGAAAAATCGGTGTGGCCGAAATTATTTATTATTTATCCTTTAGCTCAGTATATATCTAGGAAAATGGTATAAATATCAATTACAAGTAGAGTTCTACTACAGGACATTTATTCGAAGCATTTTTCGTGGATTTATCAATAAAGAAACTTCGAAAATTGGTCTCAAAGTAAGTCATTTTTAATTTTACTAAATTTTTATTTTCACTTTTTAGACGAGGATAACTCTAGACTGAGTCTACTGTAGTGACATCATCATAAGTCAACATTTGAATGACATCATGAGATCAGTCAGACTGAAAAGAAATTTTGCATGAGAAAGAATGGCTCGTATTTTGCAAATGATCATGTTTGTATTGTAAGAAAACTGGTTAAGGTCTCATGGAAGTTAACAGGAAATGACAAAACAAAAAATGACAAAGCCATGCTGGATTTTGAAAATTTTTTGAACCAGATAACAGAGTTCTGTTTGGACCTCCAGTCAGTTTAAGGTCTCATGGAAGTTAACAGGAAGTGACAAAACAAAAAATGACAAAGCCATGCTGGATTTTGAAAATTTTTTGAACCAAGATAACAGAGTTCTGTTTGGACCTCCAGTCAGTTTAACTAGTTCCACATATCATTAACATGACCAGGAACACAGTTGAAATGGTCAGAATGACCATAAACATGATAGAATAACCTTTTCAGCCCTCTGAAAATGTGACTAAAAAATAGCTAAGAGTAGGTGCTCAGGAAAGGTCACTGAACAGAATATTTTGACTTTTTCAGAAAATGTGCCCAATATATTGCTCTAAATGATACAATTCAAAAAAATTTGATATCATTCTTAGAAAAAGAAAAAATTGAAAAAAACTGAATTGAAAATCGATCTATTTTCCTTTTTACTACAGCCATTATTGTTTCAGACGATTTTTTAAAATTTCAAAGATTGTGTCATTTAGAGCAATATATTGGACACATATTCTGAAAAAATCAAAAGATTCTGTTCATTGACCTTTCCTGAGCACCTACTTTTAGCTATTTTTCAGTCACATTTTCAGAGGGCTAAAAAGGTTATTTTATCATGTTTATGGTCATTCTGACCATTTCAATTGTGTTCCTGGTCATGTAAATGATATTTGGAACTAGTTAAACTGACTGGAGGTCCAAACAGAACTCTGTTGTCTTGGTTCAAAAAATTTTCAAAATCCAGCATGGCTTTGTCATTTTTTGTTTTGTCATTTCCTGTTAACTTCCATGAGACCTTAACTAGTTCCACATATCATTTACATGACTGGGAACACAATTGAAATGGTCAGAATGACCATAAACATGATAAAATAACCTTTTCAGCCCTCTGAAAATGTGACTGAAAAATAGCTAAAAGTAGGTGCTCAGGAAAGGTCAATCAACAGAATCTTTTGATTTTTTCAGAAAATGTGTCCAATATATTGCTCTAAATGACACAATCTTTGAAATTTAAAAAAATTGTCTGAAACAATAATGGCTGTAGTTTTTTAGTCACATTTTCAGAAGGCTGAAAAGGTTATTCTATCATGTTTATGGTCATTCTGACCATTTCAGTTGTGTTCCCGGTCATGTAAATGATATGTGGAACTAGTTAAACTGACTGGAGGTCCAAACAGAACTCTGTTATCTTGGTTCAAAAAATTTTCAAAATCCAGCATGGCTTTGTCATTTTTTGTTTTGTCATTTCCTGTTAACTTCCATGAGACCTTAAGGTACAGCTGGAAAGGAACATTTTGGTAAAAAATTGCTATACCTGCACATGTTATTTTCTGGTACAAAATAAAGTATGAAGGCATGTATCCATTTCCTTGCTTTTTTCAGGAAAGTATCATTACATTGTCTTCTTTTAGAATATCTGGTAGGCGTTCAAAGGGAACTCCAGGGAATTCTGATATTTCACACTCCCTGTTTTTCCAAATTTTCTTTCAAAGTTTCCAGACAACACAGGAGCTACCATTGACCTGTTTCCAGGTTTACTAAAAGTAGACAGTGTAATGATACTTTCCTGAAAAATGCAAGGAAATACACACATGCCTTCATACTTAATTATGTACCAGAAAATAACATGTGCAGGTATAGCAATTTTTTACCAAAATGTTACTTTCCAGCTGAACCTTAAGGACAGGGTGCATGTTGGGAAATTTTCTGCACTCCTCAATTGAGTCACATGTTATTTTTCAAACAAGAATAACTCCTTCCCCACATTGTCTACATCTTCCAGGTTTGCACAAAGAGTGCACTTATGTGCCTAGAAAAGCCTTGTGAGAAGATTTGTTTTGTAAAATGTATAAAAAATGAGAAAATTCAGTGAAAAAAATTTCTGAAAATGTTCTGAATTTTTTTACTGAATTTTCTTGTTTTTTAGAGTCCATTTCACTGCTTCATTTCGTCAGAAGAACAGCAAAAATAAGAAATTGGGAGACCATTGTGCAATAATATATGGAAAATTATATTCATAATGTACATGAATGGCATTTGTATATCTTGGATTGCTTTTAGTTTGGCTTATAAAGTGTGTGGCCTCTTATATTTGGATGTTTCTCTGCCATGTTATTTTCAATAAGATTAACATGGCTGAAATTCTTCAAATTACAAGACGGCACAGGCTTATTGCACAAAAAACTAAAAAATCTGAAATATACAAATGTCATTCATGTACATTATGAATATACTTTTCCATATATTATTGCACAATGGTCTCCCAATTTCTTATTTTTGCCGTTCTACTGACGAAATGAAGCAGTGAAATGGACTCTATATACTTCATCAAAACATTCTTCTCACAAGTCTTTTCTAGGCACATAAGTGCACTCTTTGTGCAAAACTGGAAGATATAGACAATGTTGGGAAGGAGTGATTCTTGTTTGAAAAATAACATGTGACTCAATTGAGGAATGCAGAAAATTTTCCATCATGCACCCTGACCTTAAGGTGACATTTAAGTTAATCAAAAGTACAAAAACATGGGAACCATATTTTTTTGATAAAGTCAGAAGATTTTGTATACTGTTTTCCTTGTATGTGAATGCATTTCCTGACTAAAGAGACACATAAAAGAAAACCTCACATTTAAACGCATTTTTCATAACTATGAATTGGAGGTGTATGTCTCCCAAAAGCTAGCATGAAGAGTGCGAAGTGAGGCTATTTTTTGAAAGTTTCAAGGAGTAGCCTTGCAACAGACACACATTTGCAAGAATTCAAAATTTCTAGATATAGTCTTACCTTAACAAGGAACAACGAAGGAGCACGAAAATGTGTACTTCTTGCATTGTTAGAGTATAATAAAGCTCAAACCATTGTGAATTCTAAATATTTCATGTCCACCATTTTGTTTCATCATCATCATCATCATCATCATCGGTTTTAGGAGTATAAGGCTGGGTGCCTGTGTGTTCCTCCCTTCCAAATATAAATAAATTAATCTTGATACTTTGGTATTTTATTTCCCAAAGTTAACTGTGAGTTATATGACAAAACTAAACTGGTATTTGACAAAAATCTAGTGAGTGCACTGATTATCCTACTGAGGTCACTACTTCTTCTTCATCATCTCTGGATGGTAGTGGGCATCAACCTTTGCCTTGAATTCATCTAGTGTCTGGGCGAAGACAGCTATTTCTGGGAGGTTGTTCCAGTCATTTATTACACGCTGGCTAAAGAATCCTTGTCTTAAGGCAGAACTTGTTCTGTTCTTGTAAAATTTTAGGCTGTGGCCTCTGGTGGTGTTATGGTTCAGTGTGAAGAACTGTGAGTGGTCTATGTTGTCAATGTTGTTCATCAGTTTGTACACTTGGATCAGGTCTCCTCTTTTTCTTCTGTAGGCCATGGAGAAGAGATTTAGCTGTTTGAGCCTTTCAGTGTATGGCAGTTCAGACATATTGGTTATCATTTTGGTGGCTCTTCTTTGGATCCTCTCAATTTTGTTTACGTCCGTATTATATCTTGGGCTCCAAGCAACAGTACAGTATTCGAGGTGGGGGCGGACAAGAGTTTTGTAAAGGGGGAGAAGGATGTCTGGGTCTTTGTTAGAGAATGTCCTCTTGATGGATCCTAGGATTTTGTTGGCCTTGTTGGTGCAGTTAGACACATGATCATGGAATTTTTACTCAGTATCTATTGTAATGCCAAGGTCGCGTTCTTCCGTAACTTCTTGAAGAGGAACATGATTCATCGAGTACTTGTGTCGGATGTTGTTTTTCCCTAGATGTAGTACCTTGCATTTACTGGTGTTGAACTTGAGCAGCCAATCGTTGGACCATGCAACAAGTGCGTCTACATCTGATTGTAGTTGCTGGATATCGGGTTCTCTGGGGATTGCATTGTACAGTTTGGTGTCATCAGCAAATATCTTGACAGTGGATAACACATGATCAGGTAGGTCGTTGATGTATATTATGAATGCCAATGGTCCGAGGCTGGTTCCCTGAGGGATGCCACTCGTCACTTTGGTCCAGCCTGATAGACAGCCATTGACTTTGACTCGTTGCCTTCTGTTTGTAAGGAATGCAGTGAGCCACTTCAAGAGGTCACCTTTGAAGCCATAACTGCTTAGTTTGTCGATCAGTCTTCTGTGCGGTACGCTATCAAACGCCCGGGAAAAATCAAAATAGATGACGTCTATTGGCTCGCCCGAGTCAAGTAAACTGGTCCAGTCTTCTAGCACAGTTAGTAGTTGAGTGGTACAAGAGCGGCCAGGCACGAACCCGTGTTGTGCATCTGTGATGAGGTTGTGATCTACCATATGACTCAGCATCTCATCTCTGATGATAGCTTCCATTATCTTGCATACTATACATGTAAGCGATATAGGTCGGTAGTTGCTGGGCGCTGACTTCTTACCCTTCTTGTGTATGGGGGTGATTTCTCCATCCTTCCAAATTGCTGGTAATTTCCCGGATTTAAAGGACATGGTAAAAAGTATACTGAGGGGGAGAGCTAGTTCTTGTGAGCATTCTAGTAGGAGACGGGCTGGGATATTGTCAGGACCTGGAGATTTACATGCCTTCAGCTTTTTCAGTTTATACAGGACTCGTTCCTCTGAGAAATCAACTTTGTCTAAGGTGTTGGGTGTTTTGGGGATTATGCTGGGAATATTGGTATCATCTTCAATGGTGAACATAGTGGCGAAGTAGTCATTGAGTATATCTGCTTTTTC